GCTTCGCGCTCCTTTTGGCGGTCGATGTCGAGGGAGATGGCCTGCTTGATGGCGAGCTTGACGGCACGCTGTGTCACGAAGCCGAGATCGGCACCGGAGAAGCCGTGGGTCTTGCTGGCAATGAAAGCAATGTCGACGTCACCGGCGACAGGGGTCTTGCGAAGCTGGGCCTTGAGGATACCCTCACGAGATTCCTGGTCAGGAAGGGGAACGTAGACCAGGGTATCAAGACGACCAGGACGGACCAGAGCGGCGTCGAGCTGCTCGGGACGGTTGGTAGCACCAATGACGAAGACGTTCTTCTTGGAAGTCATACCGTCCATCTCTGTTAGGATATTAGTGAATATTCGGAGTAAAAAAAAGAATGTCAGAGTGGAAACTTACCAGTGAGAAGTTGGTTGACAACACGGTCGGAGGCACCGCCGGCGTCACCGACGGAGCCACCACGAGACTTGGCGATGGAGTCCAGTTCGTCGAGGAAGACGACACAAGGAGCAGCAGCACGGGCCTTGTCGAAAATGTCACGGATGTTGCTCTCTGACTCACCGAACCACATGCTCAGGAGTTCAGGGCCCTTGACGGAGATGAAGTTGGCAGCACACTCGTTGGCAACAGCCTTAGCCAACATGGTCTTACCAGTACCAGGAGGACCATAGAACAGCACACCGCGAGAAGGTGAGAGACCAAACTTCTGGAACATCTCGGGGTGGTCCACGGGGTATTGGACACTCTCGACAAGCTCGCGCTTGACCTCCTCGAGACCACCAATGTCGTCCCAGCGAACGTTGGGAACTTCGACCACAGCAACCTCGCGGAGGGCGGAGGGGTTGGAGACACCAAGGGCGAAACGGAAGTTCTCCATGGTGACACCGAGAGCCTCAAGAACCTCGGCATCGATGGTGTCCTCATCGAGATCAATGAGATCCATCTTCTCACGAATTTGCTGCATAGCAGCCTCAGAGCAGAGGGAAGCAAGATCAGAGCCGACGTAACCGTGGGTCTCGGCGGCAATGGTCTCGAGGTCGACATCCTCACCAAGCTTCATGTTCTTGGTGTGGATCTGCATGATCTCAAGACGGCCAGTTGGGTCGGGAATACCGATGTCAACCTCACGATCGAAACGGCCGAAACGACGAAGAGCAGGATCAATGGAGTTGGGACGGTTGGTAGCGGCCATGACCACAACGTTGGAACGGGCCTTCATGCCGTCCATGAGAGTGAGCAGCTGGGAAACGACACGGCGCTCGACCTCACCGTTGGTCTTATCACGCTTGGGGGCAATAGAGTCGATCTCATCGATGAAGATAATAGCGGGAGAGTTCTTCTCGGCCTCCTCGAAGGCCTTGCGCAGGTTCGACTCGGATTCACCAGCCATCTTCGACATGATCTCGGGACCGTTGATCAGGAAGAAGAAGGCACCAGTCTCGTTGGCAACAGCACGAGCCATCAGGGTCTTACCGGTACCGGGAGGACCGTACATGAGGATACCACGAGGCGGTTTAATACCAATGGACTTGAACAGCTGGGGATGACGGAGAGGCAACTCGACCAATTCACGGATCTGAGCCATCTGCTTGCGGCATCCACCAATATCATCGTAGCCAACCTCGTTGAGGTTGCCCTCCTCATCCTCTCGTTGGATGGGCTCACCCTCGCAGTGAATAATTGTGTCCTGGGCAACAATGCCGTATTCAGGAGGGTCGACCTCCACAACCTTAAATTCGATCTGTCTCATACCACCTCGTACTGTGAACAGGTCACCCTGTCGGACTGGTCGGTAGGCCTCGCGGAAGTAGGGAGCAAGGTAGACATCGAAGAGAGAGCCAGTCAGGCCCTCAATGGTATCAGCAATGGGGAGGACAGCAATGCGCTTGGCCTAGATCACGAAGATAGATTAGCCAATAGATCATGGTAAAATGACGTGGAAATGCTCAACTTACATATTTGATATCGGGACAAGGGTGCACAGTGATCATGTCGCCGTGCTTGACACGAAGATTGTGACGCACAACACGGTTGATGCGGGCACTACCATCATCGAGATCGTCATCGGCCAGGACGATCAGCACAGTATCCTTGCGCTTCTTGCCCTTGACAAGGACGGTATCGCCACGGAAGAGCTGGAGAGTCTCCATGGTGTTGTTCGAGAGGGCAATCACCGAGTTATCATCGTTAACGGCATCGGTCACACTGCATGAAAACTGTTAGCTCCTTGCTCCCAAGACAGACATCTCTTATCGGTTACTCACATCAAAGAGTTGGGCTTCTTCTTCTTTTTCAAGATAGCGGTGGAAGTATCAAGCTCCTATGTATTTTCGTCAGTCCTGAGGCTTTTGTGAGCTGTCCTGCAGCCTATGCTTACCTCCTTCTTCTCAGCACCAGAGCCGTCCCTGCAGTCCAGTTAGCGTACTCAATAATCAAAAGTGTTCAAATTAAACGTACTTCAGGTGGACTCTCTTCTTGTCGTGCGTGTGATCCGGCTCAGAAGACATGATGGCCGTAAATGAAGTCGTGGGGTTGATGGAAGCAAGCTTGAGTGAACAAAGGTGTCCAGTGCCCAGAAACAGGCGGGACGAGACGCGGATTCAAAAGGGAACGAGAAATAAGTGTAGAAAATGAAAAAGAACCGATAGATCAGAACCAGAGAGCGAATCCGATTGCGGCAAAGTGGAGATAGAGAAAGGTGACAGGAATGATGATGTTGAGCTTCCCAGGTACCTCTGCTCAACTGACGATGATGACTTAAGCCTCCGCTTATGTCATCACGCTGTCCGCCACAAACGAAGCGCATGGAAGTCAGTCGATTGGAAGCCTTGATGCCTGGGGCAACGACCGATAGTGCTACAATAAAATAGTTATATGCTTGCCCAGGTCCTTACAATAATACAATCAGCCAAGAGACCTTGAAATTATTATGTTTCAATTACAACTGCTGCAGCTCTAAATGGCAAATGAAAAGAATGAAAATTATATGGTGTACTTCATTCAATTAATGAAATTTCAATTCTAGGTGGCTGGACTAAAGCACGAAGCTCACCAAGCAATGAGTCCATACTTGCCACCACAGAAGCAATGCCGGACAATGTCGAATCTCCCAAGACCTCTGCTGGAGACCTATTTGGCCTGCGTGAACGCTCAAAAGACGGAGAAATGTCATACACACAAAAGAAATGGCATCTTTAGTTGTAGATTTGATAAGGCTTGGATCGAAAGAAACGCCAGCACTACTATAGCCATCGGGACAAATGTATCAAGGCAGGTTTATATTCCAAAGAAACTGGTGTAGACCTAGAAAATGCAAAGCCAATAACAAACCACATGCGCTCTCAACATCAGGTATATGTGCAAGTAAGAGTAGATGTGTACAAATAATAAACGAAGGGGAAAAGCCAAGGACCACAAGCAATCCAATAGCTATGCATTAACAGACGCGGTTCCAGCCCAACAGTCATGGAGACTCCAAGCTCCAGCGCAGAAGCTGATAAGCCCAGTCAGGCTAGCGGGAATACCGATGCCTTTCTCGAGAGACCAGTGCAGACACAAGGGTGCCCAGAAGGTGTTGTTCACCAAGCTCTTTCGCCAGGCCCGGATTTCCAAACGTAGTGCCTCGCTATCCTCAGCCTTGGTCTCTTTAGTCTCGACCGTGCCGGCAGCCGCTCGCTGTGTTGCCAACCGCTGTCTGCGCAGCACACTCTGACGCCAGAGCACGAAGAACTGGAGGATGATGTGCCCGAACCATCCACGAGTACTCCATAGATCCCATTTGGCAAGGCCTCCGTATTTGTCCACGAAACGCTTCGAGACGACCCCCTTGGAAGCAAGGTAGCCCACGTTCTCGAGAAGCTGGTAGATCACGTTCGAGATGACCTGTAGGACGGTCAGGGCGTGGATGATGGGATCGGCTGGAGGTGATTTGAGGGTTTCAACTCCCCAGATCCACAGAGGGAGCAGCCCGAACAGGCGCAAGTTGTATCTCGTCTCCGATGCGAGGGTGGAAAGGGCCATGAGTTTCGATTTTGATGACGCTGGAGGAACGTTCTTAGCGGGTACACGACCCTTCAATCGTGCAAGGATACCCAGCCTTGTTTGTAATGCTATCCAGGGCGCCGATGCAGTGAGGTGGTGGAGTATTGCGGCGACATAGTTGACAGTCGCTAGTACTCGTTCTTGTCCGTTCGCCTCGGAGAGTAGACTGCGAGAGAATTAGCAATATGCTTGAGCTGTTTGCGCGCCAAGTTCTCGACCTAGCATATCAGGATCGAAAGAGGTCTTACAGATCCAGTCGGCGGATTGTCACATCGGTTGTTGTGAAGGCGGCCAACAGTTCTCGCTTCGCGCATAAGCTGGCAGGTACTTTCGCCTGGACGTCAGATGACTCTGGATGGCATTCAGGGTCCGCCATTGTGTACGATGAACATGAGAAAGAGAGAAATAAAATGAAGTTGGGTGAAGCACGGAACCGAGGCTCGGAACTTAAGGAAGTCAATCTAATCTCCGAGGGCTATCCCGCATTTTAGTCATCGCCCGATAACCGCTCTATCTAGTTATGAATTAATTTATATACGAACAGAGAATAGTTGACTAGTTATCTCTTCCATAATTTATACTCATTTATAGTATACTATCTATGTTGTAAATACATCGACTTATTTTCTCCGAGGTTTTGTACGCTTCTGATATGCTCCAATTTACATTTTTAGTTCTATAGTTACATGTGGGTCTGGAATACATAATTCAATATCATGTTACTCAGTGCAACGTACAGAATTTACATAATTCCTGTTTACCTTTACTTGGAATCATGCTTGAAAAATCTTCATTTTTAGGGAAAAATCCCCCAACTCTCACATGTGGAATTCGAGTTCCACCTTCATCCTCCTTTCACATGCCGCTCACCTCCACCTCTTCCTCGCCCCAGCTTCATCACCCCCTTTTGAATGTAGCATACCCAAGCGGGCAGGTGAAGTATATATACTGCGGGCGACCCTCCCCCAGACCACTCAACGGCTGGCACGCCGGTACCCGGGGTACAGCTGGCTGGTATTCCACCACGGCTGTCCCCCGGCGTGCGCAGCCTCCTGGTCTGGGGGAGTGATGATGATACAGGGCGCTGGGCCTGAGGGTTCCTCATCAGACTCCGAGGGTGCTTGCGGACTCGGAGATCTGGGGGCGAGGCGGGCAAAGAGAGGTAGGAGGGTACCTCCGGAGTCATTAGAGTCATCGGATGCAGCTGAAGCATCCCAATCCTCAACGTGCTCAACTTCACTCCCAGAGGTGTGCCTCCACCTCTCATTGCCCACCCCACCAACCCCCAGGTAACGCCTCCACCCCGTACCATCATAGCTGCCCGCATTCTCATCAGAAGATGACGAATCATCTTCAACCTCCTCTTCGGTCCGTGCCCCCCAGCCTGGGGGTTGCTAGACTCCGAAGAGTCACTTGGCCCGGGAAACTCACCAGGGCCGCTTGCAGACCCTCCAGCAACCGCTCCAGTCTCCGAACCAGTCTCTTTCATCTCCGGCGCACCGCCAGCGCCAGCATCCGGTTCGTCATTAGCACCGTCGTAGCCGGCATAGCGGCCGGCACGACGGCCAGCATCCCCACCTCTCTCTGATGTCACTTGACTGTGAGCTTCTTCTGAGAGGCGAGAGAGAGGGATCTGATCCCTGTTGTGATCAGTATCCCCTCCGGCATGCCCAGCTGCCTCTGGCGCCAAGTGACCATGATGCTCGCGCTCAAGACGATCAATGATGGCGTTCTCCACCACCCTGCGGTCTACTTCCAAACAAACCTCATTTTGTACTTGCCCGGATTCAGGCACAGGGCCGTGGTCGGGCCGGAGGGGCTCACTGTCCTCTTCCCTGGCTTGTTGAACTTCCTCGACCCACCGACCCACCATAACATTTGTCTGTTCCATCTCCTCACTGCTGGCGAAAAGTTCCTCGAACTTTGAAGAACTGGTTAAAGATTTGCAGGCAGTGGAGATCATCATGGAAAATATATCGCTGACAGGGCTTGCACCGCGTGGTGCGTGAGCATGCGGGTCGCCCATTCGGTACAGGCTATCCCATAGTTCGGTACACGGCTCGCTCGCTCGGCTTGAACCTCGTTGAGGTGTAGTGCTGCGTAGTTCCTGGGCAACTGGCTCACTCCCTGGATCGTTGACGACACTTGACGCTCGTCGAAGTGTTCTGTCGTGTGGTTCTTGAGAAATTGAGTCGCTCGCTGAGTCGCCGCCAAGGCTCAAAGCTCGCCGAGGAGCTCTGCCGCGTGGTTCCCAAGAAACCGGGCCACTCGCTAGGTCGTTAACGACGTTTGACGCTCGTCGTTGTGTTTTGTTGTGTGGTGCCTGAGAAACTGGGCCAATTGCTGAATTGTTCACGACGCTTGACGCCCTTCGAAGTGTTCTGCCGCGTGATTCCTGAGAACCCGAGTCGCTCGCTGAGTCGCCGCCAACGTTCGAAGCTCGCCGAGTTGTTATGCCGCATGGTTCTTGGAAAATCTGGTCGTTCGGTAGGCTGATAGGACCCCAAAGGGCTACCCACGGATCGTTCACAAGGCTTGACGCCCGGAGAAGTGTTCTGCCACGATGTACTTGAGAAGGGTCCCTCGATGGGTAATTACTACCCTGAAGCGCAGGAAACACATCACTAAAAGGGCTTCCAGATCGTCGAAGTGATCTTCCGCGTCGTACTTGAGAACCACGGTCGCTTGATGGGTTATCATCGGAGTTCTCCCTTCCTCGAGGCTCATTGTTGTCGTCATCTGATGTGCTGTAGTATGGGATGTTACCACTGTGTGAAGGCACGGGGCCGGCTGCACGGATTTGCATTCGTGGGGTTGGGCGCAGAAGGCTGTGGCCTTCGATCTTGTCATTCTGTGGCGGGAAAGTTTGGGGCATGGTGAATCCATGTGCATTCTGAGGATCATGATCTTCAACATCTGCTTGGCTGTTACTAGCCTCGTAAAGGGCGAACGCGTCTTCAAATTCTCTCATCATGGCAAGGTCAAGCTGTGCTCCTTCGGCCTCGGTATTACACAATGGAAACTCCATGGGTATGGCGGGTTCATATGAATGCTGGGCATTGTCATGTTCGACATCTGCTCGGCTGTTCCTGTCCTGGTGACTGGCGATCTCATTGCCGAGGTGTCTGTTCATCTGATGTTGAAGGTGTCTCTCAAGTAGACCACCGATGAATCCACGCATTTGCGGTCTGAACCCAAGACCACCATGGCGACCGGCGAGTTCAAAATGTGGCATAACAACATCAAGGCTGACTTGATGACTGTCGAATTCACTCATCTGTGGTCTGGACTCAAGGCCAGCGTGGCGATCGGCGAGCTCGGAATTTCTCCGCCGGGGCAATGGGAAGTATTGTCGAATGATATTGAGATATCTTATGCGTCGAGGGCTTAGGGGAGCTGGAACAAGTTGACTGCTCTCGGCAGGGGGTAACAGCACTGGGATTGAACTACCACTAGGTCCCTCGGTGGTGATTAGTGTCGTCTCTTGAGGCTGCGACTCGGCCTCGAGGCTGGCACGCTGCCGTGCCTTCTTGAAGAAGCGGCGCAAAGACATGATTGATGTCACGCCGGGGTTTCTCGTCCCCGACAGAGATCGGAGTATTACGAATGAGAAAGAAAGATTGAAAGGTAAGGTCTCACCGGCGTGCCCTCCAGAACGTTTACACGTGGGCAAGAGGCTTGGTGGCTCGGCCGGAGACTGCAGGCCGGGGAAATACGTCGCTATGTTCTTGTGTGAACAGATGATGTCCCGCCGGCGTGCCGCTAGAAGTCTTGCACACTGGAAAGATGCTTGATACTTCGGTCGGAGGTCAGACAGGTATGCTGATGTGCTTCAAAATGATGGGGCAGATCAAATAAAGTTGGAACAAGTAAGAGATGGGATGAAAGGATGGGTGGGAAGGATGAAGTTTATTGACGGTCTGCTCTAAGTGGACTGTGGATTTGAACGATGACATCGTCGCTGACTCGTCGTACTCGCCGGTTGATGGATGCATTAGGTACATTGGTGATATCGTTGCCCCCGACTATGATGAACAGCTAGCACGCCCTCCAAGCTGACCCGGCCCGTCGGCATATACTGCTTCCAATTCACAAACGCACCGATTATGCTGACAGGTCTCTTCTCTGCGGTCCTTTATGTCCGATATTAGAATCGACCGGGCATGAAATTCCCCCGTTGCTACTGTTGCTGCTCGCTGGGCTATCTGTGGATTCAGCCGGAATTTCTTATGCCGCCCACTGTGCTGAGAAAGCATAAAAAGTTTGAATGGCTCAAATATTTGCTTCCTGCCTGCTTAACTATTGGGACATCATGTTGTTAAATGCATACTGCAACAACCATGGTAGGGATACGGTGGTTCTCTTTTACTTCTTTGCCTCCGGGGCCTTTTGCGGGAAGAAAATGGGATAATAGGGTTGAGGTTGGATTGTCAAACTACTACCGGATATCAAGATGTCTAGATGTAGTTGACAAACGGATTCTATACATATATCACGTACACGTAAAAAAGGTAACAGATGTACATATTGTACTCTGTACACATGTATAAATCCAAAGAAGTCGCATATGTACATGTGATGTGGTCCCAAGGTTGAGTAACCAAGCCAAGCATAAGACGAGTCGGGAGTCTACATAGAGTTGAAGTATCCCGTGACCATGAAAGCCCCAAATAACAGAGAAACTAATAAAACTTCAAGATTGACTATGTTGTAGCCAAAAATGAATATTCATTCTAATATAAGGGGTAACCAAAAAGCAAAGCCCCCGGATTCAACCAAAAGCCGTCGGAGGTTTCCGATGTGCTCCGCCAATGGATCTTGCCGGGGATCCATCTGCCGATTGTTCGTATAGCCGTACTCCAGTTCCTGGATGCATTCTTCCGATAAAATTTATTTATAAGAATCCTACTCCGTACAGAATACAGACTTGGGATATATTTTGTGTAAGTTATATGCCTCGGTTGTCCCATATATCCCATCCCAGCCACCCTCGGGCCAACATAAACAAACAAGGCCCCCCCCCCACAGGTCTCATCCCCCATCGTCTTCTCATTTCTCCACTTGGCACCTTATCATCCATTACATATTAATCTCATTCAGTTATTAACTTATTCCAGGAGCGTGTTTAATCTCAAGAGCCCTCTCGAACCCTCCTCAACCCTGTCCTCCCCCTAAACCCCTCCGATCACAATGTCCGTCAAGTTCCAAGAGGAGACCGTCCGCACCGTCACGGGTGGCGGCAAGTCCGAAGACCTCGTGCACCGTGTCGGTGAGCGATTGACCGGTGGAAAGACAGCCTCTGGGTATCTCCAGGTATGCAGCGCTCCTCCAGTAATATCGAACCAACACTGATCCGGGGAATGGATCGTCAGGCCTACCTCCTCCAGCTCCAGAAGAACCCGCTGCGCACGAAGATGCTCACCTCCGGTGTGCTCTCCGGTCTGCAGGAGCTGTTGGCCTCGTGGATCGCCCACGATGTCGGTAAGCACGGCCACTACTTCAGCTCGCGCATCCCCAAGATGTCGCTGTACGGAATGTTCATCAGCGCGCCCCTCGGCCACTTCCTCATTGGCATCTTGCAGAAGATCTTCGCCGGTCGCACAAGTCTCAAGGCTAAGATTCTCCAGATCCTCGTTAGCAATCTGATTGTAAGTATCCGATCACCTGACCACGTGTGACCTTCGCTGATATCCCCGGTTTCCCAGATCTCCCCTATCCAGAACAGCGTCTACCTGACCTCCATGGCTATTATCGCCGGCGCGCGCACCATCCACCAGGTTCGCGCTACCGTTAAGGCTGGCTTCCTGCCCGTCATGAAGGTCAGCTGGGTCACCTCGCCCCTGTGCTTGGCCTTCGCCCAGAAGTTCCTCCCTGAGCACACCTGGGTGCCCTTCTTCAACATTGTTGGCTTCTTCATTGGAACCTACGTCAACACCCACACCAAGAAGAAGCGTCTGGAAGCTCTCCGGAAGGTATGATTCAATGGAATTTCGACAATTGCAACTTGATTTCTAACGACTTGGCAGCGTTACGACCAGCGCCGCGACCCCGGCTACGAGAAGCGCGACTTCCCTTAAATGGGCCGAGTCTGCAATTGACTGCAAACACACCCGGACGCGTCGGAGACCTATGTGTGTCGTTGCTTCTGGCTCGTTTGCAGTCACTGATTTGTCTTTTTCCTTTGTTTATTATTCTCCGGTGTTGATCTAAATCCATGTACACACCCCGCGTGCATCTTGACTGCCGCAGATATCTTCCCCCTGATGTTATCACTCAATTTCATGACGAATGGCTTTATATCTCTGTTTCATTTCAATTCCAACCTTTGAAGATCGGTATTATATATATTTTTTCTTTCCGTTTGACCTAGTCACATCATTGCTTCTACCTGTGTCAATCTAGACTTCTACATACATGTGAGTCGTGGTAGATAGGACCGAAAGAAATGTAACTCCACTTGACATAAAACGGGCACATGTGGCCATTGTTCATTCCATCGTAACTATGAAAGATCCGAGACACAGGAAGGATGCCAGTGGATAATGCAAGTGAAGGTGACAAGTAGACATGGATTGCGAGTTGCTAACCGGTCATGCCACATAAGTCATGCCTAGCCCATCCGGAAATGAGAAGAAACAAATCCCTCATATTTTTGGAATATCCACGAATAAACCAGAGACCCTTTATTCAACCTCCATTTCCGACCCCTTCCCCCTCTTAGCCTGCACCCAAGCAACAAAGTCATCCAGCGTACCAGGCCAAGCCCCATCCGGACTCCACCATCCCATCTCCTCATCCTCCAGACTCTTGCGCATAAACACCTCAACCTGCTCCCACAGATCCTTATTAACTGGCTTCTTCCCGCGTTCCTCAAGGAACTCAATCCACCAATCCAGCCACGGTGTCGTTTCTGTGTTCCACGCCACACCACCATGGTCAGTCGTGAAGAAGAGACGCCATTGCTCGGCGGCGATTTCGAATTGCAGGTTGCGCTGTCCTTGCATTCGTGAGAGTGGGAATGCATATCTGTAAACTCGTCGGAAGGTGTCTGGTTCTCGAGGGATTCTCTCCCGGAGGGATTTGGCGTACGCTTGCATTTTTGGCATCGTGTCGCAGCTTGTGGCTTGTTAGATTGGAAGTTTTGGTATTGAGAAAGTTTTGAGTTTGGGCTGAAGGTGTCTTTCTTTTCACCTTGACGTTGCACTTACAGAGCTTTCAGCCATCCTTCCATCCATCCTTCACGGGTGAACTCGCCCATCGATGGTGATCGGAGTAGCTCGGCGATGGCCAGGCAGGTTACTTCATCGAGCTCGACTTTCAAATCGCCGAGGAAATCTATTGCTCGTGAGATACCGATGGTATCTGGGTTGTCGACTGGGTCATCTGGGGTGATGTGAGTACTTCGGTATCAAAATCACTAGTCAAGAGTGGGCAAGTACCTCGGTAGCTTTCGAAGATCTTTGTAAGTTCTGAGGTTATAGTTGCAGAGGTGCCAGCTGCAGCTGCGAAGAATCTATTTCAACGACAATGTCAGATTCGGGGTGTTTCGAACGCGGTTCATGTATGATTTCGCTGAAGCGAGATGGTCAGGCAAGGAATGGCAAGCACTTCTTCTTCATCTTCTTAACGCGAGGCATTTCGGACGATGAACGGTGTAGTGAGAGATCAAGATTTCTTCCAGTTGAGACTTAGATAAGTCCTGCAAAGAGAAGAACAGATATTGGAGCTTTGATGCTCTATCTATCTGCTGGCATCTTGAACTCAAAATCACATGTTCAGGTAGAGATTGGAGACAAATTGAAGAGAAATCAAAAAGAAACGGAAGTTTGGGACAGGTGTGATGACAAGCACTTACGCGTCGAGCGCTGGAGGTAAACTCCAACCACATGCTTTAAGAAACTATAGTAGAAAGTTAGTCCTTAGATGCACGTGATCGGACGGAAGCACCGTAAGATATTCAAACAGACCGCAAAGGGGAGAACATGTTCGGAAATCATGCAAGTCACTTACTTTAGCAGCAACAGACTCTTTTGTCCGTGTACAGCTGACGAACTCAGCGATCTGGTGTTTCTGGGTGGTCGTGTAGGGTGGCATGGTGGGGGATGGCAATATCTGTGCCCACTACGCGCGGAGAGAAACGCAATAAGTGGTGAAAACGCACTAGGGGATTGAGAGCACTTGATTTACAGTGCTGGTGTGAGGGAAATTGTCTTTGGCTTGGAAGATACAAGAAACACCAGGGCTATGAGGTCTGTAGTGAGTTATCGTCCCGCGCTTTTCCAAGGTTGGATGGAACTGATGGCATTATGCTGACTAATCACATATCCCAAAAAGGTCCTATATCAACTACCATCCAGGGCCGGGCTATACATCCATGAATAGACTTGGCGTGAATTATTGATTCTTATTACATTGAAAATGGATTTGTGTGTATTCAGAGTATGTATTTTTCATATAATAACCATTACAGAAAAGTTGTTGGTCAACATTTGCCATCAATTCATCACATTGGAAACAATGAGCACAGGATTCGATGGTAAAAGTACAGCCAACTTTTGTAAGATCAAATAGATCAGGTAAAACTCCCAAACGCCATTTGCAAGGTGCAAAAATGTAAGATTCGGTGTCATGTCGAATTTGCTTAGGTTGTGAACAAGGTATCCTCCTGATATAGATGTTAGCAATTTGGTCCTAGAGACTTGTATATAGACCCAACTCACCTCTCTAAGGTACTCTCCTGAGTCTGCCTGTTCGTTTGCGTTAGCCAATGTAAGTAAGTTTGGAGGGGCTAAGCTCCACCTACCTGGCGATGGACCGCGATACTGGTAGGATCCAATTTTGCGATCTGCGCGGATGATCTTGCTGTAACTCCGAATCCCAGCGGTACATCATTTGAATCCAAAATGATAACGCCAGCGTTTTCAGGGCAATCTTCCGAGAAGCGCGCCACGTGGGCTTTCAAGACCGAACCGCCATAGAGCAGAGGCTAAAACTTGTTAGCAAGGCACAGCAGATCCTATCAGAAGTTGGAATAAGCTTACCATCACTCCATTTGCTTTGATCCAGACCTGTGCAGAGATATAGAGTTAGCATGATCACTGCTGAAATGCCTGACTTACGATACATACCTTGTAACGGGCGTGTTGCGCCAGGAGATCGAGGGCTGTCAGGTTGATGCGGAACTTGCCCGTCTGCCAGAGTATTAGCATTACTGATCAGAATAACAGGATAAGATCAGAACCAGTCACCTTTGTCATCTTTCCAACCATTGTTCCACAACTGAGTAAGGCTGGAACTTGTTAGCATTGTACATCACGACGAAGCCGAACAAAAGCTTACCCTCGCGAGGGAATGAAACACTCAGGTTGGCAAGCTCCTTTCTCATGTAGTAAACTCGGGATCCTTGCAAACGGAAAACACTCTGGGATCCATCTTCGGCTGGGGTAATAAGAGCATTGAGACTGCGGCCGGTATAGGCAGCTAGCTTCGTGAAGATCGTCCGTGTCTCTTCCTAAAAGAGGTATGGGTTAGTCAAAGCAGCCAATGGTCATTGCAATAATACGTACTTCTGTGAGGGACCTCATATTGTCGGATATGAAACTGAAGATATCGCAAAAAGGTTGAGTTAGCGGCAAGCTTGTATTGTCGGGAGTGAGGAAACAAGAAAAAAAACCAAAGTCGGGCAATATTTCACCGCCTAAAAGCGGACCTGAAATTTATAGCGACGGAACGGACATGAAGAGCCAATCAGAGCGACTATTGACTTTCCGCCTAGAATTTTCGGGACCGCCTTTTCACTCTAAAGATCTTTTTACTATTCTCCGCAGATTTCACCGTTAACCCCCCAAATCTCCAATTACAAAATGGCGCGTGGTCCAGAAGTGAAGCGGAGACGATTGAGTCCGCCAGTGGATGGTGAGGACTCCTCGTCGCGCTCCAAATCCGGTCAACAGTGGGATGTTGAGCAAGACTACGAATGCCGCCCTCGCAAAAACACCAAAAAAGCCGGCGAGAACGCACGATTGCCAATCAAAACCGCCGAAGGCTTCGTTCAGGCTGAAGCCCAGTCTCAAGACCAGGGCGAGGAAACCGACAGCTTCCTGGGTACCGATGATGATGACGAGGAGGATGGCTCTGGAGGTGAGGAGGACGGAGAAGAATCTGAAGAAGAAGCACCCAAGATTTCGGTCAAGCAACAAATCCTGCAGGCAAAGGAAGACCTGGCGAAGATGGCAACCCTGATCAACGAGGATCCCGAGGAGCACATTTCTCTGTTCAAGACAATGGCCGAGATGGTGTCGAAGAAAAGCACACCTATCACAGTTAAGAAACTTGCTCTGGCCTCACAGGCAGCTGTCTACAAGGATATCATCCCTGGATACCGTATTCGTCCATTGAGCGAAGACGACCAGGCCGGCAGGGTATCAAAAGAAGTGCGCAAGATCCGAGATTTCGAACAGTCCCTCGTATCAGGATATCGAGCCTATGTCCAGAAGCTTGCTACGCTCATCAAGCCACCCAAAGGAGAGGTCCCCACAGATGCTGGACTCAGGAGCTTCGCGATTTCAATGGCTTGCACTATGCTTTTGGCCGTGCCACACTTCAACTTCCGTAGCGAGCTTCTGAAGATCTTGGTGAACCGCCTTGCACGGAGACAACTTGATGCCGACTACATCAAGTGTCGCGAAACTATGGAGCAGATTTTCGCCAAAGATGACGATGGAACCGTTTCCCTCGAAGCTGTTCGTTTGCTAGCAAAGATGTTGAAGGCCAGAGACTTCCATATTCACCCTACTGTCTTGGACACATTCCTTCATCTTCGTTTGCTCGGCGAGTTCCACCTTAAGGCGTCCCGAGACCGAGTGGACCGGGAAGAAGAAGAAAAACCTCACGGCAAGAAGCCCAAGCAAAAGCGCGAATTCCGCACGAAGCGAGAGCGCAAGATTCAAAAGGAGCGGAAGGAAGTTGAAAAGGATATGTCACAAGCAGAGGCAGTGGTATCGCACGAACAAAGAGACAAGAACCAGGCCGAAACACTAAAGCTTGTGTTCGGACTCTATTTCCGCATTCTCAAGCTCCGCATTCCCGCACTGATGGGTCCTGTGCTCGAGGGTCTGGCGAAATACGCCCACCTTATTAACCAGGACTTCTTCGGTGATTTGCTCGAGGCTCTGAAAGACCTGATTAACCACGCCGAGCGCGAGGAAATGGGCGTGGAGGGCGATGAAGAGGTCGTCAAAGAGGAAGACGACGAAGATGAAGACCATGTCACAATTGCCGAAAGCGCAGCCCGGGATGCTCGTCGAAGGACGCTACTCTGCACTGTGACTGCCTTTGCTCTGCTCGAAGGCCAAGAAGCCAGCAAAGCAGCCGCAGGTCTCCACCTCGACCTGAACTTCTTCATCAAGCACCTCTACCGATCCCTCTACTCCCTCTCCATGAACCCAGACGTCGAGTTCAACCCCGACACATCCCTCCGCCTCGCCGACCCCCATTCCTCCGCAGAAGGCACCCAGCTCACCGAGACCCGCTCCAAGAACAAGGTCAACTTCCAGACCCCGATGGTCCTCCTCCTCCGCTGCTTGCAGCCGACTCTGCTATCCCGCGCACACGGCACCCCGCCCCCAAGCCGACTTGCCAGTTTCTCTAAGCGTCTCATGACCACTTCCCTCCAGTTGCCGGAGAAGTCTGCTCTTGCGACACTTGCGCTCATGAACCAGGTCTCGAAATATCACGGTCGTCGTATCTCTTCGCTGTGGCACACGGAGGAGCGTAAGGGTGACGGTGTATTCAATGCTTATGCTGCCGATGTTGAAGCTACCAATGTCTTCGCTGGTACAGTGTGGGAGGGTGAGTTGTTGCGTCTGCATTACTGTCCACAGGTGCGAGAGGCGGCGGTGGAGATTGAAAAGATGATGGTGTCTTCTAAGTAAATACTGTTTTGATTAATTTTATATGCACATTCAGCTACGATGTCTACTTTCCTTGGAGAATTGTAATCAAACAAATTCATTGACATGCTAATCAAAATCGAACACATTTGCCCAAGTCCTCCAAATCCAACAGAGAGATGAGAGCTCCTTTTTTTTTTTTTTTTTTTTTTTTTTTTGGTTTCTTGGGGGTACTTTTTTTTGCGAGGGGTTTTTCCATTTTCTTTGTGATATCATCGTTTTTGAATATTGGACTTACTCGCTTAGTTGCGAGTTTTGTCCTTGCCAGACTCAGGAGAGCCCTTGGGCTGAGCTGGGTGGGGAGACACAATCGGAGTGACCGCAGGGATCCCGAGAGCATTCACCTCACGGAAACCAGGACGGTAGAGCGGGTGGATGTTAGCCAGTGGGATGGGCTCTCCAGAAACACCGGGGAGAACAATACCGCGAGGAAGTGGAGGGACAGGGGGGACCGACTCTTCCTGACGTGAAGATCGTTGGAGTTTGCCACTGGTAGCGGATGAAAGGCTGTCACTACGGCGACGGAATCCGAACAAGCTCTTTTCCCTTCTTATCAGATCCGTGTTGCTTGTCGATGGCATCTTTCTTTGCCTTGAACTCTTCTGCGGATCCAGATGTGTTGTCCGAATAACCAGTGTACTTGCCGATGTTCTCTTTGTCGCTCAGTTGAGAGCCAACAGACTTCTTCGAACGAATAATATTGGGTTGACGAGGGATCGAGCTCTGCTTTGCAATGGAAGATCCTGGAGTAGTGATTGTTGCGGGCCCGGGTTCCGATGCTGGTGGAGTGGTCTTTGCTAGCACAGTGGCAGATGCTGGGGGAGTAACCTTTGCTCGAACAATGGTTGATGCCGAGGAAGTGGACTTTGCTGGAGTAGCCTTTGCTGGCACAGCGGTCGATTCTGAGGAAGTGGACTTTTCTGGAGTAACCTGTGCTGGTACAGTGCAGGATGCTGAAGGAGTCGCATTTTTTGGCACGGTGGTTGATGCAGAGCGTGTGGCATTTGCTGGAGTGGCTGATGTTGGTGGAGCTGCTCCAGGCGCAGAGGTGGCACGAGATTGAAGGTGACCAGTGGGTGGCACGTCGCCTTCCGTAGGCAAAGGGAATTGCGGAAGAATAAGTTGCACATCTTGGGAAACGTTGAGATTGTTCTCATGTTGCAAGAGTCTGAATGCAATTTGCATGCGGATTATCGATTGTCTCACGAAGAGGAGTTGCGCTCCGTGATTCACAGCCATGTTTCCGATGTCCTGAATATCTTCATCGATCTCACTGTTCTTTCGACGCTGGTAGGCCACGAATGGCTCTTCGGTGTTATCCCAGATTCCGGTGAGACACATATCGACCTTGGCGCTCAGGTCATTGACAGTCGAGGTCAGTCCGTTGACTTCAAGTTGCATCTCGTGGATACTCTCCTTGACCTGGTCAATCTGATCCTGGCTCTTTTTCATCTCGCGCTTGACCTTGGAAAGTTCAAAAGACAAGTCAGAATTGCGCTCAACTTGCGCGTGCATTTGGTCCTTGATGTAGTTCTCGGTCAAGGTAACAAAGTCTTCAACCTTCTTTTCGAGCCTGTTGATATCGTCGATCTTCGTTGCCAGTCGCTTTTGGGTTGCTTCATACTGGTACTGAAGAGTTCGAACAGTCTCGGGAAGATCCTTGATAGTAGCGAAACTAGAACGACTACTAGTGGCAGGACTGACACCAGTAGGACTGAAAGGCGTACCCAGGATGGGATTGCGCATGCCATCCTTTGTGAGACTGGGCATGCGAGGGCTGGGTGTGTGAGGGTCGAATTTGCCGGGAGGAGACATGGGGAGTGGCTTGTTCTTGCCCTCCGAAACATTGGGACTGTCCTCCATCTTGGGAGATGGGAGAGCAGAAAGGAGAGCAGAAAGGGAGCGAGGTTTTACTTCGGCAATGGAGAAGTTGCCGGGATGGTTTCTTAGGATAGAAACGGGTGGTACAGGAGGGACGGAGGAGGCGTGATAGGAAGAGTGAGAAGGGTGGGAGGAAAGGCGGGAGGAAGATTGGGGAACAAGTTTTGCCTTGCGTTGAGCGAACGCGTTACGTCTGTCAACGGAAGGAGGGAGCAACTCCCAATCCTCCCCGGCACTAATAGGCAAACCAACCGTAGGGTTGGCCGACTTGGAAGGCACAGGCACCGGGACCGCAGTCACTGTCACGCCAGAACGAGGAGACGCCAGTGGATTACACATGTCGTCCGCAAAGTCGTCCGCGAAGTGTACGCGGGAGAGCGTGCTGGGACGATAAGACGAATTTGCAGAGGACGAGGGGGCCACAGGGCGACCAGTACTGCCGTGGGGATATTTCGAATCGGTATCTATAAAAGCATCAAGCGTCAGTGACCCTACCCCTTCGTGATTTGAAGTGAACTGAAAGTGAAAGCCATCAGTTGACCATGTGAGGCCAAAGTGATAGATATCTCTCATGTTTTTGAGTATCTCTCTCTTGATTCTTTCTTTCGAGGCTTAATCTATGAGCCAAAGCATGGTTGCTTTGCCCACAGGATCAGCTTTCATAGAAAGGGATTTACTTGCACAGAGTCAAGCAGATCTGATCCCAAGAACAAATTCCAAAGAACCAACTCCAATGCTAAAGAAAGAGAATTCTATAGTAAGAAACCGGATCTCCAAGAACAAGCTCAATCTCAATCTCAGAAAGAGCCGCGATCCCGCAGGCAGAATGGCTCCATCCGAAGACACGCAATCCTGCAGACATGATGGCTTCATCCCACAAGCAAGAAACACGATCCTGCAGACAGGTCGGCTCAATCCCACAGAAGAGAGGCCATCTAGCAGACAGAATGGCTTCATCCCACGAGGAAGAAAGCCGACCCCGCAGGATGGCTCAATCCCACAAGGAAGAGACAGATCCTGCAGGCAAGATCGCTCCCCACAGAAGAGAGACAATCCAACAGACAGAATGGCTCAATCCTGGAAGACGTGAGACGAATCAGATGAAAGGCCCAACCCCATGCATGAACTCAGTCGAAACGAGACCCGAGTCCACCGAAAGAGACACCCCATGAGGTCAAAAGAGATGGATGGTTCACGGCGAAGAGAATGCTACTTACCCTGACTTTTCTTCATCATATCGTCTGATGTTCTTCAAAGAAACAGCGTGAATGGTGTGGTGATGATGATGATGATGATGATGATGATGAGAAACAAGAAGAAAAAACACGCGTGGTGGAAATAACAAACCGAACACCACGGGGAGTCGACACCGAGCACGTGCCCCAGAGAAGCCATCATGACAGCCCCAAAGGGAAAGCACGATGAACTGCCTGGGTGCTCTACAGCACTATGGATCATATTCCCAATATCGAAGGAATGACCCACATTGCTTGGCCATCCTATTGTACCCATTATCACTCGACTTTGTTACATGCAATGATTGGCAACACAAGCCGTCCGTCAACAGCAAAGGATTGTAAAGTATGAGAATCTATTCCTAAAAACCGGACAATTGATACATTATATACTACTTCCTGTCGTAGGCGTTGCACAGACACAAAGAAAGTATAGCAAGCAAAGTGCATTAGTCAGAGAACAAAGACCAGGGCATAGGAACTAAAATATATGCAAGGAAACTAAAAGACTACAAGCAAACAAGCACAAAGAGATTGAGAAGTATAAGTTGTTCATTAAGATCATGTCATGAAGTATACTGGATACATAGCAAGCCAGGCAGATGGATCAAGAGCAGCCGGCCATGCCAACACCAACATAGCATTGGAGACAACAAAAGGAAATCATTAACCATAAGAAATATCAAAGCAAAGCGCAAATGGGATTCGTAAATAGACAACAGGAAAGCACAGATAATACAGGGGAATATGGAATCGGGAGTGGTTGCAAAATTGGACATCCGAGGTTTATAGTTCGTGCTGCCACGCACTTTCGTAATGCCACGGTATAGTTTGATGGACTTCGAATTGGGGCTCGGTTGTCCACGTGACCCCACGTGATCACTGTCCCGCCGATATCAATGCTTATTTGTCTGCGGTGAAGCAGGAACGCCAGAATATGGCGAGGACAGGCATGGCAAAAATCGCGATCCAGAACAAATTGCTGATCGATCAGTCAGTTATTAGTTTGAATGGGCAAATTCTGCGTCATGACGACGATCTTCTTCGATAGTAGTTCCAAAGAAACAAACACAACTGGCTAGGGGAAAAGCATAGGAAAAGCACATAAAAACACAAAGTTCAGTCTAATTTGAGGACTTTCCACGGCGGAAGGGTGAAAAGATTGCCCCAAAGAAGTTCACAAAGACAGTGCGCAGGATCGCTTTGAGCCAGCTGTCAGGTGCACCATTTAGAGAAACAGCAGTCACTGACCGATTCTGGCTGCTCGCTGGACGAGCATCTTCATCATTATTCTTGGGCGCAAGAGTATCATCGGCAGCAGGCTTGGCAGCGGGTTCCACGGTTCCCTTACTGGCCTCGGCGGCAGGCTGGGACTCGGCGACAGGCTCGGACTCGGTGACACTCTCGACTGTTGCGGCAGACGGTTTCTGGGTGGTCGTGGACAACTGATCGGTGGAGGGTTGGTTGAGCTTGCTCAGGAGGGCTTCGCGGTCGCCAGCGAGAGCTGCAAGAATGGGATCAGTTTCGAACGACATGGCAGACGGCTGGGATGAAAGATAAAACGGTGTTGGCTTACCGTCGGTGTGTTGTGCATCTGCTGCCGAAACCTGGGGCTGGGTCTCAGCCTTAGTAACGGGCTCCTTGTCTGCATCGGTAGCTTGGAGATCCTTCTGATCCTTCGAGGTCTCCGGAGCAGTCTCGGACACCTTGTGAGCAAGGGCGGCCACGCCGGCACCGGCAATGGCGGCAGCAGCAGCGCCAGCACCAATAATTTCAGTGCTGATGCCAGTATCCTTAGCAGGGGCTTCCTCGGAATCTGGAGCGGCGGTCTCTTCCTGCTTGGGTTCGGATTCAGCGGTAGAGGGTTGGATCGGCTCCTTCACATCGGATGTCTCAGCCACAACTTCGGCCTCACCAATTTCGACCTTAGAAGGTTCCTCGGTTGCAACAACAGTCTCCTCGACAGGAGCAGACTGTTCTGAGACGATGTCCTCGACCTTGGCATCCTCCTGTGCGGGCTTCTCGGCGACAGCCTCAACAACAGCTGGCACTTCGGGTTCAGTGGTCACTGGCTCTTTGGCGGCAGCCTCTTCAGCAACGACGGCAGGCTGCTCAATGGCAACTTCCTTCGCCTCGGTTGTCTCGGGCTCGAGCTCCTTGGTAGTAGATTCCTCCACTGGAGTGGCCTCGGGGATCTTCTCCTCGGTAACAGCAGCTTCAACGGGATCCTCAGCCTTCACAGGCTCTGCGACAGTCTGCTCCTCCACAACTGGTGCCTCAACAACTTCAGTAGCTTGGATGGTAGGCTCGACAATGGCGGGCTCAGTCACATCCTCAGCCTTCTCGGTAGCGGGTTCCTCGACAACGGGTGCCACCTCGGGAGTCTGCTCGGAAACAGGCTCAGCAGTGGACTCGGCAGCAGCAACAGGCTCGCCGGTGGTCTTTTCTTCGACAGCGGGAGTCTCAGTAACAGCGGGCTCGGCGATCACAGCCTCAACCTCGGCCGCAGGCTTAGGAACGTCAGCAGCCTCGACAGTCTCTGCAACAGTAGCGGGTTCATCGATGGCCTTCTCTTCGACAGCAGGAGTTTCAGCAACAGCGGGCTCGGCAGTAACAGCCTCAGCCTCAGCCTCAGGGGTAGCAGCAGCTTCAACAGTCTCTGCCACAGCGACTGGCTCATCCACGGCCTCCTCTTCGGCGGCAGCAGGCTTATCATCTTGAGAAACAGGCACTTCAACAGCGGCAGCAGTCTCAGTCTGTTCAGCGACAACGGGCTCAGCAACAGCCTCAATCTCGGGTTGCTTCTCCTCGACCTCAACAGCAGGAGCCTCGGCGGAAGCCTCGATGGGCTCCTCGACGGCAACTTCCTTGGCAGGCTCTTCAACGGGAGTCTCCTTAACTGCCGGCTCTGAAGCGGAGGCCTCGACAACGGGCTCCTCAACAGCCTGGTCAGCGACGGGCTCTTCGGTGGCCTTCTCGGAGACTTCCTCGGCCTTGGTAGCTTCGGGCTGCTCAACGGCGACCTCCTTGGCAGTTTCGGCGGGGATAGCCTCCTCCACTGATTCTTGCACAGACTCGGTAGAAGCGGCGTTTTCCTCGACGATGGCAGCGGCAGCCTCGGGAACAGAAGGAGTTTCCTCAGGGATAGCAGCAGCGGCAGCAGCCTCGGGAATAGCGGCAGCTTCAGTGGCCTCAGGAACAGCAGGAGTTTCCTCGGGGATAGCAGCGGCGGCGGCAGCCTCCTCGGGAACAGCAGGGGACTCTTCGAGTGTCACGTCCTTAGCGGTTTCAGACACAGGCTCCTCCACAACTGGTTCCTCTGCCTTGGCCTTCTCCAAAGTCTCTTCGACAGTCTCGGCCTTGATGGGCTCCTCGGCCTTCTCAGTAGTAGCTTCCTCGGCGACCACGGCAGCAGGTTCTTCAACTGCTTCGGTGACGGGCTCAGTAGCAGCCTTGGTAGGCTCCTCGACAGCAGACTCCTCAGCAGCATCGACGGCCTTCTCGGGAACAGGCTCGGCAACCTCAGTCTCCTTGACGGGCTCGGCAGCCAATTCCTGGGTGGCAGGCTGCTCAACCGGAGTCTCCTCAGCCACCTCCTTGGTGGACTCAGAGATGACTTCCTCCTTGGGCTCGGAAACCTCAGCAGTGGGCTCCACGGTATTTGCCTCTACAGCAGTCTCTGAAACGGCCTCTGCCTCAACAGCAGGTTCCTGGACAGCCTTCTCAGTCACTGGCTCCTCAACAGGCTTGGACTCTTCGACGGCTGCTTCGCTGGCGGGGGCATCTGTGGCGGTTTCAGGAACAGCCTCAACAGTCTTGGGTTCTTCCACGGCAGCTTCAGTAGCGGGAGTCTCCTCGACAGTCGGTTCAGCGACAGCTTCGGCAAAGGACTTGGTGGGCTCTGACTCTTCAGTAGCGGGTTCTGTGGGCTTCTCCTCGGTGATAGGCTCAGCAGCCTCCTCGGTGATAGGCTCAGCAGCCTCCTCGACCTTGGATTCCTCAACTGCGGGAGTCTCGGAAACGGCCTCGACCTTTTCTTCGGCAGCAGGCTTAGCAACCTCCTCAACCTTCGATTCCTCGACTGCGGGTGTCTCCTGCACAACTTCAGAAGCAGCCTCGACGGGCTTAGATTCTTCGACTGCAGCTTCAGCAGCGGGTGTCTCCTCGACAACTGGCTCGGCGACGGCTTCGGCAAAAGACTTGGCGGGCTCTGCCTCTTCCTTGGTGGATTCAGCGACTGGCTCTTCCTCGGTTATGGGCTTAGCAGCCTCCTCAACCTTTGATTCTTCGACGGCGGGAGTTTCCTTGACAGGCTCTGCAACAGCCTCAGGAGCGGCCTCGACCTTTTCTTCAGCAGCAGACTCAGCAGCCTCCTCAACCTTGGATTCCTCGACTGCGGGTGTCTCCTGGACGATTTCAGGAGCGGCCTCGACAGGCTTTGACTCTTCCACGGCAGCTGCAGAGGCGGGAGCCTCTTCGACGATAGGCTCTGCAACGGCTTCAGGAGCGGCCTCGACGGCCTTCTCCTCAGTAGCAGGCTTCTCCTCGGTGGGCTGAGCAACCTCGGCGGCCTTGGATTCTTCGACAGCAGGAGTTTCAGAGACGGCCTCAACCTCCTTTTCTTCGGTGGCAGGCTTAGCAACCTCCTCAGCCTTAGATTCTTCCACAGCCGGAGTCTCCTCGACAGCAGGCTCTGTGACAGTTTCAGGAACAGCCTCGACAGGCTTCGATTCCTCAACAGCCTCTGCAGCCGGAGTGTCCTCGACCGGCTCAGCGACGGCTTCGGCAAAGGTCTTGGGCTCTGACTCTTCCGTGGCGGATTCAGTGATTGGCTGTTCCTCGGTAATAGGCTCAGCAACCTCCTCAGTCTTAGATTCTTCGACGGCGGGGGTTTCCTTGATAGGCTCTGCGGCAGCCTCAGGAGCGGCCTCAACAACCTTTTCTTCAGTGGCGGGCGTCTCCTCGACGATTGCAGGAACAGCCTCTTCGGTCTTTTCTTCCTTGGCGGCTTCAGGAACGGCCTCGGCAGCCTTAGATTCTTCCACAGCAGCTTCAGCAGCCGGAGTCTCCTCGACCGGTTCGGCTACAGCTTCAGCAAAGGACTTGGCGGGCTCGACAACCTCCTCGGTGGCCTTGGATTCTTCGACAGCGGCTTCGGTGACTTCAGGGACGGCTTCGGCGGTCTTGGATTCTTCTACGGCAGCTTCAGCGGCAGGAGTCTCCTCAACGGGTTCAGCGACGGCTTCAGCAAAAGACTTGGCAGGCTCCGACTCTTCCTTGGCGGGTTCGGCAATATCCTCCGCAGCCTTGGGCTCTTCCACGGCGGCTTCAGCAGGCTTCTCGACGATAGGCTCAGCGGCAGCTTCGGGGGCGGCCTCGGTGGCCTTTTCTTCAACAGGCTCCTCGGTGGGCTCAGCAACCTCCTCGACGGTCTTGATATCTTCCGCAGCGGGAGTCCCTTCGACGATTGGCTCTGCGGCGACTTCAGGAACGGCCTCGGTGGTCTTGGGCTCTTCCGTGGTAGGCTTAGCCTCTTCCACGGCCTTGGATTCTTCGACAGGCTCTGCGACAGTTTCCGGAACGGCCTCAACAGTCTTTGATTCTTCTGTGACGGGCTCCGCGACCTTCTCGACAACCTCGGGGGTGGCTTCAGCGGCAGGCTTTTCTTCAAGCACTGGCGCTTCGGTAGCATCGCCCGCCTTCTCGGTCGGCTTAGATTCTTCCGTTGATTCAATTGCGGTCTTTTCCTCAACCACTGACTCAGCAGCAGGTTCAGCTTCCTTGGGAGCTTCGACGGCTGCTTCTTCTACTGCAGGCTCTGCAGTCTCGGGAGTCGCTTCGGGAGTCTTTTCAGCTTCCACAGCAATGGAGCTAATACTCTCCTGTTTCTTTTGCTGCTTCTTCTTGGCCTTCTTGGCCTTCTTCTTTTCTGCGGCGGTCATTGGGACCTCGGGTTGGGTTGAATCTTTGGATTGTTGTGTGGAGTCGGCCTCAACCAGAGTGGCCGTGGATTCGCTCAGTTCCACCTCAGTTGCATCGGAGGACTTTGAAATAGTCTCAACTGGACCATCTGTGGGCAGCACATTGCTTTCCGGGAGAATAGGCTCTTGGACACTGGCCATGGTTTATTCGTTTCAAGTTCGTAATGTCGTAAAATGATCGGCGGAGGGTATTAGTGGTGTTTTTTTTTCACAATTTGACCAGCAAAGATTTAACGCTAGATTATCGTGTACAGAAAACACAAGCTCACAGAGCAAGATGTAATTGGGGATTATTGTGAGTATGGAGAGGAGGGGAAAAGGCAGAAAAAAATCTCAGCCCAAGTACAAAAAAAACCTCTGACGGCACAGCTCCAGAGTGGGGAAAAAACCAGTTGGCATAGTGACCACTTGTACTAAAATAATACCTAAACTAAATAATACACTATTTACCACCATTCCTCTTTCATAGCTTCGTGCCCAATGATTGTTCGTCAATTTTTGGGCTCTTTCATCCGGATATCCACTTCCCAATATGCGGTGAAGCTATATCGCCGAGGTTTATTGTTTGGCCATTTTTGCTTTCTTTTTCCTGAACATGTGTTATCGTACGATGTACAATATACACTCTACATATATCCTTCTATCTTTTCCTTTGGTTGCACAATTCAAAAGGAAGCCCTGTAAGATATTGGGCGCTAATTGACAGGCGCGGCTTCTTATCCACCTGTCATATGGCCCTGAGTCATATTACAGTCTCAAGGGTAACTTTGTATCATTTTTAATCTCGCGGATTGGCTGATATTTCGATTTTTATTTTTCCTACAGAGGGCCCATATTATGCGGAACGCCACGGATCTCCATATTTCTATGTACCGTCTAGGGTACAGTGTCTCCGTACGCTTTTTCTACATTCGGCAATCTAGAGATTTCAAAACAAAGCTCGTGCCTCACACTAGTAGCTCTCGTGCATTGCCTCAAGCTTGGACCCTCCCACAGAAGCCGCATTTCCGGCTCAAAGCCCATGCAGTCTGCAGTTCCTATTATTCACTTCCATTGTGATATACAAGGCGGTGTGGTCGGCTTCCCGTTCTCGGGAATGCGCGGGAGATCGTGAGTTTCAAGTTTGTCGACAAAAGGGGCAATTTAATTGGACCCCGGTAAAAATAGCATGGAAAAGCAATGGTCTCATGACTTCTTTCCTCAGTCTAACTAGTATAACCGAGTGGAGGCCGGGAATTTTCGGTTATAGCTAAATAGATTCTCTTCATATCTAGAATCGGGTATTGAAGAATAATTGTAAGGATTGCTAGGATGTGACTTGCCGCATGCTAGCGCAATTAACTTGCCTTTGGAGCTCAATTCTGCGCGTGTATCCTGCATGAAAGTAATTGCGTGCACTAATGCAATCGAAGGGTTATTCATACTTCTTCACTTCTCCTATTCCTCTCAATAAACGCACAGCTTGGAATATGTGTATAAAGGGACATCAATCTTCGCGTGGAAAGCCAGTACATATTCCCCTTTCTTCCAATCACAACGTACCTGCATCACAACCCCTCTTTTCGTGAAATAGCCACCCTATCCCCATCCGCACCAACAGAGCTCCCACGCCCCCGGTGAGAAGACTACACATTTATCTGCCATGAGTGTAATACATTACTAAAACTCACCACTCGGCATTTCGACAAGGTCGAACATGTAGGAGCTGACCGTTGCGTGGGTTGCGAGTATAGTACGGATAGCGGATACCTTGTAAATGGGAGGAAATTGCAGTAAATGATAGCATAGCTAACAAAGAGGAAGCTAAAGAGAGAGGCAGAGGAACATGTGAACCAGCCCAGAGAGCAACTCAAGAAAAAGGTGTTCTACGATATAAGTCAGGTAGCAGTAGAGGAGCGGCTACGATAACAACAAATTGAGGCATTGGCACGCCAATGAATAGAATTGTATACAAGTCTTTAGAAGCTAATACCTCCTCTGAAAAATGACTTTCTAGGGTGTCTCTATGTGGGCCAATATCAACCTGTCGGGGGAGGATGTTAACTACCAATGTCCATACTTATGCAAAAAGCGAGATCAATTAGGGCTTTCCTTATCATGTTACGTCTTTATGAGGTAACTGCAATGCAGCCAGGCAGGCAAATTTGATGTTCGTCCTCAACGATCTGATGTTTCTGACAATGCAGACAATAATGGATAGTAATAGTGTGTATCAACGTCAATACTCTGACTATCAAGGCAGTGCCGTCGTTCTTGGAGATTCATCCAGCGATAGCACATTGCATCACTCAGAAGAAGAGATGCATTTCGACTTCACATTCACAGCAAGAACCCTGTAAAGACAGAGGATTGTCAAAGTTGACACGACTACTTGTAAGTTAGTACATGGGCGCTTCATGGAAATCCACTTCTATAACTCGCCCGACGCTTTCGCTTATCAACGGCGCGAAATTGCCCGCCGCGAGCGTATCCACGCTATAATGAAGGAATTGCCCGACTGCATCTCGACTGCATCTCGCCACTAATTCTGACAATTCGAGTAAATACCTGGCATCGGGTCTGGCTTTTGTATCTTCCTCCCATTGGAAAGCTATCGAATTCTCTCAAGAATTCAAGTATCAAGATTCCGATCGAGAATTGTACTTGAATTTAATTTGTATAAAATTAAAGGTATCAAAATGCTCTTCCAAACTATGCGGCAAAAACCGAGGTGGCGCACTGTTACCCGTAGGATCCGTATAGACCCACCCGGTTCCCCATATCAAACACCGTATGAATCATCATATCTTGTGACAACATACATGATATGTTCAGCTTTGGGCCAGGGGTATAATATCATTGATCTCGGAAGACTCGCAAGTTCTCAAACAATCTACTTCTGTGACTCAACTTACTTTCTATTTTATACTCCATATAAACGATGTGAATGGTGACTCCATATGTCAACCTCAACAGATTTTCTTTCCTTCCCCCCTTGATGACCGTTCGAAGTCCAACATTTGAGGTTGACTTAAACCCACCTTGGTACGATGTCATCACGAGACAACCAAAATGATGTCTCATTTGGCGACAGCGAGACTACTCAAGAGTCGACCAGCATACACGAGAACGATACCACAGAGTCACCGGAAGAGAATATAGACTATTACCCAAACCATTCAAAACATAATCATGGCTGGCGCCATCTCGTGCGGAACTTCACACCCGCGTAAGTGTCTCGAGCGTAGGTTGTCGACTTTACTAACTCTTCCAGTTGGTTCTCGGTCATTATGGGCACCGGGATTACTTCTATTCTGCTCAACACTCTACCCTATAATGGCAGATGGCTATACTGGATATCAGTGGTGGTATTCTGTTTGAATGTGCTTCTTTTCATCATCTTCCTCGCCATAACCATATTACGATACATCCTCTACCCAAAGGCCTTCTACCTCATGGTGACCCATCCGGCGCAATCCCTTTTCCTCGGAACTTTCCCTATGGGATTTGCCACAATCATCAATATGGTTTGCTACATCTGTGTACCAGCCTGGGGAGACTGGGCTGCTTACTTTGCCTGGGCTCTGTGGATGGTAGATGTTATTATCTCTGTCATGACGTGCTTCGGAATACCATTTATTGTGTATGGTCTACATGTAACTACCTTTGGGGGAATATTAGGGCTGACTTGCTTTCCAGAATGACTCGATCGGCTCACGTCGAACTCCAGACGATGGGCGCCGCTTGGCTGCTTCCCATTGTGTCTTGTGTTGTTGCGGCGGCATCGGGGGGTATTGTGGCTGACTTACTTCCGAATCCTCAGTATGCTCTAGGGACTATCATTGTGAGCTATTTTCTATGGGGAGTTGGAGTGCCCCTGGCAATGATGGTCATTGTCATTTATTTGATGCGTCTTATGCTGTGCAAACTACCACCGAAGGCAGTGATTGTGAGCACGTTCTTGCCTCTTGGACCTCTTGGTCAAGGTGGTTATGGGTAAGTATCTTCGCAATATTTAGAAGGTGCGGGCCACACACTAATGCATCGTTCTTTCTGCATAGAATTCAAAAAATTGGAATAGTTGCACAAAGGATCTTTCCGCTTACAGGAACGTTAAGACCTGGATCAGGCGAGACATTCTACGACATCGGCTTCCTGATGGCTCTTCTCATGTGGTCATTTGGCTGTGTATGGCTCTTCTTTGCAGTAGGAGCCGTTCTTCGGTCGAGGAAATTTCCATTCAACCTCGGATGGTGGGCATTCACTTTCCCACTCGGCGTCTTTACAAACTGCACCAACCAGCTGGGCCAAGAAATGCCCTCCAGGTTCTTCAGAGTCCTGGCAACAGTAAGCTATGGGGACGCCAAATATTTCGTCTTCAGATGACTGACTCATCCTAGATACTAGCTGTTTGTGTTATATTATTATGGATCGTGATATCGCTGTTCACACTGAAGGGGGCTTACAATGGTAGTCTATTCGTGGCACCCTGTCTGGCTGACTTCCGGGAGTATGAGCCGAAGAAGTTTCAGAAAGAGAAGCATTGATCAAAGACATAGTCTGGTTCTCCGTTTTACAAGAATATCGACTCCCCAAAATACCTTTGTTTGCTTTCAATTAGACTAAGCCCCCACGGAGTGCTTGATAAACACCCCTTGACTTGTTGGCATTGTAGATGCCTTTTGAAGGTGCCATACGGTATCATACACTAAATGTCGGTATTTGATAGCCGGTCTGGTTCAAATGTTGAGTTTTCCCCATTTCCTGGGAGAAAGGCACAACATTGGAATTTGCTACCCAGATGGATATCTGACGTTCAGCAAATAGACCCGGGGCGGGTTTAGATTGATTATTAACCAAACGGGGTAGTTAACGGACCTTGTCTATTACGTCAAACTGCAGAGACTAGTATTACGAAGGAACTGCCGTAGTGGACATCCATGCGGTGGGCTTTCCCCAGCCCACCGGCCCCACATACAGCTTAGAGAGCACCCCGCTTCACCCGAGCATATATAGAACCACGTACGGATATCGAAAGCCCATCTCAAATACTTTCTTGATTACGCTTCTACCTCTACCTCTCACCATGTCTTCCGTCAAGTCATTCCGTCAACTCATCGGCATCCCCCCTTCCACCGCCTCTACCAGTGATTCAACTCTCATCATCGTCGACGCTCAAAACGAGTACGCCACAGGCCTTCTCGCAGTTGAAAAAGTCGCCGAAACCCGCAAGGCTATTGCCAAGCTACTGGAAAAATACCGACAGAATGGCAATGGCAAGAACATTGTTCACGTCGTGCACCAAGTGCCTGCTGGTGCACCCGTCTTCACACCTGACACTGCGCTCGCGCAGGAATTTGAAGAGTTGACCCCCAAGTCGAACGAGAAAGTCGTCACCAAGAACTTCCCTAGTTCTTTTGCCAAGACTGATCTGCATGATTACTTGCAGGGACTGGGAGAAGTAGGTCGCAAGATTGTACTGGTTGGCTACATGGCACACGTTTGCATTTCGACCACTGCACGTGCTGGTAGTGAGCTTGGATATGATATCATTGTTGTGAAGGATGCTGTGGGTGATCGCAATATCCCTGGTGCGGATGCGGAGACTGTGGTCTCTGTGGTTCTCAGTGAGTTGGGTGATGGCTTTGCTACAATTCTTTCTGAGAGTGAGATCAGCTCGTGAGCTAGTGGATTGAACTTTGGGTCTATTACATACAAACTTATGCACAATTGAAACCACTTATTGAAATGATCCCGTCATCTTTCAGCACGGAATATATTTACTTCTGGTGAGGAAACTCCGGTGGGGGTGAGGTAGTAAGTGTAAAGATGAATGCCCCATTGTAGCGCTGAGTATGATCGATCAAATATTAGGAAATTGGATTCGGGTATTGATGCTAGTTCGCTCTTTTGCCTATATTTCTCTCCCTGGGCCTTATCCCAGGGTCAACTCCACCAATTTTCGTCGGTTTCCAACAAAACCCCACTTTGTGAGATCCAATTGGTATCCCTAGGCTCATCCGATTTATCTTTTCTTTTAGAATATACCAAAAGTCGTCGGGACAATTCTGCATTCGAGGCAGCTTCCCAGAAATGCCTCCTATCCGGCAGGGGGAACTGTAGATCGGAGAGGCGAAAGGGTCGACTATCAGTCTCATCAGACTCTCCCAAGCAACTCCCCCTTCCACAAAGCCGGGAAACCTTATACAAGGCCAAACCTAACCTTTTGATCTCTTCGACTCCTACCCACATGCAGGTAACGGATTCCACGTTTCGGTACCTTGTAACCATATTAGGATAGTAGAAGATGTTGTTTCGCAGACAGGTTGCGATCAGAGCGGAAAGGATTTGACGATCGGACACATGTAAGGCCAGACTAAGGTTGAGTTCGAGACCAATCGAACTCGACGCCAGTAATGAGAATATGATGTAGAGAAGGATGCCTTGGTAGGTTCCAATTGGCCATCGTGAATTTGGGCTGCCTGGACCTTCGTTGTCGTCCTCCCCTTCAACCGGCGATTGTTCCCATTTGTCCTGCGAATCAACAATGAATTGGAAAAAGATTTCAGATCGAATGAGTGCCTTTGATTAACTTACCCGTTGTGCCGAAATCGCCAGTCCTAGCTTTGAATGTAAGTTTCGGGCATCTTGCCGCGCCGCCGCACTCCCACTAACCCAGAGGCCGATCATTACCACTGCCTGAAGCAGCAATTGGGGCTCGTCGGGAATACTGAAGGTCTGTTGATGTAAAAACGGCCAGTGCTGATGAAAATGCGTAAAGTAAAGATGTATGTAATGGTCAACTCGGGCCGTATTCTCCAGGGAGGTATTGATCGCATCATCATCATCACCACCGGACTCCCAGGGTTCTTCTTGGGGATCTGGTTGAGCGGGCTCGATACCGGGGAGGACCCCATCAAAGATACACAAGTGTCCCTTTGAAGAACACTCTGTACATGGTGAGCCCCCCTGGCACCGTGCTTTTGTTGTACGACATCTCATGCAGGCCTGTGTGGCGCGAGCAAGAGATTGTCGCGGGTCTTCATGGTCGCGACGAATATGACGTCGGAGACTATCACTGCATGGCTATTCATTATCAACTGGCCTATACTATCTGAATTCAAGTATCACTCTACCTGCGAGAAAAAACACGTTCACAGATTGAACAAGTGCGAAGGTGACTTCCACGATGTTGTGCTTCGTGGCGTCGGAGATGCTCTTTACGACGGTAACTCGAGGTACAGCCGGGAACCTGACATTGAAACGGCATATTAGGCTGATGTGAGGTTGCCTTTTGAACATCCCACCGGATATCCCACCGGGTCAGAGTGGGGCGGTGACGGCCCTGCAGGTTAGTCATCATTTTCGCCGAGAGATGAAAAGAGGTGAACTGAAAAGAGGTGAACTGTCTATAACTAAGGTCTATGGGGTATTTTGCTTTGGATATGTATACACCACAGACACGTGCAGATTCGCATAATTTCCAGCACGCCATGCCATAGACTCAATAATCACCAGTACAAGAATGAAATTATCCTTACCTCGGGCGAATATACGGAGTAGAGGCCCTGAATTAGGCCCCAAGACAAAACCGAAAGAAGAATTCTCGAATATACAGCCAAGAATGTGGAGTAGCTCAGGCACTCATATTTCCATCTTCCCTATCGCTATGTACCTTTACAGGGGCAATTATATTCTCTCACAAAATTCAGTATTATAGTCGGGCATGATACAGAGTTACGGGGTTAATGGCACCACAAGAGAACAGAATCAATCTGGAAAATCCAGGCAGCAGAGTTAATACTACAATTAGTATAAAGAGTAGTCAGTATGGGTCCAAGCGTTCAGCCCTACGGTTTGATCTGCACTTTCCCTCACCGACACCATTCTTCTATTCTCACGTTCTTTTCTCTCGAATCGGAATCACCTAGACACGTCTGACGATGACCTGTTGCCCAGACCTGCCGTGATTAGTCAAAGTCAATCATCTTGGTCAATCAACAGTGAAATCACGACATCGCTGGTACCGAAATATATGGGCCATCAGCCCTATGGTCCGGGTCTGATGGACTCAATATGGCTGTTCTTACTGGTCATTCTCCTTTTTTTCTTCTTTCTTCAGCTCCTCTTCTCCTCGGCAATCTGGAGAGCTGCCGGTTGTGACCCTCCAGACTACGAAGAACCGGAGAAAACCCGACGCAACAAAGGCGGAGACTACCTCGACCCGAGTCGGCCACGCTTTCGCAAAGCTTTTACAATTTGATTTAGGTCCAACTCCTCCAGTTGTGAGAGATGAGACCAGAACTTATGGCTATTACGAGGATGAACCCACTGTGGGCGATTAGTTTCGAGGTCATACACCCACCGTGCCTCACGTTCGTCGTTATATCTGGGGTCTCTTCCCTTTCCTTCATTGAATTGGGTATTACAACGTGCAATGGCTGATTGGGGATCTCGTGGCAGGTGAGCAAAGCCCCATTGAAACCAGTCAAATATGCATAGAGACGAGACTAACCTATAGCTCTCAACAGGCATTACTGTTGGTGCCGTGGTCATTCCGTAGGGTATGCCACGCGCTGAACTAGCCAAGCTGCCCCCAGAGTACGGCCTGTACTCTTCATTTATGGGGGTCTTGGTCTATTGGTTCTTTGCAACGTCCAAGAACATCACTATTGGTGTAAGAACGATCCCTATTTTCTTTTGAGAAGGCCTAACACTATCAGCCTGTGGCGGTCATGTCTACACTCATGGGCTCAGTCATCATCAGGGTTCAAGCAGTTCACCCTGAAATACCTCCACCGGTCCTTGCTTCCGCTCTGGCAATCATTTGCGGTACGGTCGTATTGTTCCTCGGGTTGCTTCGTCTTGGTTTCATCGTCGACTTTATCCCTCTTCCTGCTATCACTACTTTCATGACTGGGTCTGCAATCAATGTTTGTGTTGGCCAAGTGAAGACAGTTCTAGGAGAGAAAGCGCATTTCTCTACGCGTGGGGCAACCTACGAGATTATCATTGAAACGTTGAAGCATTTTCCATCTGCTCGGATGGACGCTGCCATGGGTATCACAGCTTTGGCAATGTTATATGGCATATGATCTGCTTGCAACTATGGGACGAGGAAGAAACCCCACAAAGTCAAATTGTTCTTCTTTTTGTCCACATTGCGCACTGCCTTTGTTATTCTTTTCTACACCATGATCAGCGCTACGGTCAATCTTCATCGACGCAATCACCCTGCCTTCAAGCTACTCAGTAATGTTCCACGGGGGTTCAAAGCTGCAGGGGTACCCCAAATAGATGTTCCAATTATCAAGGCGTTTGTTGGCGAGCTCCCCTGCTGCTGTGATTGTCTTATTGATTGAGCATATTGCTATCTCGAAATCGTTCGGTCGCGTCAACAACTATACAATCGACCCATCGCAGGAGTTTATTGCCATTGGTGTATCGAACCTACTAGGACCTTTCCTAGGTGCATACCCAGCTACAGGGCCATTCTCGCGAACTGCTATCAAAGCGAAGTGTGGCGTACGCACTCCCCTCGCGGGTTTAATCACTGCCGTTGTCGTCCTTCTTGCCATATATGCACTGCCAGCGTTGTTCTTCTTCATTCCCAAATCGTCCTTGTCGGCTGTGATTATCCATGCAGTGGGTGATCTCGTCATGCCTCCCCATATCACCTATAAATTCTGGCGTATATGTCCAATTAACGCACTCATCTTCTCCATGGGCGTTATCGTAATCATATTCTCAACTATCGAGATCGAAAACTACTGCACAGTCGGCGTATCACTGGCAGCGCTCCTCTTCCGACTCGCCAAAGCCCGAGTCCAATTCCTTGGCTACGTTCAAGTGCATTCAGTCGTGGGTGACCATATCCTCAACGGGGACCCAAGCACAGAACTCGAATACGATATCGACAGGTCCCGAGAAGTCTACCTCCCAACCGAACACGAAGGTGGCACAAACCCCCAAATCAGTATCCACCAACCAGCCCCAGGAATCTTCATCTACAGAGCCTCCGAGGGCTTCAACTACCCCAATGCAAACCACTACACAGACCATCTAGTAGCCACATCTTCAAAGAAACCCGGTGTACAAACCCGCAAGCATGGGAAACAACAGGTGACAGACCCTGCCTGGAATGACCCAAATCCAACCCGTGCCGAACGCAAAATTCTCATGGCAGAGGAAGCACCCACCTCCCCACTCCCAACTCTCCGTGCCATAATTCTCGATTTTGCCGCCGTCAACAATGTAGACGTCACATCCGTGCAGAACCTCATCGACGTCCGCAACCAACTAGACCGCTGGGCATCCCCAGACAGCGTGCAGTGGCACTTCGCACATATCCAAAACAGATGGACAAGCGTGCTCTCGCGGCCGCTGGGCTCGGGCTCCCCGCCGCTTCAGATGGGTCAGGTCCTCGATTGCAGAGGTTGATCTTTAACGTTGCGGAGATCCTGGATGGCAGTCTACCCGGCTCAGAGGCTCAGTCTCGGGTCATCGGGTTGAAGGAGGACTGGTCGAAGGATGTAGAGGCTACGAAGGTTAACACTCGTCGTCGAAGCAGTCGATCTGGTGTCGGGACTGGTATGGCTGTTGTCAATGGGATGAATCGGCCTTTCTTCCACGTGGATCTGACTAGTGCTCTGGAAAGTGCTGTGGCTGATGCTTAGGGGATGCATATGCCGGCATGGTGTATTCTTGATTTACTAAATTTGCTCGCTTCCAGGGTTTCTTTACTAGCTTTAATCATTATTGAGTATCCCCATTTCAAAAAACTCTGAATCAGACAAGGCCAGATATTTATTTATTCACCGCAACTCTGGAAAGGCTTCTCTACGGCTCAGACTGGCGGTGTCAGATCTCGATCGCGTAGATCGAAGACTAGTCCTAATTGCGTATAGCCGGTGGATGCGGACGATCTTATCTGTGTTGGTGGCTGTCACTTGTGAAAAGCCTCTGAAAGACACTAACTACCTATATAATAATAATAAGGCAGGCTACATATTACATATGTTCGAGAGGATCATTCGGCACGAAATGATGCATACTCCCAGTACCATCACAGTTGTTGATTAACAGGGTTGAAGCCTAACAAATAACATCTAGTTAGCATCCAGCTAAAGTCTCTGCCGGGTGGCAGGAGAGAGGACATTGTTGTCAGATTCAATGGCGTAGAACAGGGGTTGTTCGGGATTCACAAAGCGCCGAGGGATGGGCTCTTGAAGCATGTTGTTGTCTTCAACGGTGAAAATCCTATGTTCAGTCAGTACCAGTCCAGAAAGATTTTGAAGTTTGGGCGTGGTATGAGAGAGGGTTGATCTCAGAAGGAACAATTGGAATTTTTCTTTTAAAGTTTCATCCACATAAGAGTTCGGATTGATTTTCTCATCACAGGATCGGTGGGTTGAGGATTGGGGGGAGGTTAGAGATTGGATGCACCACATACCATAGACTGCGGCCTTGAATGCCGATCATGCCCTCCACACACTGCTCACTAGAGAAATTCCATCCCCATTTCTAGCCCGACGTAGTCCAAAGGTGTGAGCATAAAGCTCTTAACGCCTCGAAGGACTGTACAAATGAGTCCTTGAGATCGGTCATGTGATATGCCAGTTTCATCTTCCTAAAAGATGAGCCAACCTATCCACAGGGAATGGAAAAAGCTCGAGATACCCTCGGTATCCAATGTATCCGTTAAGCAACAGCTCACGCATCCCTAACGCGAACGTGATACAAGGACTCGATACTCTCCACTTCAACACAACTAATCTACAACTACAGTCCTTCCTACTCAGCCATCTCGCTCTCCACCCTCTCGGACAAGTCTATATTTGCAAGTCCGGTAGGCATCATATCCGCAGCCTCGGGATGGTAGGATTTGTGATGGGGAAAAGGTCGAAGCCTACAATATACGAAATGGCCAGTCTCCACAGTGCGGACCTGTCTCTGGCTCATCTGTAGCATGCAGTCAAGCTTGATGGTTGGGTGTGTTCCGGACGGCGTGACGTGTATCTATGATGCAGCGTGCGAGCCTGGAGCTGCTTTTGCGGACTGGATCGAGGCTGGAACGGGTGTTTTCGGCGCTGTACTGCCCGGTGCAGAACTAAGGATCAAACTGCGCTGATCGAGGGATGTGTGTATTCGGTGCAAGGGTTGATGCTTTCGGCGAGATCGAGGAGGCGTGGATGGGACGTCTTGTGGTAAATGTTTATGGCGGATCATATGCCCCTGTTCATAAGATTTCTCGTTCGAGAAGGACGCATTGAGTGATGAACTTGGCTGATGGGTGGTTTTAGATACGGAGAACTCCGTGCTGCGTGGCCTCTTTGAGTCCGTGGGGGCGGATATAGTGACGGAAGAACGGCTGTGAGGTTAGGTATGCGCTGTCCAACGCACCAGCTGTAACAGGAAGCAGGGCGCTAGGCTCGTGATTGCATGTGTTCTTGCCGAGGGCGTGGTGCGGTTCAAGGGAAGGTACGCTGACCGGGGGAACAGTTCATCTTATGTTAGATTTAAGAGAGTGGATATTTAAGAAAGAAACTAAGCTATGGATACTGTGTGTGTCTGCTTTACGGCAATACTGTGTACATTATACTGAGGCTATACGAGATGCCAACTGGCCTTATGACCTCACGGCATGTCAATGATGAGTTGATGAGTCGCCGAGTTGTGGAATTACCATACCGTATTTTTGTATTTACCCGATTACACCCGGCCCTAGAGCCCCTTATCTTAAAATCTCTTGAACAGCTCCCTCTCAAAGCTTCTTTTCTATACTCAATTGCGGTCCTCAATTGTCATTCCAACTTCATACCAATTATCCCCTTTTCCCATCTCAATGGCCTGAATAGCTCCAGGCAAGGAAAAATGCGTAACGACTGCACCCTGAAATCGAGCTTGTGTGGGTCCCGCCAAGCTGTGATCAGCCGAAATTACCAAAAATTGAATTCCAGGGATAAATGCGAAGAGCCTCTGGTTAGCCCGTTTGGGACGCTCTAATTTGGCTATGAAAATTTTTTACTGGGGGTAGGTTGGTCTATATAAAGGTCCCCAGCCCCATTCAAAAGGGATGGAAAGGCTGAAGGACTGTTTACCACGTTAATCTGAACGTTGTGTAATCTTCTTTAGGGCAATCCGGAAAGACCAATTTTCACAAGTCGGGTTATGGCGGGTCAAAATTCCAGTCTAAGTGGATCGGTCAGAGGACACGACAACCCGGTTTTCTTTTGTTTTTTTAGCTCCCGTTTTTTTTTCCTGTCTTTTTTCGTTGTTCGGTCTAAGCTCCTATAAACTTATATAAGAGTCGCTGCAGTACCTGCATGTCCAATGCATGGGTTCTTCCCTCGGCAAGCCTACAGACCGAAAGCTATCGGAGTACCGGATCCGTCCCAGAATTACGTATATTCCAAATGTGACCACTCGGTGAGGTGGATTCCCGAAGGATGAAGGGGGAGACAATATCCACCTCTCATCCACATTATTTGTCTCCTTTCGGCCGGTCCACTGGTGGTTGCCCAGTGACTCCGTAGCTGGTGGACCTGGAATCCGAGTCGGGCCGGTTTGGGCGACGCCGGGAACAAATCCAAGGAAAATAGCGGACCCGAGTAAATTATTATTGGCTGAAAGAAGCTTGTTAGTGGGTCAATCCATCGGATTGGAACATGCTTAAGATCCACTGCAAGGGCGAAATTAGGATTTTATTTTGTTCCTTTTTTATTTCTTTTTTATTATCTTGTAATTTTATTTCATCCCTTTATTCAGCTTCTAATGCTACTGGCATACAACATATATCCAAAATGTATTAAGGACACTAGGTAATCTTCCCCTGTAAAAGTGAAGGGTCATCTTTTCACCATGCAGGGGATATTCTGATAAAAGACCCATAAACCCTCAAATCCAGTGGACCCAGTTGGAACAATACCCGACTGATTCCGACAGGTCTCGATACGCGGTAAGAATGGGAAAAACAAGACGAAAACCGATTGAAACCGATCGATACGAGACAAAAACAGACCAAAACGATCCCCAGCATTCCTTAATAGTGTGATTTGCGTATGAAATACTCCGGAGTCCACGCACAACCTAGGGCTTTTTTTTACCTTACACATACACTAAGACCGACTAGGAGGCGGACGGGCGAAAATTTGGCCGTAGAGTATTTATGTCCTAGTGAGTGCCGTCTCCCGTAGTTTCCCAGCTTTTTCTCCCTGAAAAGTCCATCTTTCTCCTCTTTCCTTCTTTCTCCTCTCTTCCACCCACCCTATAATTCTATAACCCATCATCACAATGGCCGCCTCTCGTGTCTTCGCCTCCCGCATGGCCTCCGTCATGGCCCAGACCTCCAAGGTCGCTCGCCCTGCTGCTCGCTTCCAGCTCAACGCTGCCACCAAGCGCACCTTCACCCAGAAGGCCCCCGCCTTCGGTGCCCCCAAGCGCATCCAGTCGCCCACTCTCCTCCAGGCCAAGGCTTTCCAGACTGCCGCCCGCCGCCAGTACTCCTCCGAGGTCGCCTCCGCCATGGTTGAGGTCTCCAAGAACATCGGTATGGGTTCCGCTGCCATCGGTCTCGGTGGTGCCGGTATCGGTATCGGTCTCGTCTTCGCCGCTCTCCTCATGAGTGTCTCCCGCAACCCTGCCCTCCGTGGCCAGCTCTTCTCCTACGCCATTCTCGGCTTTGCCTTCGTCGAGGCCATGGGTCTCTTCGATCTCATGGTTGCCATGATGTGCAAGTACGTCTAAATTATCTACAACTCGGGTTTTCAGATTCTTGGAAAAATGTCATCAAAACAAGGATTTTGGGTTTTTTGAGAGAATCTCTTTTTCCGCCGGGGAGGGTATTTGGTCGTGATGTATTACCATGTACTACTTTCAGCGTCATCTACAACACTTTTCTTTCTGTACATATAGAGTCCTATATGGCCCATCGACCATCCAACCTATCAAAGAGCCAAACCAAAAACTCTGTGTGTTGCGTCTGACGGCCGTATAACATCCTCTTTTCCTCTTCCCTTAGATTTTTCACCATTTCCCCACGGGGCAAATGGGGAAATATGCAACCACGTATATGGCGGCTTCACGAGCAAAATCTGCCTTTGCTCGAAAGCTCAGAACTCCACGTAGACCAAAAGCTATAAAACTACAAAACCCCAGGTGGGCCACTAGTTTGGATCTCCAAAACAAACAGCTCTGCTTTTTTGCGGCTTGCCTTTATTCCCCCGTTATAGCGGATATGTTGCTACGGGTCCTGCAGGGTGTTTGACCCGCTCTTCAACGAGCAACTACGCCACAACTACCATCCATTGGCCTAAAAGAGACGGTGAGAGTAAACTAGAGATGGTTCATAAGACAATCGAGCTATTTTATCGCACATCTTTAGTGCTGGCGGGCCTCAATTGAGCTGGGACACCTTCGACGCAAAATTTTTAGCTCCCGGGCCTCGGGAACGGCTTTCCCGTAGTCAGCTGACTCAGCTTGTGACATCAGCCCATTGCAGACCTGCCACGGAGGTCGAGGTTCTGCATGCAGTATGCAGGAATTGAAAGCGAAGCAAGTCATATTGCAGCGTCAGCTAGGTGTTTTGTTAATTTACTCTGGTTGAGGAATTGGAAGCTGCGATGTTCGGCAACTTCCCCGTCATATCCACGAACCCGGTCTAGTCCGCTTTCAGTTAGTGACATTAAGTAGTATATCTCAGCAACATTGACGATACCTAAGCTTGGAATGGATCTTTCTTTCTGGTGAGCTTATAGGGCTGTCTAAGCATCGGTGGTGCTTTCGAGGTCTGTTGTTTTGGACATAAATAATGAAAAAAAAAAAAAAAAAAAAAAAAAAAAAAAAACAATATATATATTGTCTCTAGACTTGATTTTGAAGTGTTCATCCAATATATACATTGGCAATTACTAAATCATATCAACAATGAACTTTCTTATTTTTTAATTTTATTTTAGTCTTATCTGATACAGTAAATTCAAGAATAGAGCTCATAGTAATCACCAAAGAGACTTATCACTACAAAAAACTCGAAGCTAGAAGAGCAATGCACGTGCCAGGCAGACGTGACTGCTCGTGTTGATAACACCCGGGCAGCTCACACTCTAGTGAGAACAAGAGGTCAAGCATCAAGAAATATGATCCACATTGAACGATATAAACATGCAACTTGTTAACAGAAAGATTCACAAAAAAGGACAAAAAAACGACTCCAGACATGCCATGATCGCTCGAAACTGATGAAACGCTGATGGGGAATATGTATCACCAGGACTCGACAAAAGAAAAACCCAAAGTGGAGGCACAGCAAAGCAAACAAAAACACAAAGAAGAGAGCAAAACATGCCAGCTAGAAGATCTCCACTAGAAGATCTCCAAATCCTCAAACTCAACTACCAACCCATCCGCCGAACCCGTCGGCAAAGAGGTATCCAGCGTCATACCATGCATAGCATCCCACATAGTTCCCCCACGCGCCAGACTGGTCGGCCGACTCGCATAAGCCCCAACATGCACAAACTTATCCTCAACCCCATAAAAGAACCACGTCACCTCGCGCAACTTCTTCCACGAATTCCCCACCGCACCAGGCGACATAGCCAACGGCGACGCCGACGGAACCTGGTACCAAATCCACAGCGCATAGCCGACGCGCTCAAGCTTGATACGCAGCGAATGAATCGCCAGTCCGGCCTGTGTCGATTGCACAAGCGGCGACAAACACCAGTCCGCGCCATCTGCTGTCGCGCTCACCGACGATGCGTTCACAGTCCCCGACGAAAACTCCATTCCGGCTTTCACCCATTTGCAGGGTGACCGTGTGCTGCGGAATCCGGGCGGTCCGTCGACTTCGGAGGAGAAGGATTGGGGTGCTGCCCCGGCGAATATCACTAGGCCACCTTGGTCCCATTCCATTTCCCAGTCTGCGCTCACGGTCACTTCTGCTACGACGAACGCGTGTCGGAGGGATGTGAAGACGATTGGGGCGGTAGAGGTTTCGCCGTTAGGGGGTTTGCGCCATAGGTCTGTGTTTGGACCCGCTCGAAGTGTGAAGTATTCCATGCATTGGGGTAGTTCGAATGTCGGTGGGAGGTTAAGAGCCGTGAAGGTTGATCCATCTGGAGGCATTTTTTTTTTTTTTTTTTGAGATTCTTGAATTGGGGTTTCACGCGCTCTTAATTGAAAGAGAAGGGAAATAATTGTAGTGTCACACTGTATGGTTTCTCAAAAACCACACCCTGGATAAGATGTAGCGGTTGATACTCTTAAATCCTCGGCAATGACGGGGTCACAGCATTTGCTTCTAAAATTTGTAAGGAAGTGTACTAATCGGAGAAAATCAAAGCATGCAAGATCTGTAGAAGACCAAAAAGAAACCCCACGGATTGTTGGGGTATGCAGTCAAGAATCGGGATATGCGGAGACGCCGAATGCGGATTGCGCCAGAACTGGGAATGGGAACACCGAAAAAGCAAAAGCAAAGCAAAGAAAAAGAGAAAAGATGATGAAATAAATTATTATGGAACTAGATAGTATTTATGTGAGAGTGTTCCCCCCTACTGGATTTCAGGGGATGATCTTCTCAGGTCCCGCTGGGGATGACCCTATCGTAGAAGCACATCTAGAGTGCTGGAGACTCGAACCAAACTGTTGGGCCCACGGAGGCGCTAGAGTCGTGTTATTTATGGTCAATTCCTTTGAGGGCACCCAAGAAGCGTGCTTGCATCGCTTCGATAGATGAGCTGCGGGCCAGTTCATAAGTGGGGAGGGGGCACCATGCATCTGCGGAGGATCCATCACGATGTGACGGAGCTTCTGAGAGGAGAATCAAAGATCCTTTACGCCCAAAAGGACCCAAGGGGCACACACAAGGAATATGGCGAAATTGTGCAGTTGACACTTGTCAGACGAAAGAACGTGCAGTTGGGAAACTCATATCACATATTTTGGGGGAGAGATTATACTTATCGAGGATCGATCGGAATAATGCAGGTATGAACTGGGTGGAACTCAGATTCGGAGAGCATTGCCTAGGATGTTCCTTGGTCGGTTTGACGTAATGGGCCTTTACTCTCTGCAGACTCAGCCACGCGAGTTTTCTCTCCGGCTGCACAAGGCTGAAGAGGGTAATCGTGGATGTTTCATGGGGAAGATGTGATATATAAGACAAAATGTAAGGAATGTAAGATATGATATAAGAACCCTTTCCCTCCAACACATCTTCCTATATCTACTTATTGTTCACGTATGCCCTATTCCATCCTATTTTGTGCGGTAAAATCTACAAATCAGCTGATATGTTTCTTTTTATAGACCGCCAAGGCTTCAGGTGACTATCAAGTCATTTCACGATGTGTTGTCACCTTCGGGCGCAACTTAACTATCTTCTGTCGCCTAACGGCAAATCCATTTCACCCTTCTCTCCCTTTCTCCCCTTTCCATTCTACGCCCCGCACTAGCAAGCGCCCATGTATTCTGTAGCCGAATATGCACGGGGCGAAGTGCAGGTCCCCAAAAGGGGGTCAAAACACGATCCCCAAAATCAAGTGAATTTGACGACTTTGACGACTTTGACAAATTCGACGGGTCTTGTGCCTTGCAATGTTAACTAAGAGCTTTAGGCCAATCGACTCCGCCCCACGGGCATCTTGGCTTCGTATTCAGGATTTAAGCCTCAATCTTAGCTAGTGTGGATTTGCTTCAGCCCCCCTGGTCTGTTTATTTAAAGCTCTTCATTTCGTAAAGAACTGGTGGACGGTTAGATTTTTTTCCAAGGTCAACATATTAAATTGCAAAAAGAATGGCACCTCGACGCGGCGGCGGAGGCTTTTCCTCGAGTTCCTATGGCGATGACAGTCCCTGGAGCGAAACAATCTGGTTGTCACTGGAAGGCTACCAGGGCAAGGGTTTCTTTTTCGCCCAGTTTGCCTTTGATATCCTCACTCTTATTGCGCTCGTCATTTTCCTCATCTGGGCATGTACAATCAGGAATCGTGGTCTCCCGCTGACGGGAATCATTTGTGCCCTGACTTCCTTTATATGGTACGTAGACAGACCTGAGCTAAAATAGACAATTTGCTAACTAGCAACTCAATTGCTAGCGCCCTAATAAACACAATAGTCTGGGCATCTCTACATATCGCCGAGGCGGAGGTGATGATGTACTATGTGATCAGCCTGATGCTCCGGGACTTCTTCTTGGTGATGGGGATCTGCCTCACTTTCTACGTCTTCTGGAGCCTCATCCATCGCTTCTTGGGCCTGATTACATCCTCTGGCAAGCCGCACGTGGCAGTGACTACCGTCCATTATCTCCTCTTTGCTCTCATTTTCGTGGTCTCTCTTGCCAAAGTCGCCTTGTATATCACTTCTTGGGTGGGATCCGTGACTCGCAACCAAGAACTTCTCATTCAAGGGCAGTCTTCGGCAAAGCTGAGTGTCGCGATCTATATCATTTACTGGCTGCTGTCTATGGAGGTGCTTGGTTGGACGATATTCGTGATCAAGAAGGCTGGTAATCATTTCGTGTCAAGGGTGAGTCATAGCATAATGCTTCCTATAACCGGCGCAAACCAACTAACTGGCTGTGTTTAGATGCCCGCTGGCGCACTTGTCAATGCCGCCGTTTGCTGGTTCGCGATGTGCCTCACCTGGGCCGTCAAATACATTCGCTATAGCCCATTGTTTGCTAATGCTTACCCGATGTATATGGACCTCGTCACAGCCATTATCCAACTCGTCTTCTGGGTTGGAACTTACACTGGTATTCTCCTGTGTTGTGCGAAATGGCGCAGGCTCGGAGACGAGCAGAGCTATGCTGCGCCTCAGTACGAGGCCCAGCATCCCCCCGCCTACTTACACCAGAATATGACCCATGTCCCTGAAGGAAATTACCCTCCAGTTCAACAGCAGCCATATGGATCTGCTCCTTACCAGGATTATTCGGCACAGCCTCTGACTTACTCGCACCAAATCTCGCCTCGTTAAGGTTGAAGTAGAGGTCGGGTTCTGTTGAGATATACTGGTTGATTTCTTCATGTTTTTGACGCGATTACCCCTGTCTTTTGATATGAGAGTTTCCATGCACAGTCATACTCTCTTTTAATGTACGTTAATGCCGATACCCAAGGAACGATGCGAATGATAGCAATGCCTTTTCGTATATAACATTGTATATACCATATTTCCAGCGAGCTTTAAATAATACATTAGAGACAAGAAAAACACAATAAACCAAAAAAGCCGCTCATAAAACGCGAGGAAGCAAGTAGACAACATGTCTTGGCAAGTCACCAGGCGGTGGCAAACAAACCCGCGACATCATCTTCGTTTTCACCGGCATCTCTCGATCAACAACTTCCTTTCGCCTCTTACTCTACAGCAAATAAAAATGGTCTGCTCAAAATGCCAAAAGAAGCTCAAAGCCACCGAGCTTGCCACGCCCGGCGTCAAGAACAAGAATGATATGTACTACGGCTCGCCGTCTACTAAATTGGGTGGCGGCGCAGACAAGGGAAAGACGAAGGCGACGCTAGGCGCTACGGGAATCGGAAAGGTATGTTGCAAAAGCTTCGATTCGATCTTACATTGAATTGTTATGATGAATTTTGATACTGACCTCCCCTCCCAGAGCAAACTCCTCAGCGCAAAAGCGAAGAATCCTTATGCGGCTTATGCTTCGTCTTGTGATAACTGCAAGGTGAAGACGGAGCAGGGAAAAAAGTTTTGCCAGCGGTGCGCTTATCAGCGGAATGGTATGTTGCTATATTCTTTTCTCTTGGCTTCGTAATGCTGATATCGATACTAGCCTGTGCCATGTGCGGCAAGAATCTGGCGGGGAAGTCGGTCAAGGACCAGCCTATTGTCCAGGGACAGAAGTTCAATATGGCGTGAGGTGCTTTCAGGCTAGATCTGGGCGGTTGTTTTTCTTTTTCTTTATTTTGATTTACTCTACATGGCATGGCGTTTTCGGGGGCGTTGATGATACCGCGGAATTAAATATTAATATCAACATCAACACCGAATGAAATAAAATGAATTGATTTGACAGTGCAGGAAAATTCTAGTTATACATGGCATGCGCAATAAGAGTATATGCAATGCGTCACAAATGGTGCGCTATAGTATCGGAACAAGTATGCCTTTTCACCTCCATCTGAAGAACCTTGAACATCGCGTTCTCCTCACTCAGCTTTAGCCCCCTCAGCTGCTTCCAATCACCCACCTCTTAACGGTCGGCCAGCATGTTCTTGATGTTGCTGTAGTATTGCGTATTCAGGTATTGCGCGAGCTCCTCCTTGGCGAGCCACTTGAAGTCCTTGATGTTCTGGGTGTTGACGGACAGATCGGCCTGGCCAGCCATCATACGAGACTTCAAGAAGAAGATCTTGCTACCGGGGGCCTCGATCTCGTTTGTCTTCTTCGAGCGGCGCGGGTTGAAGGAGTGCCATCCGATAGGGTGGAAGCCGACCATCCAGGTGTTCATGTTGACACCGGCGGACTGGGAGAGGGTGCGCTCAGCAGCCTAGAGAGAAATGGGATGTTAGTATAATTCCTAGACTCAATGTGGCTCGGATACAAGTATATGACTCACCAAGCGAAGGGTCTCGCCCTCCTCAACCGGCGAGCTAGGGAACTTCCAGTGTCCCTCCTTAGACTGAACAAGGAGATAGAGAGTGCGGGAAAGCAAACGATCGAGACTCTTTTGATCGTTCTTCTTGTCTGCCTCCGTGATCCGAGGGTACGGCCGAGGAATTTCCTCCTTTTTGCTAGTATCTTGGGAAGTCGCATTGGCCGTGGATTCTGCGTCCTGGACAAGGGCCTCAACCTGGTGTTCGGGCTCAGACTCCTGTGCTCCTAGCAGGAGCTCGTCGTTCCATGCATCGCTGTCGTACGCGTTGTACTTTCCGATATCACGCGCGGCAGTCCGGCGCTCCTGAATCTTTTTCTTCCAGTCTTCGTCGGCTGGTGTTCCACGCTTGAAGTAGAAATATTTCGTAAAGGGGAGGGCCAGACGCTCGTTCAAACGCTTCTGGTAGAAAAAGAACGCTTTCTCGAACGGTTCGAGCTCACGGGTGATTTGGGGAGGGCGGGAGAGGACAACGCCCGCATTGATGATGTAGGCTGGCTTCACGGCGGGATCGGCTGCTGTAGACGCGGAGGTAGATTCGATCGCTGGTGCTGCGGAGGAATAGCTGCGGCGGCCAAGGGTCTCTTTACAGCTTCTGCAGACGCCGGAATCGATTATTGATGGCCCTACGCGCGGAGTCAGTATTTGGACCTAAAGAATCCGGGAAAAACATCAATTGAACATACGCAGTAGCGAGGCTACGCGCCGTGCACCATTAGATCCTGACGACATGTTCTAGGGTGGAATGGCAATGTGTTTGAGGCTGATCGGTGTCTTGTCCCCGAGAAAAAGATCCAACCAGGTCACGTTGTCGCCAGGCCCAATTGGGCTTAGTCACCGCCCGGGGGAGTTAAATTGCGAAAATCCAACTTCTCTTTTCTTCTCTTCTCCAAGCATCTCTTATCATCACTGCGTCCAGTATCTACGACCGGTTGATCATTTAAAGGTGCTCAGATTGAGCTCCCCTGAGGTCGCGGCCAATTTTCGCTAGCGGTACCTTCTTTAAAAAAATCAAGGCGTACTGTTAGATAGCTGTCGCGGACATCCCTATCTTAGTCTTATATATGTGCTCCAATATGAATACATATGGAGAATATTTTTTTACCTATTTGCAATTCCTTTCCTCTTCTCCATCTTTTCCCCCAGAACCGTAAATCACCACCTGCCCTCAAATCTCCAACAGCAGATCTTCCTGCTCTGGCACCTGCTTTCCCACCTGCTTTCCCAGCTGCACTATCCTCTCCTGTGTACCGAACACCCGCAGTATGTTGCCGTAGATATCCCAGAAGGGATCTCCGAGACGCGGCAGTAATTTGCCCTGGTTGATCAGGCGAGATATACGCTCGGAACCAGTGTTAGCTAGGGATGTGTCAACCCGAGCAATCCGAGCTGGCTGAATCGTTGGAATGGTCTCAGTGTCAACGTCAAAGAAGTTGCTGAATTCACTTCCGGGAACAAACTGGTTGTTAGGCTGTGCCATAATACCGGCAACCAAACTGGGTATTGTGGTATGTAGCTGGGCTTTGACAGTCGGCTGGGAAGGGCTGCGCTGTATCTCGCCTGCCAGTTTGATGAAGGCCATGGCGGCAAGCATACTATCGTATCCTGCCTCGTGGGTACTCTTACGGAACTTATACTTCGCAAAGCGAGGGTCGATCTCTGCGGAATGGTTAGTTATGCTTGCTTGCTGTCAATGATATAACTCATGTCCGACCTATCTTGGGGTTTTCTATTCCAGCCAAAGTCGTGTTGAGCTCTTCGAGCGAAGACATGGGGTTTAGAGAGCCGCAGTCATGAGTAGCTATGTACTTGGTGTCAGCTACCATGGGGAATAGCTCGTGGATGATGGCCTGGAACTCGGCGAGGGTATCTGGCAGCGGGCCTAGAAAGCACCTGTAGAAGAAGAGCAAATCGCAGAACATGTTGTGGCCGATTAGAACCGGTCTGTTCTCCTTGAGCCGGTTCTTCACTTTGTCTGCCAACTGCTGGATTCCGAAAGTTGGTTGCTCGATTATCTTCATCAGAGGATGGAAAGCGTCTGATTCAAGTTCAACCAGGCTTCCACCCACTAGTGCTTCTGCGATCCACCGGAATCCGACATGCTTCCGGACTCGTTCCTTTTTGACCTTCAATTTCGCATCGAAGGTAAATTGCTCATTGCACGGGTCCCGTAGTTCGATTTGGACGAACGTTGATGCACCCCGCGAGGTTAGGTTGGGGTATTCGTCGCTGATAAGGTGGTGTATCAGCCATTTCTGCATACTGCTCAGCCCGGTAGGGATGGGGCCCGGAATAATCTGCAGACTGCTGGGTGGTGGGATGTTGAGCCAGTCCCGGCGTTTCTATACCTGTCAATTGATTTGCTCAGATCGATATTTGCCATAGCATCTTACCTCGCCCTGTGCCAGCCACTCATTGATACTGATCCGAACGGTTTCAAGGAACTGCAGAGATTCATGGTCGTCTTCTTTAATATTTGCAACTTGGACGACATTCCGCGATTCACATTTCTCCGTAGCTCTTTTGATTGCCAGTTTTTCTTCTTCTCGAGACAGGTATCGGACACCGAAGGAGCACATATAATCAATGCTGAAGTGGTTCGCGAGCAAGAACTCCATTGCTGGTCAGGAAGATATTAGTGATATGCTCAACATTCGTCGTAGATATCGGACATACAGCGGCTTCCGAATGTCCAGTCCCGATTCACATCCATCTCATGCTGGGTGATTGGGCTCAGATTTATGTTGTATGGGTTCAGGGTGTAGGTGGCTGTAGATAGTTAGCGTTACATGTCTTGAATTGGGGTTCATTGCGTACCATTTTCCTTGTCTTCATGACATGTTGTCAGCCCAACTTGGAGAATCTGGTACCGCTCTGCGGCCGCCTTGGCTTCCACATATCGCTCCTGCACAGTCTGGGGCCGGGGTTGTGGACCATTTGGTTTGAAAACCACTCCAGACAGCTCGAAGTCTACGGACACGAAGCAGCTGGTGGCGATGTCGTTGAGGATGGAGGGGAGACAATCGGGGAAGGTGACAGCTGTGATATCCATCTTGGTTCGAAGCTGAGAACAGCATCAAAGTATGAACTTGGTGAATGAATATAAGAGGCGAAAAGGAGAGCTTTGTTGAAGTCTTGATTGCTGAAAACCGATTGATGCAGACGTGAAAGGAGAGTACGCTTTGGGAAGGCAGGTATCCGAGTTTCATTGACCAGAGAGTCGTGCTATCAAGTTGGCGAAAAGGTGAGATGACCTGACTTTGAAACTGAGAGGTTGAAAGTTTGATGATCTATTTGGCTGAATATCAGATCTTATAGATCAGGGTTGAGATAGGAAGGAAGTAAGAAAGAAGAGAGTTGGAGGAAACAGGACACAATACAAGATCTCGAAGCTTTTAAATGCTGCATTTATGAAGCCTTGGAGAACCACCCCCTGCAATATGGATGTTGTAGCAAGTATGCACATTTTCGACTACATAGCTACATTTTATTAATAATTTCTGTTAAAATACATTCTGTATTGCTTCGGAAATGTAGTATACAGCTTCACAAGCAAGATCTATGTTAGCCATGAGAATCATCTCAGTCGGGAGCGTAGAAGTGCTCGAGACAATACCCTGGTGAGGTTGTTTATTGTTCCAATTGTCCAATTAGAACGAAGCACGAGTAGACGGCCGCGCATGCGGGCTTGCAATGTCTTTTTAGTAGTCTTCTTGTAGTAGTTTTTTAGTGGTCTACTTTGTCCCCCTTCTCGGTTTTATAGGCAGCGGGTAGAGAGCAGACAAAGGCGGGAAAAGTATACTTTGTGCAAGAGACTTTCCTAAGTATAACCTTTGACTAGAGTCTGCTACTCTCGTAAATCCAGCCTGCGATGCATTAACCGAAATATTTGGGAGAGTAGTCTAGAGTGATCAATTCTCAAGGAGAAGAACCCCCTCTCGAAGTGGTCTAGGGATCAATGTAAGATAAATATATAAAGAAGTCATAGACGAGTAAACAGGCTTTGATATATCACGGGTAGATACTCACAGGCCAGTCCCGTGACCGACCCCGGACTTGGATGAGCCGAGGGAAAACGAAAGCCGACCCCGACACTCTGCACTTTGCTTTACTTGAATGGTTTCCCTTTTATAATTACTCCTTTTACTCCTTATAAAGCAAATCTATATTGCTTTTTTTTGATACGGTCTCCGCAATGGCCAACGGATCCCCAATGCTGTCTCACTCTGACGCCCGCTCTTCATCCTCGGCCTCCCCCACAAAGCTGTGCTCCAAGACATACAAGAAAGCCTCCCAACTTTACCTCACAAGACGCTTACCCGAAGCCCTCGCAAACCTCCAACCGATTATTAAACCTTCAGCACCACAAGAAGACCAGCACACAAATGGCGACAACTCAACACCGGTTGCGCCGATCGCCACGGCCGCCGGCACGTGGAGAATCAAGGTGTGGAACCTCTACATCACCCTTCTCAGCGCAATAGTCGATCTCGGTGCAGAGGAGGAAAAAAGCAATTTGGGCAGAAGGAGTGGAAAGCAATTGCCTCGCAAGTCAGGGAAGGTGCGATTTGGGAGACCGTGGTCGAGGTCGGATACCAAGGTCACGAGGGTTCGGTGGATGCTGAAGTGGTCTATAACCTGTTAGTAATTCGACTTCACCCCCACTGACCTAAATTGACGTATTAACAATGCGATAATAGTGCTACCCTACTTCTAACCCATTGCTCTTCGCAATCCCTGAACCAACAGCGCCTTGAGACCTATCTCTCCTCTTATGGACAACCCAACCTCGACCTTACGGATCGTCTCCAGGATGCATCCGATGAATACGAGCAGCGCCCTCTGCGTACGACAAGCGGAGCTGATACTCCAAAAGATTTAACTGCCAGAGTAAAGATCATCGAACTCTTTACTTTGCACGTCCTCCCCCGAAACGATGAGTGGGAATACTCGACCGAATTCATCAATTTGAGCGAAGTCCTCGACGAAGAACGCAAAGACCTCTTCCTACAGACTCTCGAGGGTCTGAAGGAAGAGAAGGAGCGGGGTGAAATGCGTGCAGTCGAATTACAGCAAGCCAAAGATGCGGAGCTTGAACGGCAACGAGAGGATGAACGTCGCGAAGCCGAAGAAGCAGCGGCAGCCGCTGCGCGACTACAATCCAATGGACATAAACGCAATCCCAGCGAGGTTGACTACGGAATTGAGAAAAGCCGCTCAAATGGTTCTCCCAAAGGCAAAGGAGCCAGGCAATCGACAGACAAGTCGCCGAATGGCAAGCCACGAACTTCTCTCTCATCGTCCGGCTCCAGAAATGCCAAGAAGCAGGACAAAGTTGTACCTCGGGGCCGCTCAACTCGGACTGTGGCCACTGGACTGCGCAACCTCTTCCGTCACATTATCCGGACTGTGTCTGGGAATCCCATGTCAATAGTGCGTACCCTACTTTTCGTGATCGGTATTTTGATGGCGATGAGCCGGCAGGGTGTGCGTGATCGCATCCGACGGGTTACGGACGGCGCATGGCAGAAGGTGAAAGCTACGGCCGGAATGGGAGTCAAAGTGAGCTATATTTGAGATATAGGCCACTTTGGTCTCTACGCACATTGCATGGTTATCATGTACATTTTTCTAGGTCAAGTTGGCACCCCTAGGGCTCTTGGGGTTATTTTTGCATACATTTTTCTTTTGTGATTCCCTTTGTGATTCTCTATGTTCATGTATTCTATGCATACATACCAGATTGCCACCAGGTGTGGTTGAATTTACTTTTACCCAGGTCCGATTTTCCATTCGTTTCGACCAGTAATTTTCAAAGACCCCCGTAAAGTGCCTTGACTCATTGCCCATTACGTTCATTCCACTGCCGATCAAAGACAGTAAGAGATCGTTGAGCTATAGAAGATTAGCATTAGCTTGTCTTCTACATCGGATATCCGATCTATTCCAAGATAGGAGGCTTGAAAACTCACCGGAAGGAACAACATCTAAAGCCTTGATAGAGACATTGAGAGGCTGGCTGAGCATATAAACAGCAGCCTCGGCAACATCGTTCGCAATAAGCGGCCTAACAACACGACCATCAGCAAATCTCCTCGACCGGATAGAGTAACCGGCAAAGTAAAAACTGACGTGTATCCTTCCAAGAACTCATCGTATTGTGACTGGTCATGTCCAATCCTTTGAGCATGGAAATGTCCCGCAACAACACCAGGCCTCAATGCCAACACCCGGATATTAGTTCCGCTCAACTCGTTCCGCAACGAATTAGTGAACGCCTCTTGCGCTGCCTTGTTGGAATGATAGACTGCTTCGCCTGTAAAAGGAGGCACTTCTAGGCCTGTGACAGAGGTGACGTTTATGATCGTGCCTGCTTTACGCGAAAGCATACTACGGTTTAGCACAGAGTGAGTCACGTACATTGGGCCGTTGACGTTGGTTGAGATCATTGTTTGGATGTCTGATATTTTGAGGCTGTGGAAGGCGTTTGGTGCACCGAGGGCGAGACCGGCCTTGGGATTTGTTAGTGGATGTCTATAAGAGAGCCTGATAAGCGTACGTTGTTGATGAGGATGTCGATACCACCGAGTTCTTTGGCTGATGAATTGACAGCTGTATCGACTTCGTCGTAGTTTCCTACATCGGCTGTTCGGTAGATCACTTTGATCTGAGGGTGTTGCTTGCTTAGATCGTCGGTGAGTTTGGCTAATTTGTCCTGGATACCATGTATGTCAGTTCCTATGTTCGAGGATCCTTGATGGGCGCTGAGATATGATGCTTACCTCGGAGCGAGAGAGAAGAATCAAATTTGCACCGGCTTTGGCTAGAGCCCTTGCTGTTGCTTCACCGATGCCCATCGAGGCTCCGGTCTATAGAAGTATATTTATATGAGAATTTGTTTGTGATGGTGGGCAATCCACTTACAATGAGGGCAATTTGTCCACTTAGTGCCATTTTTACGTATGTAACTATATCAAGGCAAGCCTTTGTAACAGAACAAAGGAAGAAATAGGGTTGATATGCTGTAGAACTTGCATACTTGAGGCCATCCCCTCGGATTACAAATCATCTTTCAAGTGGATCTCATCCAGAGGGACTTCGGTAGTATACTGGACCCACTTCACCTTTTGGGCATATATTGTCACCGATCGATATCATATTACTCTGACGATCACATTCTATAATCTTAATGGGGCCGTAGATATAAAGTTGTAGGCGAATTGGTAGCTGGACCTAGGAGTTGTCCTTTGGCTATTCACAAATTGAGTTGGGTGGGATAAATTCAAAGCTGAACTTGTAGATTATTCTGTCTCATTCTCGACTTGATTTGCAATAGTGGTATCGGTTTGAGCACAAGATGCAGTCTAACCTGTGTAAGTATCTGGATGATCTTCGCCTAGGGGTAGCACAGTTGTCTAGAGAATGAATAATACACACTGTCACGGCAGGTTTTTGGGTCCATAGCGGCAATCTATATACAAGTCCTTATAAGCATGAGATTTTGTTCTCTAATTTAATACACCTGTTCCGAAAGTTGTTGCTGTCACGCTAGAGAACAGCTTGCCTAGTAGACTCACACGACTTTTTCTGACTTGGTGGGATCTTCAGTTTCGCCAGCGGCCTTGCGTTGAGCTCCGCTCGGGGTAAATTTATGTTGCCGATGTCAATTAAGTCAATTGAGCCACTTTTTCGCAATAATATCGCTGCTTACTATATGATTCACGGTCTCTTCTGCGTATATCAGCGCTGTGTTTCCCACACATTCTTACAGCGGTTTCAAGGACTTTGTCTGATTTTTCCGAGTAACGCTCATAACGCAAAATGTCATACCCATCAGCCATAACGACCTTGGTTCATAACCCACAGTTACGCCTGCTCAATGCTCTCCAAGCCAATGCAAAGCCTATTATGACATTTCTTGGCCTTCCGTCCTTCCGAACAGCCCAGGTTGTAGCCCAGACCGGTATCGATGTCAGCATTTTCCATTTTCTGTGCTTAGTTTCCCTACTGATGACCATAAAGGGCATCATCATCGACTGCGAGCATGGCCATATCAGTGATGATTCCATGCACAGCTCAACTGCTGCCATTGCGGCTTTAGGGGTGTCGCCTCTTGTCCGTCTAAGGATGACCAACTCGGATCTGATTAAACGAGCTTTGGATGCTGGTGCTCAGTGAGTAACACGGACCCTGCTATTCTAGCACTAACATTGTCACCAGCGGTATCGTTGTTCCTCAAATTAATACCCCTGAAGAAGCAAGGGCTGTTGTCTCTCACTCAAAGTTCCCTCCACAAGGCCTGCGTGGGCAAGGCTCGGCGTTCCCAGCCATCACCCACGGCCTCGACATTCCAACATACCTCAAAACGGCAAACGAAACGCTGATTACCTGTCTTCAAATTGAATCGAAGATGGGGGTCGAGAATGTTGACTCTATTTGTGCTGTACCTGGTGTCGGTTCGTGACTAGCTCCCCAAACCCTAAAAACTGTCACGCTAATTTCAGTCAAGATATGGTTTTCATCGGGCCAAACGACCTTGCCCTATCGATCCTTGGTTATGTTCCCGCCAAGGGTGATGAGCCGGAATTTGTTGATGCTATCAAAAAGATCGTGGCTGCTGCCAGAAAGAATGGCAAATGGGTCGGCCGATTGTCCAACGATGGCGCCTCATCCAAGGAACATCTCAAAGTCTTTGATACTGTGGCGATGAGTTATGACATTCGGGCAATTCAAAACTGGTATTCAAGTGAATTGCACATTGCGCGCTCGTGATATATTTCAGGTCATAAGAGAGAATTTTCACACCTATATAGCTAATCTACGCCTGGAGCACCTAAGAGACGACATATTGTTCCACTCTGGCCATGCGAAGTATGAATGACTGCTAATCCTTAATTTGCCGACACGCAATAGTGAAGCTATGTATCACATATCCGTCGAGTATCAGCAGCCGATACCGTCCCTTTCTCCGGCTCGAGCGGACTACTATAAATGTAGGGAGGCTTTATATTTTCTGACAGATATGTGGATCAAGAATGTAGTGGAAAAGGGTTCTGCGGCGGTTTCTCAGGATTTGATTTTATAGCTATGGGTTGCCTGGTTTTTCACAATTCAAATTATCGACTTCTATTGCTATATCATAGAGCGACGGCCGGATGGTAATTTAGGACTTCCGATCCCAGACAATTTCATAAATGAGGGTAGACAGATTCTGCTAAGTTCTTTTCAAAACACATGGTATTTACATTAAAGAAATTCGCCCATTATCTGCCCTGCCTTTCGTGCAACTTGCTGGGCATCTGGGCTGATATCCTCATATTCTGCCATGAATAAGAACCGTTCCTTCCACAACTGCCATCGCCCCTCCGTAAGTCCGTGGCTTCCATCCCAAAGGGCTGTTTTACCGGGTAGAACTTGTTGAATGTACTCAGAACTGTCGGGTCGATCATCCTTCCACATCAACCCTCCAGCATGGATTATCCATTGTGCAGCGGCGCATACATTGGCTGCCAGTAGCTCTGATACATTCATCTTGTACCATGGTGACTGTCTCTGCAGCGCGGACTGTGCCTGACGTCTTCCCTCCTGGTACTTCGTCGGGTCCACCTCCAAACACTTCTTTAATAAGCTTAAGCCTAAGGCACGAAGCTTTATTCCTTGACTAAAAGAAGTTGTAGCTAGCAGTCTTGCTGAGAAGGTATTCATATTAATCCATCTAGTGGTTGACTTGGATGCGGACACTGTCCATCCCGATGATGCATGGGGTGAGATCATATCCCACTTATCGCGCCACATGCTCCCGAAGCAGCCTAACCATTTTCGTGGTATGTCTTTAGTTTCGGACTCAGATAGCTGTGAATCGAGTTTTTCGGCTTTAACCAAGAGGGCTAGTAATGAGGAATGGGTCGAAGGAAAGTCGGCAGCGGCCTCATAGATGAGCTCCCAGAGAGCCCATGGCGTATCATCATTTTTGAAATCGAGCAAGCTCAATTCTTTGATTGCGGTGGTTAAATCAATTTTGTTTGAGAATAGTTGCCGTAGGACCTCTGCATGAGGGCGTGCAGTGCGGTATTTAGGGTCAGTTATCTGGAGCCAGGATTCGTAATCACTTGTCGACATGATGGAGTTGAGACTCATCGAATGTACTCCTGGTACCTGGTTGCCTATGAGTGTTAACAAAAACCGGCTGGCTCTTCCCTTAACCGTGACATCATAGCTAGACTAGTCAAAGTACCTTTAATACTTTAGTCACCCTGGAGTATCACATATATAGGTGACCATGGGAAGTAAGAATAAGATCTAATTTAATAGGCAGAAAATAGATTTCATTATCAACCCGAAGACGTTTTGCGAGGGGGAGTTGAAAGTGTCATTTATCAAGCAACAGGTTTGACGCTCTGCCGACGAAATGGAGGCAAATACTGCCTTGTTCAGGGTGTGCAAAAATGGTCTACAGCGTGGAAGTACAACAGGGCGGAAATTATTGGAGAGCCCCAGACCATTGACCATTCCAAACCTTGAGTCGTATCCTCTTCTGTTTGATATCTGTCATACTTTTTGTCATGCGAATAGGAAGTCATATTATCCAGAAGAAACAATCAATGCTGTAATATGCCTCTTGACGGCCATAAGAAACTTTCCTCAAATAACCCTTATTCCTTGCGCTGCAGCGTGTGATATCCGAGCTTCTCTCTCGCCTGGGCAATTGTGGCACCGCTAGCGATCAGTTCCCGAATGCCGGCTTCGCTTTTTTCGATCCTTCCTGCCACTTCGGCCACTTCGCGGGCGCGATCTCGCGGAACAACGACGACACCGTTTGCATCCGCGACAACGATATCACGGGGTTGGACACGAACCTTGCCAATGCCGATCGTCTCGTTCACTCCTCCCACTTGTACCCGGTCCTTACCAGTTCGCATCCAACGTCCAGCAGTGAAGAGCGGGTAGTCATCATTGATGGCACGATTCACATCGCGGCACACACCATCGATGACAGTTCCAGCAATGCCCTGTAAGCCGGCGTACTGAGTCATAATATCGCCCCAAACTGTACAGTCTGTGCGACCGCCATTGTCGATGAGGATGACATCACCTATGGCAACGTTGTCGATGAAATCGCCAACACTTCCTGGCGGGTCGCTGGCGGGCACATAACGTACGGTAAAGGCCGGCCCAACCGTAACCTTTTTGTAATTGGTTAAAGGCATGATACCAAACGCCTGTCCAGGAATGCCAAGCTTATCGAGCGCGTCAGAGACCCCAGGAGTGTCTGAATCGGCAAACAGCGCTGTCAACTCTTGATCCTCGATGCTAGGCTTCTTGGGATTTCGATTGGTGGGTGGCGCGGTTGCCGCGACTTTCGGCGTCGGTGTACCCTCGTGGATAGCTTCGAATTGTGAGTCGTGCATGACCTCAGACACTAAACTTCCTGCTCGGACGGCCTGAACCATGAGGGCTTGGCGACGGTCGATACGCTCGCCATAATCCAGGACCTCCTCGATACGCTGGGCTGGGACAAAAACTGTCCCACATCTATCGGCGATCACATAGTCATCTTGGTGCACCGTGACGCCCCGCATCTGTAGCGGTTTGCCAGAGTCGATTTGCACCACTCGGTTGCGCGCACTAATCATAGTCACGCCACGGCCATAAACGGGATAGTTGACATCGCGGCTGCCATCAATGTCGCGACTCATGCCGTCGATGATAGTTCCACGGATGCCCTTCACTTTGGAGGCATTGGCGATGATATCACCCCAGCATGAGACGCCTTCTGTACCCCCGGCGATGACGAGAATGCGGTCGTCTGTCGTTACCGCATCTATAACGGGAGTGAGTAGATGGGCGGTGGGGGCAACATCAGTTTTGCGGCCCACTTCGACTGTGCTAGCACGTCCAACAATCTTTGGGCAGTCCCAAAGTGGTCGCAGGCCGTAGGTAGCTCCTTTGAGACCGAGAAAATCCAAGGCATCAGACACTGTATTGGTGTCGAGCGCCGAAAGTCGGTTCAAGATGCTAGATTGACCCATCGTGTCGAATATGATAAGGCCACCAAAATAATGGAACGTCAAAGTGGAATGGCTTATGGATATTGTTGCAGAAAGAAAGAATCTACGACCTGCTATATGTAGGCTAGAATCAGAATTGAACCAATAATGCATTGCAGTGATTACTATCTCTGGCAAGATCGGTGAGCTAGTCATGTTGCCGAAGCTTGTCACGGTAGAACATTGAGGGCAGTATCTGCCTTGCGCACCCTATCGAGACTATCAAGGCGTAATATAGGGTACTATCCCGAGGTGTGAAGATCGGCAAGGTACCTTTATGCCGATTTGGATGTAATGACTTGGCGATATGCCACTATAACTGGACTCGACACCGGTAAAAGATCACTATCCCGGCCTAATAATCGGCAGCTGATACGGGTTTTAATCCTTGCCTAAGTTCAAAGTACTTAATCACAGAAATCATTCATCACCAAGCTGTCAATTCTGTCACATGATCATCTCAGGGCTACAAGATTACCAGCTCGCTTTCTGTGTACCACCTTGCAATATAGTCAAATCCACCTCCAACGGGGACCACCAGCCTCAAGGACATAACCTCTAAGATCAGACCCAGCAATGGAACAATATCTTGATCTCCCGATTGCCCCCGCAGACATTGCGTTCGGTCTGATGGCCGACTTCGAGACAGACACCCACCCAAGGAAGGTTTCGCTGATTGCCGGAGCATATCGCGACGAGCATGGAGAGCCATGGGTCTTACCAAGCGTCAGAGAGGTACTTCCAACATTGCTTTGCAACAAAAGACAGCAATTAATGACTAGTATAGGCAAAGAAACGCTTCAGCCAAGCCGCTCATGAATACCTAGGCATAGCAGGCTCGCCAACCTTTATCAACCTGGCAAAGGGCCTTGTATTTGGACCCGTTGCCTCCAGCCTACAAGACAACGCAGCATCAATCCAAACCGTTTCCGGCACAGGTGCAAACCACCTCGCAGCAACCTTCCTTTCCGAACACCTCCGCCCAAACCGCGTCTTTATCCCCTCACCAACGTGGATCAATCACAAGTCCATTTGGGAGATGACTGGGGTGGTGGTTGTAGAGTATCCGTACTACTCACATACCACGAAAGAAGTCGATATTGCCGGTATGCTGGATGCCCTGGAGCAAGCCAAACCCAATGATGCCGTTATCCTACAAGCCTGCGCGCATAACCCCACTGGCGTGGACTTATCAAGATCCCAGTGGATACAAGTCGCTGAGCTCGTCCAACGGAATAAGCTATTTGCCGTCTTCGATAGCGCATACCAAGGCTTCGCTACAGGTGATGTCGACGGCGATGCCTGGGCCGTTCGGTACTTCGCAGAGAATGTTCTTACCTCTGAGACGCATCTAGGCATGTGCGTGGCGCAGTCGTTTTCAAAGAACTTCGGGTTGTATGGCGAACGTGTCGGTGCTTTACACCTAGTCGTACCGCGGCATCTTTCGGCGCAGGGCGCGCGGTCTAAATTGATGGCAATTGCACGGGCAGAGTATTCTAATCCTCCGCGTTTTGGGGCCACCATCGTTGAGACAGTTCTTAGCGATCAAGCCCTAACAACTCAGTGGAAAGCGGATTTGGATACGATGAGCTCACGAATCAAGATGATGAGATCTGAACTGAGGCAGAGGCTGGAGAAAGAGACGCAAGGGGATTGGTCGTGTATTGAGAGACAGATTGGGATGTTTAGCTATACGGGGCTGACAAAGGAGCAAGTATCTTGGCTCCGAGACGATTTTCATGTTTATTTATTGCCGTCAGGTCGGATGAGTGTGTGTGGGCTGAATAAGGGCAACGTCCAGTATGTGGCGCACGCTATTGGCGAAGTTACGAAGGCTAGGATGAGCATCGATATTTCAGTTATGCCATAGCTAGCCTATATGAGAATGCATGCAAATACTTGTGCTCTAATTTGATGCTGAATCCCGACATGGAATAAGAGACTACCACCAGAATTCATGAGAGCCTCGCGATGTACTCGTCGTCTAATCAGAGACGTGGCCTCTCTAGTTTCCCAAGAGTATAACTGATGACGCTAACTACATGTGATCTGAAATCGAATTCGAGTCACTTTGAAGGCGAATAGGGTGTCTGGAATAGTCTTTAAAATACTGCTTCACTATATTTAGTCCACCTCAAGTTCGTTCAATCTCAGACACAACAAGCGAACCGGATTATGACTTCCCGTGAAATATTGTACCCTATGGCTCAATTAGAGCAACCTCATGTCAATATTATACGGGGCGGTCTTGCAGTGATTTCAGGACGTCAGGGTGGTCTGGTGCAACGTTGTGAATTCGAGGTATTTGGGAAGAGGGCGCGAGAAGTGACGAAAGACAAACCAGGAAATGAAAGGATTGTGTCGGCCATCAAAGATGAAGAGCATAGCCTCGATGCCGACATTCGATCCGGAGGACAGCGGTTGCGAAATATTCTGAGCAACGCCATCAATTCCTGCTTGGGATGGTAGGTAATTCGTAGACCATTCCTTCGCTGGGAGAGGTACATAGGGTCTGCTTAGCCAGTCAGATCCAAATGATATTTGAAGTTTGATTGCTTTTTGCCGGGAATGGTTCATATCTAGGGCAGGGTCATCTTTCCACCTCGTAACAGAATGATACTATCTTAACAATGTGCGCTACAATCTTGACAGGTTCCACCGCTCGGGTTCAACGCTAGATGCTAGATATAAGTATTGTGTACGCGTCTGCAGATAATCAGGTATTCATGGAATAAGTCTAATAGGCATATGTTTCATTACCAAAAGGGGGGAGGGGGAAACAATTCAAGATTCGGTCTAAAGAGCAGTCTATATCACGGAGGAATGAAAACCGAATAATCTATTCAATCTATTTTAAACGGGTATCAAAATGCTCATGATCACGTCCAGCGTGATCTACTCGTGAGTCCTCAGCCATACCAATCTCAACATCATCACCTATACGATGATCCAAATCTTCTTTCTCGACGATTCTAGCATGCCACCACCGAAACAACCGAACGAAGAAATGCGCCACGCAGATCTGCTCCGTAGTATAAAGCAATACCGGAACCGATGTCTTTGCTTTTAGAAATAGATCAACCGGCTGCCACATTGCGTAGAGCAACGGGATACCGAGTGCGGTGCTCTTCGCTGGTCCGCAAAAGCACACTGCAATAGTTTCCTCCGGAGACATGCGTTTGAATATGGGTTTGGACCAGCGTCGAGAGCTGAAAATGCGTGGTGGTCTGGAGCAGAAGAAGCATACTGCCGTTAAGGTGATGTAGAGTATGATGTTGAATAGGACCACGAAGACTATGCTCTGCGCGGAAAGTGTTTGGAGGGCTCCTGTTGCGAAGCATGAAGAAAATGTGGCCCTATTATTTAGGAATGCTTGGTTAGGAAAGTAAAGAACAATAAAGAGTGCCAAGGCTTTCTACAGAAAGCTCGTTGGACTCACCAAATCAACAATAACAAGCAGCAAGTAGCCAGCTTCGGGAGCTTGGTCTTCTGCAGGAACCACGCAGTTCGATCAGGCCAAGTCCACCTTAGTAGCTGCCCAACGAATAGCGGCAGCAATACACTGAGCCCCAGTTGCTGAAAAACCTCTTTATACATACTCCCCAAATCCCCACCCCCATACCGCCAGGGACCAAACTCCCCCGTCTTCGGCATCAACGCAATAGTCCACGCAGCCGTAACAAACGGCCCGAGAATATTAGCCAACAAGACCTCCACCAAAGCAGCTGCATCATCCCCGCCCGCAGACCTCGTCATAACAACATTGGACGCAATCGTCGTCGGAATACAAGCAGTAAAGATGTACCCGGCCAGCACGGCGCGGTCAATCTTCCCCCCAGGGTCTGCAGCGAGGATAATATGCACGATGGCCAGCACCAGCGCGGGGATAAATAGAAACGAAATCACCTGCACGATCACATGAAGGCGCCAATTCAGAACTTGCGAGATAAGCTTCTGGCGGGGGATGCTTAGGCCGGAGATTAGGAAGATTATCGCGATCACCCCGTACATGATGCTGTACTCGGAGCGGATGGTGCCGCCGTGCTTGGCTACGTCCGGGAAGCAATATGCCAGGGCGCACACGATCCCGATCCCGATTAGGAGCCATTGGTGGAGGATTAGACTTGCGGTGCGTCTCAGCGCTCGCTGCCACCGCGGCTGTGCGGCATCTGGGGCTGCTTCCATTTTATGTTTTTGTTTAGCCTAGGAATGAGGACATGGATATTGTACACCCGTGGATATTTTGGCTTCCACAAGGCAAGTTGATCATGTAGGAATACGTAGACGATATGTAGTGTTGAAAATTGCGCAATCGGAATTAGTCCGATCTATCGGAGTCGATAGCGCGTACAAGAATCGCATCATCTGTTTGAAGCCATACACTGTACCACTATGATGCTCATTGTAGTATCTACAATTGGGGATATGTGTACGGGTCATCCCTTGTATCTTTGTATCAAATCTGGCATTCCAGAACGAAGTCGCCGAGATCGGGTAGCCGATCTATCAGTCGGGTTAATTGACCCCGGGATAGGCGATGCATGTGAAGGTACTTCGAGTCAACATAGAGTAGAATGACACCGTTTCATATTTCATACCTTCTTTACTTCGTTATATAAGTAGATCTCTTCAATGTGTCATGCAAAGGTTCATGGGTTAACTAGAAATTCGGTAAAACGTTCCTCCGATAGAATGACGGCCGCTATAGACGTCACTATCCGTGACTGCATGTACATTTATATAAGAATCTAGAAATCCCCTTAAAGACAAGTTTATCCAAGCATACAGTAATCCCCGCGTCCAACCTTCGAATACTTTAATTGTCCATCTGACTCAGAACGTCCCATGACCTCTGAATATGGACCTCGGCTGGGAGGAACTCCAGCGTTGGTCCGAGATCACCCGTAAATCGCCAGCGAATTTCGCTACTTTTCGGGAAAGTTCTACTCCCGAACTGCTTAGAATCCCCGGAATAATTTAACTGGAAATATTAGAGGCTTTCTAGGCTGGGGTGGTCTCCGGTATGGTTGCGTGGAATAATGCACATGTAGTTTGATGAGGCACGGGGCGTTTTAAACGTCTTTTTTTTTTACATTGTACTATCTTATCTGAAAATAAAGTATAGAATCACAAGCTGCCAAAACTATGACGACTACCTTAAAAGGCATGTGAAACCAGATCATTGGAGATCTGGGGTGATTCATTCCGCGCTGGACAGAGAGCCGCCCTTGTTACCGAAGGCCTCGGGATTGTCTTTAGAAGGGTACATACACCCCTTGAACTCGGAACACACAAAACATAACTATTATATAGAGATCTCCCTCGGCAGATCATTTAGTCTTCTACCTCTTTTTTCTCTTTCTCTTCCTCTTTCTTTCCCGTTCTTGTGTGTGCGAGGTTATATACACTTCCGTTCGTCCAGCTTCCTCCGCTTCCCCGTCATAGCTCCCCACAAAGTCTGGCACAGCCGCCACTTTGCCTCGTGAATCATATATCCGGGACACTTATTTATTTTTGAAGATTAAAGATCCCTGCAATTGATCTCTTGATCTTTCTCGGACTCTTTCAGATATACCCTCTCTTTCAATTGCAGGTTGTTTCTGCTTTTTCTCCGGGATTGTATACTTCCGCATCTCCGCAATTTCGGCCTTCACTTGCGACAATCGGAAGATCTACGCAACTCGATTTCCGACACGGCCGATTGAAGATTTCTGTGAAATCTTGAACAAAAGTGCAAATTCCCTGCATATATAACACGTATTGAAACAATGTCCGCCAAAACTGCCAATCAGAAGCGCACATCGCCTGCGGTCAACTTGATCGGTAGAGTAGACTCTTCCTTTTGGCATGATGTACAGCTATTGACTTTTGCCTGATTAGCTGGTGGTGGTGCCGGTATGATGGAGGCCCTCGTGTGCCATCCGCTAGACACAATCAAGGTCCGCATGCAGCTGTCAAGGAGATCCACAGCACCCGGGGTGAGTTGGAGAAAATACCATTTGACAGTTGAAGCCATTGCTAATCATATTCGCTGGGTTAGGTTAAGGCACGCGGGTTCGTGGCCACCGGTGCTCAAATCGTGCAAAAGGAGACCGCTCTCGGTCTGTACAAGGGTCTTGGTGCCGTGTTGGGTGGTATCATCCCGAAGATGGCCATCCGATTCACCTCATACGAGTCATATAAGGGCATGCTGGCCGATAAGGAGACAGGCGCCGTAACCAGCAAAGCCACCTTCCTGGGTATGTCAAGCATTGAATAAGCTTAAAGATGTACGACGGAAAGCTAACAATCCTCACAGCTGGTCTCGCTGCCGGTGTTACCGAAGCCGTAGCCATCGTTAACCCCATGGAAGTCATCAAAATTCGTCTGCAGGCCCAGCACCACAGTCTGGCTGATCCCCTGGACGCCCCCAAGTACCGTAGCGCCCCGCACGCGCTCTTCACCGTGATCAAAGAAGAAGGCTTTAGCGTCCTATACCGCGGTGTCTCCCTGACAGCCCTTCGACAAGGAACCAACCAGGCCGCCAACTTCACCGCATACACGGAACTGAAGGCTGCCCTGCAGCGCTGGCAACCCGAGTACAGCAACAGTCAGCTACCTGCTTACCAGACCACCATGATTGGTTTGATCTCCGGTGCCGTCGGTCCCTTCTCCAACGCTCCCATCGACACCATCAAGACCCGCCTCCAGAAGACCCGTGCTGAGCCCGGTCAATCCGCTGTCTCCCGTATCATGGTCATTGCCAAGGATATGTTCAAGACTGAGGGCACTCGCGCTTTCTACAAGGGTATCACCCCCCGTGTGATGCGTGTTGCTCCCGGCCAGGCTGTCACTTTCACCGTCTACGAGTTCCTCAAGGGTAAGCTGGAAGGCTCTAACTGGGCTTTCGTTGGTGGTCAGTTCGAGGAGTAAACGTGCCAACTTTTTTTGTCTTTTTGGAAAGCATTTTGATACCTGACCGGCATGGCATGGTGGTCTGTTTCGGGCGTTGGACTGTCTTAATAGATGTCCAAGTGCAAGCCGGTTTGAAACGGCTCTTGTTTTGTATATAATTTGTGCTTTGCGTTAGTTCTTTTTCGTATACCACATTGTCTGGTGCGCCTTGAGCTGAAATAGAGAGAGTTCAAAGACTTTTGAAGTGTCGTTCGCCAGTAGTTGGGTGTTCAGGTCTCTCCATGAACAAGTAGTTGTATATACTCCAGTCAGCGATGCTAGTGTGATGACTGAGAACGTATTTCAACATATTCCTATCAAGTTAGGATAATCGTCAATTCTTTTTGTCTCTTCTTTTCTGTATTATAGACTTGTTAGATGTAATGGTCGAAGCCAGACCTGACCGCTGACATGGCATCGGCCCCTCATTCACCGCTCCCCTCCCCCTCATAAACAACAACAACAACCAACTCAGCTGCATCCTAAAGTGCAGCATCATGCAGTCAGGAATTACGGGTAAGACACTCGAGGATCTTGAACCTTGCACTCTGAACAAAATTACATTGAACTCAACTCAACTAATAAACCACCTAGTCTCCGCGGAGCTGCAAGATGCATTCACCCGCTTCAACTCCGACTCCTCAACCTTCTGTCTGCCGGTAACCATCACAGCAGAGACCCTAACACCACTGGCCCCGATCTCCTTCCAGGGAAGTCCCTCGGAAAACGCCTTCTTTTCAGCCCTCCCCCAGCTGTCCTCCGTCCTCCAGCCTAAAACCCCCATCTACCTTCTCCTCCGGCGCCCATCGAATGCCTCAACCGCACTGATCGCTTTGACCTACATCCCATCCAATGCGCCTGTGCGAGCAAAGACGCTCTTTGCTTCGACTCGCTCGACACTGACCCGCGAGTTGGGCACGGAGAAGTTCGCTTCTACCGTCTTTGCTACCGAGGAAGACGAGGTCCTGGGCCAGGATGCGTGGCGCGAGCGTGATGGCGAGGGCCCCAATGTTGTCTCTCGTGAGGATATGATGGGTGAGAAGGAGAGAGAGCTAGAGGCTGTTCGTAAGGCTGAGGCTGAGGCACGGAGTGGCACCCCTAGGAGGGATATTGGCATGGGCGGCACTGTTGGCACTGGCTCTGGGATGAGGGTTTCTATGCCGGTGGACGAACGTGCTAAGTCTGCGCTGAGGGATTTGCAGGATGGCGGTTTGGTACAACTGGTAAGTCATTTCCCTGGCTTGCGGTCATTCTTTGAGAGGGCTGGTCTAGATGGGATCTATAAGACTTGAAGCTAACTTCAAGAAGATCGTTGATATCCGCACGGAGAATATCGTCTTGGCCGATTCCCAGACTGGAGTTGAGGCGAGCGCTGTCGCCACACATATCTCTTCCTCTTCGCCGCGGTATTCCTTCTACCATTATCCCGGATCCGATGTCGTGATATTCGTGTACACCTGTCCCAGTGGATCATCGATCAAGGAGCGTATGCTACACGCAACCTCCCGGAGAGTCGCTGTCGATATTGCTGAGAAGGAAGGACTTAAGATCGAGAAAAAGGTATGCGCGCCCATGTTGTGGATGATCGTAATTGTTTGGTCATTCTGGATGCTCACATATAGCAGATCGAGGCCTCTAGCCCTGACGAGATCACTGGCGATCGGTTGCAAGAGGAAGTCGCCCCGTCACGAGACCAGGGTCCTACGCGAGGATTCGCCAGACCTCGTCGCCCTGGCCGGTAAATCGCTATTGTATAGATAGGCCATGCTAATGAGGCTGGAAGACTCCGAACCTCAGGCATCGACCCGATAGCTGTAGTAAATATAGCAGCAATGTGCTAGACTCTCGCCAGGTTATTGTCTAAAACTTGGTAGCTCCTCGTTCCGAGACAAACAAAGGTAGAATTGGATATGGGGCAGCTTCTGCTCATACGATGGCGAGCATTGATCGGATCCTCCTTTGAAAGGTGCAGTTTTCGCAGAGAACCTGTGTCAGATCGGATGTTTCCTGGATAACTGTGGCCATGCCCAATGCGTACAATATAACACTCCTAATTACTGCTTGGTGTATGTTTTATGAGCAACAGAAGGCATCATTGGCCGAGTTCACCAGTGCCGGACATGTAACTGGTTATTTCTTAGTTGATTGGCATAGGTTGAACTCGGCGATGTCCTTGACTCATTGGACGTACATCAGGATTCTATTCGGTTATTGACTTATGAGGAGAGATCATAGGTATCCCGTGATTCCATAGGGTAAGATGGGGCAAACGTTGGAATTTCAAATGATGGTCATGTGTATGAATAGCGTATCTTAGACAATGAGCTCCAAGACGAATTTCACATACACATATCCAAAGCAACAAAGAAGGCTTCCGGGTATTTGTCAGTGTCGGCCTAAAGAACTAAAGCTACCTCACCGCATGATTTGACATAAAAAGGTCGGCTATAGCCGACTACAAACTAATAAATCACAGTGTCCTCGTTATCCTCAACTACCTCGTCTCCGTCATCATCTCGGTGGGCATCATGCTGATCTTGAACCGCGCTTTCCTCCACGTTAGCAGTGGTTTCATCCGTTTTAGCTAGATCAGGGGCTTGCTCGTTATTATCTACACCCACCGTATCCGAAGCACCCTGAGCCGTTTCCTTAGACTTCGCATCTGTCAGATCTGCCTCGTGCTCTGGAGCCGGCTGGTCTTGACGACCATCTGTTTGCTGCTCTTCTGGCTTTTGCAGTTGTTCTTCACCTGCCTGTTTTGTTTCAGCCTGAGTTGGCTCTGTTTGTTGTGTTTCAGCCTGGATTGGCTGTTCGGGCGCAAATGCCTCTGGGGGATATCGGGCTTCGAACTCAGCGACTTCTCGGGCAACAGTCGCCTCTGCTTCTTCGATCTGCTGTTTTATCGCCGACTCGTCACCAGGTCTAGGCTGCCATGGTTTGTAATACTAAAGTGGGTTAGCTGATGGCTACTATATATGAATAGGAAAGCATAACTTACCAGAGCCGGCTTTGTCTGTGTCTTGTGGAAGTGCGCCATAGCAAGCATATTCGAATGCCGTGTTTGCATCTGAGAATGAAAAAAGTCAGTAAAAACCTCTCATGGCTATACACCACAATGGTAAGTGAATAAAACATAAACATACCGCTTCTCGCTCATACAATGGCATTTCCCTTCTCCGAATCTCATCACGCTGTTCCTTGCGCCGTTTCTTCAATTCACCGTACTCGGCATCCAGCGACTTCAACTTCTCTTGCTGCTTCTTTTCAATATCAGCGCGGCGTCTCTGTGCCGCGGAACTCGAGCTCTGCGAGAGAGTACCAAGCAGCCCCCCGAATAACCGCTGGCCCCGCTTGCGATCCTCATCTCGACCTCCGCGCGGTCGCGTAGGCTTCGTCTCTACAGGCTCATCTGTCGTGGGTGGAGGAGATGATGGTCGCCGCCGCTGAGATTGAGGGGAGTTATTGTCTGTAGAGCTGAGTCGTCGGCGCTTAGTGTCATATTCTGAAACTGAAGACTTTCGTCGCTTAGCTGTCAACTCCGGAGATTCGTGGGTGAGATCCTGGCTGGGCACTGCCACTGCTGATGCGAGTGTCTCAGGGCTGTCAAAGCAATATGCGCGTTAGTTAGAGCGCCCCAATGACAACGCTTGCGCGTGGGTTGCACGGGATGAAGGGAACCATACCCTTCAGACATCTTGATCAGCAAACAACGCTGCTTATAAGAAAGAAGCAAATTCGAGCGACGTTATGGACTCTGATCTGGGCCAAATATTGGAGTTGAGGTTAAGAAGCGCAAAATAACAAGGCGACACGCTGCTTGGAATCACACTGCGTGGAATCACGTGCACAGACCACTTCGCCTTCCGTCCACCGTCGGCTTCTCTTCTCTTACCTTCTCTTGCATTTATTTCTCATTTCACTTCCCAGAAAGTGCCACCCCATTACCTCTTTCCACTTTCTACAGCTTTACTGTTCTCATTTTCTTCTTACGTCACTTAAATCACAATGTCTCGTCACCACCCCGACCTCGTCATGTGCCGCAAGCAACCCGGCATCTCTATCGGCCGTCTGTGTGACAAATGCGACGGAAAATGCCCCGTGTGCGATTCCTACGTGCGCCCAACAACCTTGGTCCGCATCTGCGACGAGTGCTCCTTCGGCAATTACCAAAACAAGTGTGTTGTCTGCGGCGGCGAGGGCATCAGTGATGCCTTCTACTGCTTTGAATGTACACGCCTCGAGAAGGACCGCGATGGATGTCCCAAGATCATCAATTTGGGAAGTTCGAGGACTGATCTATTCTATCAAAAGAAAAGTTTCAGGAATCAATGATCTGGGCTTGCGGCTTGGTGTCCAAGTGGAGGGGAGCCAAGCATGAGTCTGGCGGGTTTACAATGTGCCTAGCGACAACAAAATCGACCGCAAGCTTTACAAATGTGAGCACGTGCAATACATCGTGGGGGTGGACTATCTAAACCTGCCTCAGCTGGGTTTTTTGGTGCCACCTCCTTGCAGCGACTCGGCGAGTGGAGGATATCAACGAGCACGTGGACCCGGATAATACCCAACGAGATGTTCCTGTCACTTGGCCTGATTTTGTGGCGTCGCGCAACGCTACCCAAAAACTGGCAGGCATGGTCGCAGCGTACCCTGGAATATCAGATCCCGAGGATCCACGAACGCTGTGCAGATGATTTCGCAACACTAGGACCAGCAGGGACCCTGGGTGAAGCAGCGAGACTGAAAACAACCCAGGGTCTGTTATTGAGATATCTTGGGTTTCGGCCATGTCTTGTCGACCACCCGGATGGGTATTGCATGAGCCCGAAGCCCCAAATTTGCGGCCCCTGGCCTGATGCACCTATCTGCCCCTTTATATTATGATGGGCTTTTGACAAAGGGTCCCTATCTCCAATTCTCAATATGAATACAATCATTTTTGTTTACATGCGTACAAGTTGCCTTTCATTTAGAAAATCAATTGTTTTCATTTCTGTAATATCATCGCAAATATCGCAAATATTGCAGAACTCTTAGATCCCCTTTGTTCTAACACGTCCGGTATGCCTTTATATCCTGATTCGGAGAGGAGGTTTCATCCACTTTCCAACATGATATTCCTTTTTTAGACCAATGTCCCAACCATCCGCCCTTCGACCACCGAGATCCCTGCCTCTTACCCGGACTCCCAGTCTCAAGCCCAGTCACCTTTCAGTTCACCCCCAGGGACTTACCCGTGAGTTCGATTATCAGAGAAACGATGGCCATGGTAGACAACCGCAGTTATGGAACAGGAGGGCCATCACCACGTGGATCCGTCATGATCTCAGATCTACACACGCAAATGCAAAGATTTCGTCCTAACAGATCATGGCCAATTTTTGTTCCCGACGATGTGGACGAAGCAAAGGTCATCAACGACAACGTTTGCAAGGCCTGTTACCTAGCGGCCCTCCTGCTCTTCAACAACTGTGTTGCCAAGAACCTGGACGATGACTCCGTTTCCTCGTCATCAAACCCAGTAGCTGGTTCTTTAGAGTAAGTTTGGAATATCAAGGAACTACTGGAACCATATATCTCAGGGATCTGCCTTTATCTGGCCTGTATTTGTTACATCTTTGCAACATCTGACTATTAGCGCTGGCAGCAAAGGTGCCGGCGTGAATTCAAATTTAAGGATATTTCCAGCGAGGTCATTTCTTAGGAAGTCGCAAGTAAATTACACCTCTCGGGGAAGACATGGGATGTTATCAACTAAAGTGCCTACGCCGAGGAATGTACATGAAAAATAGACATGCGTACACTATAGAGGTAGGGTTTACACTAGTCTCTTGGCGCCCCACTGGGCTTTCCGTGCCGAGGGACAACTGGGACTCTCCTAGGTTTATGATTATTCATCTTTGATTATTCTAGCATCTATTATCTCTTGACTGGTAGTCTCGATTTGTACTTTCATCTTCGCCTACCTGTGGAGTTGCATTGCTATATATAGTACATCAAAGCTTGGACAGAAAAGGTGCGCACAAGTATCTTAAAGTTCTCCACATGCATAAATCCCCCTTTCCCCTCAAGACGAACTTCAAAATATAACCATCACTGCTTGAATCAACTAGTCATGCCAGTCGACAAGATCAGAGCATTGGGTGACTCCCGTATTGAGTACAAGTCCGCTACACTCAACGGTCATAACTACTGTGAGCATACCACACAAGAGCTTATACCCCGATGTCTTCTACATAAAACAAATCGAACTGACAATTTGCAGCTTACCTCCTCAGCCAGCCTAAATCAGGGCAATACAAAGCCACTATCTTCCTGGTAAGCAACTAGCTCAATAAGAAAAAAAAACCACACACGTTGATGTATATTCTCCATAGATCCATGGCTTCCCCGATCTCTCCATGGGATGGCGGTATCAGATTCCCATGCTCGTAGATATGGGATTGCGTGTGATAGCTCCTGACTGTCTCGGATACGGAAGAACAGTGAGTCTTTCCACTCTATGGGGAACTATCATCTAACAACAATTCAATAAGGATGCCCCGGATGAATTCACACCGTACGCGCACAAAAGTTGCGCAGCGGACATCAAAGCCTTAGCATCCCATTTAGGCGAATCACAAATCATCCTAGGTGGACATGACTGGTAAGCACGCCCGAGCAAACGTTCTTTCCTAGAACCGCACAGCTAATACACAAAGCAGGGGCGCAGCACTCGCCTACCGCATTGCCCTCTGGCATCCAGAGCTAGTAAGCCAACTATTCACAGTCTGCGTGCCTTATGCACGACCCATGGCGCAGAATGTCTCCATTGAAGACCTTGTTCGTACTGTGACACCACACTTTGGATACCAGCTGCAGTTCAAGAGCGGGGAACTGGAGAAGGTGATTCGGTCTAAGGATGAGATCCGCCAGTTTTTGCTTGCGCTTTATGGAGGGCGCACGGAGGCGGGCGAGTTTGGGTTTGATGCCAATAAGGGTGTTTTGGTTGATACTATTGGCAGATTGAAGATTTCGAGGCTGCTGAGTGAGGAGGTATGTTGAGTTTATTGATTTGGGTTTGGGGGCTGTTATGCTGACTTTCTCCAGGAGTTGGAGTTTTATACGAATGAGTTTGCTCGGAGTGGGATTCACGGACCGCGTATGGTTTTCTTCTGGATTGGCTGGTTAGATTCTTGCTGATGATTTCTTTAGTTAATTGGTACCGCACTCGTGACGTGAACTATGAAGACGAGCTTGCTATTCTCGACAGGGTGATCCAGGTTCCTACGCTGTTTATCCAGGGACTGAGGGATCAAGCTCTGCCGCCTCATTTGGGTAAATCCATGGCCAAGCAGGTCCCGCAGCTGACCCTGAAGCAGGTTAATACCGGGCACTGGGCTTTGTGGGAGAAGCCCGAGGAAGTGAATGAGATTATTGGGACTTGGTTAAAGGACCGGATTTCTGCGGATGGAAGGACTGGCAAGCTCTGATCGGAGAAACGGTAGGTATAGTGGCACAGTGAAAAGCATTGATTATTGTGAAAGGACGTATCTCATATAGTCAAAGTATTAAGGATATAAACTTTATCACAAGTCGCGAGCAGTTGCTTGAGCCAGCAAGCTGCACCCGTAAACAATGAACCTATTTAGTACTGAAACACCTTTGTCTCGATTTTGCAGCCGACCTTCTCCAAGCGGTCCACGTACTCCTGACCTAGCGTAGCGGGAGTAACAATGCCACCGCGCGAGACCTTCTTGATCTTCTCCTCCTCGTTGAGGATAACCATAGCAGCCTCAGCCAGCAAGAGTCCAGTAAAGGGGTACATACCGCCGTGGTAAGTGATCTTACCGAAGACGCGCTGTGCTGAAGGATTATCTGCAGTCGCGATGGCATGGTACTCGAGAAGATCATTTGCCGAGTCCTCTTTGCGCGGGCCAGTACCAGGGGCGAAGACGAACTTCTGCACCAGCCAGCGCACCGGCGGCAGCGCAAGCAGCGAAATTGCAACCAAAAAGCCGATGTGGATAGCGACGCCAATCAGCGCATTACGGACCGACAGGAACTGACGGAAGAAGAAGTGCGGCCCGTACAACTCTGGCATCAGGCTGCTGCTGCGGTGCACGATGGTCATGTCGCAGAGGCCGGATGGGGAGGTCGTCACGGTACCCAAGTCGCGAATTGAGCGTGCGCCGAATAGCTTTTCCAGGATTGCTTCACCGGGGACGTTCTTTGGTGGTGGAGATGCTACCAATGAGAAGGGGCTCATTGACTTGGATAGATCGGACATTGAAAACGATTCGAAGGTGGTTAGAATTGTACTTATGGTCCCGCCGCTGGCACCGGAGGATCTGTTATGAATGGGTTAGAGATGTCTTTCTTCTTAGGCATGTAGTTACATACTTCATTTCCTTAATCGTGCTGTTGATATGGCGGGTTGGGGACGAGAGGTCCTCTCGGACTCGCTTAACCAGAGCCCATGCCAGGATATCAGCAGGGACACTCTCAACACCAGAACAAGGGATCATCTGTTTGAGCTTAGTATGGAGATAGCTAACATAAATTAGTTGCAGAACGAACAATAGCGCCATTGACCTTGGCGGTTTCGTGGTACTTTTCGATGATAGACTTGACCCAGGGTGTTTCTCCAGTACTGTAGCAATCAGCAAATGTACAAATGAGTTGAATGAGTACAAAGCAAATACTTACGCATCCACATAGTGAGTTCCATTGACAGCGCATGCTTCCACGACTGGGGTCGAGTACAAGTGGTAGGGACCCACACAATTGATAACCAGCCGTGTTTTCTGGGCAAGTTCGTTGAGCTCGGTGGACTTCAGTTGAACGACCAGGACATCTATTATCATATCGGAGTGAGCATTGAGGCACAACGATCGTAGACAAATGAGACCGTAAGGTTATGTACCTGGCTGCAAGCGATCTGGGTTAAGAGCTTTCAGTTCCTGGGCGATGGAGTCGATTTTCTGCGCGGAACGACCTGCGATAGCCCATTTCAGATCTGTAGGAAGGTTCTGCACAATGTGCTCTGCGCAAAGTCGGCCAGTATAGCCAGTTGGACCCAGCAAAATCAGATCATACTGTTTGTTGGAAGTCATGGCGGTTGAGTCGATGGGGTTGGAGTCTATGATGTAGCTTTGTAGAACAAGGGAGCTTTCGGCAAGATCACAAGCACCTCGGCACGCTTAAAAATGCCGCGTGGTGGTAGGGAATGGGAGCAAATCGATTAGCCAAGGCGTTTTTGAAGTTTTACACTAGAAGTAACTGGATATGTTAGGTACACAATAGATTCTACTAACTTAATCTGGGAATTGGTGTTTATATCGAATGGCAAAGAATGATCACGTGACCGGATAGATAGATTGGCCCGAGAAAAGGAGACACGGTCTGGAACACAATCAAGCCGAATTAAAATAGACGTTGATATATGGGCAATATAAAATGCTGTACGGGATCATTCATCTTGCCGAAGTAGAGGGGAAATATTGTGGACAATGGAATTAGATACCTCAATTAAAAGGCAACAAAAACCATTTCCTGAAAAAAATTCAATCCCAAAATTGAATATCAAATCAAAACCCCAAATTCAATCCAAATCACACCCACTAACGTCGTCATCGTCTCAATCTGGTGGACCTTGTGGACCTTCCAAACACAAAGTAAGCATGGGAAACCTGAGGCCACCGACCTGACGTAAGCCCACTAACTCAAAAATTGGTCAGGTGATCGCACCAGGCCAAGAGCCCTAAGCGAGAATCCACAGCACAATCCGCCCTCATTCAAAGCGTTCTTTTTGGTCTCCTGTTGAATACCCATCTTCATCCTCTACACCAGCCAAGATGACGAAGCGCACCAAGAGTATGTTCCTCTTTCTCAAATTCAACACACTGCCAGCCGAATTGCTCGATGCTAACTATTTTCTACAGAGGTCGGCATCACCGGTAAATATGGTACCAGGTATGACATTCGCCCAATTCGCGCCCCCACGACTGTGATTTCGATCGAGACACACGACCCATCACGAATACCCAACGACACGAATATCTAACAATTTCCCAACAGATACGGTGCCTCCCTGCGTAAGCAGGTGAAGAAGATGGAAGTCACCCAGCACGCCCGCTACATCTGCACTTTCTGCGGAAAGAACACCGTCAAGCGCAAGGCTGTCGGTATCTGGGAGTGCAAGGGCTGTGACAAGACCGTTGCCGGCGGTGCTTACGTCGTCTCGTAAGTCGCACACCTATCGCCAGGACCGACAATGTGATCCGACCCGGGGATCGACCTGGGTTGGCGCACACAGTCGCAATCCATAACACAAAACGAAAATAGATTACTGACGGTTATATCTTTTCTCCAGCACCCCCGCTGCCGCTGCCACCCGCTCCACCATCCGTCGTCTGCGTGAGATCGCTGAGGTCTAAATGGGAGGATTGTGTGGTTTCATTTCTCTTTTACGGTTACGTCTGAATACCAAAAATGAATGAAAAAATTCGGGATTACGAATTATTGTGCAATATCCGCTTCGCCCCGAGTATACCGTATATCGATGTGACTGGTCTCCCAAAGTTCGCCTCGGTCGCTGCCTACACGGCAGCCAATTTCACCGGTCAATACAAGATCCTCCACCTGGTTACTTCGATGTTCTGCAACCGTGTGAATCATATGGATGGGCTACACCGGTCATTTGTGGTTGCTCAGGTGCTGGACAGTCACGTAGACTTAGGGTGGATTTTTGGTTTCGAGGTCACCTGGACTTCTTGGCGTATCGCACTGTCTTGGATGGATTGCGCTCCGGACTATATCTTCGTACTTTCTACGTTCACCTGGACATTCGCACCGGGTGCCTGACATACTCAGACCCACATGATTCATACGCTGGTATGATATTAGTCGCCTGTTGGGGATTTGCAGATCTTACACGATAACTAAGGTGTGGACTGTTCACCCTGGGTTTCAGCCAAATCATCAGCGCCTAATGTGGCCATTTTCAAATGTAGACCGGCCACCTTGCTTTTTTTTGGTAGGGACTTTGTGTAGTTTTGTGTTGTACGGGGATCTTGTTGGGCGGTTGCCAGATGTCCATGACGAGATCAGACACTTAGGCATAGTACTCTATAGTCATGGTAAAAAGAATTATAATACATAATTCTTTGGAATATTCCCAATATTAGTTGTAATACCATTGAAATAGTCCCAAATCCACCTTGAGGACATCATTCGCCTCCGTCACGTTCCTGCTTTGCGTTAGTCCGGTAATCCGGCCCACCTTCAAAAGGCGCTCTCCACACCTTTCTCGCTTCTACACTTCTTGAGCGCTCTTCATGGACTTCGCCTTCTCTTATAAATCTGTCGTCCATGTCCGATACCTGTATTGTTTGTTTAGGCGACCTTGGTGAAGGAGCGGGTGATCCTCTTGAACCTGTGAGCCTTGATTTGAAGGATGGCGACTTCAATGGGGACTCTCAGATCGCTCAGCTACTTCCCTGTGGTCATGTCCTACATAATAATTGCTTAAAACCATGGGTTGAACGGGCAAATAGTTGTCCAATATGTCGGCGCAGTTTCAATATGGTGGAGTTGAGTGATAGTGTCGGAGGTATGACGCTCCCCCCTTCCTTTGACTTATGACATGGACTGGTCCCCTCTTGATTGCAAGTACTGACTATATTGATTTGTTATAGGAACTGTAACTTCATCCTACGCTGTCCAGGACCGAACCCAAGTAGCCGAAGTTGACCCTTCCATGATAATCGAATATGTGGAGGACGACTTGACCGATTTTCAACCCTGTACAATTTGCGGGCAAGCCGACAACGAGGATGTTCTTCTTTTATGCGACGGGTGTGATGGCCCTTCTCATCTATACTGCCTAGGTTTGGACGAGATCCCCTCGGGGTCATGGTACTGCCAACAATGCATGGAGCTACGTGCTATGGGACCGGCTCCCGAGGTATCAGCACGGCCGTCTCGGGCGATCGAGCAGCGGAGTCGACGAACTAGGGCTCAGCAGAGACGACTGCAGAACCGGACCCAGACGAATTCTCTCCATTGGGCACGAGTCTGGCAATCTGTCTGGGATCATCTGAATCTCGATCTCGATTTCCCGTTCGATGACGATCGATCTGCCGAACGTGCGATGCAACAACGCCGTCGCGAGCAGGCCAACCAGCGCGAATTTCAAGCTTGGCAACGCCGCTTCGAGGTCGCTGAGCGACAAGGTGGTGGCAGTCGGTTTCGCGACACGGCATCCCTGTTCGATCTTGACCATGCCCGACCATCGCGACCTCGGGCTCCTAGAGTTCCGACACCGGAGCCCGAGTCTGTGGAGGAGATGCGGGCTTGGAACGCCTTCGAGAGGGCACGGGAGATCGAAAACAACCCGGGCGCAGCCAGGAAGCGGAAAGAACCGACCATGTCGCCGTCCCCCGAGCCCACAGAACCGGAACGCAAGTTGAAGCGCCCTCGAACGAGGAGGCCGCAGGAGCTCGCAGCTCTCGCACAGCAAACTCAAAATGGTGAATCATCCAGGGCTGCGAGCTCCAATATCCGACCAAGTGGTGACAATCCCACCGGACCAAGCTTCCTGTCATCACTATTGAAGGAAGTCGAAGACGCACCGAGTCATTCATATGGACCTTCAGCTTCGACATCTGTCGCTCCTATCGATCACCCATCCCCTGGTCCCTCTTCTCCTTCTATTTCTCCCGCCTCGTCTCGTTACTCCTCCCCTCTCCTATCAGCGGCCACACCGCCGCCTGTCCCGCGAAGCCGCCCCATCTCTCCTCTTCAACTATCCTCCCCCGCCGAACCCTCATCTCCTCCGTTCTCACCCGAAGTGTCTATATCCGGTAGTCCATCGACAAATGGCGCTAAAGAAGACAAACCACAACGCCAGCCAGGCCGTCCTCGCTCTCGCATCCCCCAACGCGCACTGTATATGGGAGCCTCCCGCTCACCCGACTCATCCCCCACTCGATCTGGTCCATCTTTAGCCCTCAAAGCCGACATCCAGAAAATGGTGGGCACTGGATTAAAACCCCACTATAAGAAGAAGACCATATCGAAAGAGCAATATACGAACATCAACCGGTCCATCTCTCGCATGCTATACGAGCGGGTTGGCAACAAGGAAACGCTTGAGCCGGATGAACGCACCAACCTCGAAACGGAGGCCAGGCACGAAGTGCAGAATACAATTGATGCACTGAAGATGAAGAGCAAAGATAAGCAGAAACAGCGTATGGTGATGACTGACACAGACGGTGATCTATAATGACTATACCACGAACTCTCCCCGGCATTTAATGGCGTTTCTTCCCATCTCAGCGAATCATACTCTTTGGCGGAATGGAGTGGAATGTATAACTGGCGTTTGACCCTTGCCGTCCTCTTCCCCTTTCCTCCCTTTTCACTTCTTCCCCTGTTCCTTTTCTTCTTCTTCCGCGAGGCACCATTGTGAGAGCTCTTTGTTCGGAGCACTCTGCTTCGATGGGAGTGATTATTGTTTTTTGTTTTTGTTTTTTTGAGCTAGTCTATTCGCGTTCTCTTTGCTCTATATTGTGTCTAAATATCATTTATCTTCTGGCCGTAGGAGGGCTGTACCTCCCTTAGTTAGCCTCGGCATTTTTTGGTTTATTGGGTCTTTCTATTTCCTACATAGTTGGGGCTTGCATGCTTTTTAGACACGATCCCTCCATGGATAATCTCTAACGAATAATTAGGAAGACTGTGCAGTCTGGTTCAATCAGGGGTCGGTTTGGTCGCACATCTATGGATAAATCTAAATAGAATACATAAAGTAAGTGCAAAAGAGGCTGTGACATTTGGGTATAAAGCTGATTTTGAACAGTGTGACACCACACGGAGTACGGTCTACAAAATATACCGGAATTGAGGATTCTGATCAGAAAATTGACAGTTAGCAAGGACCAGGCTAACAAACCAGGTCTTATACTCACCGTTTTATCAGTCAAATCGTCCTGGTACGCATTTGCATATCCCTCGGCAGTCCCAGACTGATCTCGCTTGCGATTTTCCCGAACGCACACAAACCGATAGATAAGCACAGTGACACCGGCAACGAAGGAGGTCACCACAACAACAATGAATCCCGGCACATAGCGAGGAGCATCGATTTCCTTGAACATCAGCGGACCGGTGAAATTTCCTAATCAGAAATCAGCCCTAGCACGACCAAACATCCCAGATGATCAGACTTACCCAGGCAATAACCAATATAAAGCCCCGATGAAGCGATAGACCGTTTCGTATACCCAGCAATATTGGCAATCTGCAATCCCATAAGAACGGCATATCCACCCCCAACAGCAGGCAGAAGATAGCACGCAAAGAGCATACCACCGGTAGCATCAAGCGGCAGAACAATCAGCAACAAAGCCGCAAGCGTAGTAATCATCTGAGCACCAAAAACAACCCAAGCCCTCACCCCACTCCCATCAAACCGATATGCTAAGTACGGCCCAAGAAGCTGGTAACTACCAGCCAGGAACCCCTGCGGCATAACCAGCAGTAGCGAGTTGAGCGTGTCAAACCCAAACGAGTTGATAATGATAGGCGTGAACGTCGACACAGGCCCATTGGCTATCATGCTTAGGAACGCAACGATGAAGATTAGCCAGAAGCGTATGTCAGCCAGTAGCTCGGTGACTTGGCCGCCTTTGTAGTGTGTGTTTCGCACACCGGAGTTGTTCGATCGTAGTCTAGCTACGGCAATGTAGCGTTGTCGCTCGTTGAACCCGCGTGCTCGGACTGGGTCTGGTGGGAGAAGGAAGACTAGTACTAGTCCCCATATTATGGTCACTGCGCCAGCTACAAAGTACATGTATTTCCACGGGGAGAGTGTGCCTGTTATATGGCCCAGTCCGTAGTTGATTAACGGTGAGAAGACGGATACGTAGCCAGTGCAGCAGTACCATATTCTGCAGATATCAGGTGGGTGTCTGAGAGAAGGGAGTGGATGGACTTACCCCATTCGCATGGCTTGTTCATTCTTCTTGTACCAACCACCCTATAAACAAACTCAGTTAGAATTCAGTATAATCTGTTTATTTCATATTTGATTCCCGACTCACAACGAGAAGCATAAACATAGGACTAATACCGCTCTCCAACATGCCCAGAAAAAACCGTTGTGTATAGAGCGCTTTATAATTGGAGCACATCGGTGTGAATATGAGACAGATCCCCCAAAGCGCGATTATAACCGATGCGACACGTTCAACCGGGAATCTCTGTGCTAGGGTCATGGCCGGATATGCTCCTGCCATGAACCCGAGGTACAATATTGCCGCAGAAAATGAATATCGGTTTCCGATATCGAGGTCTAGATCTGCCCGCATGCCAAACAGGGCCTGGGTTATATTAGGAAAGCTGCGGATACAACGATGGGGTATGTACGTACAGCTTGTGAGAACATTGCCTTGTCGTAATATTGCAAGCCGTATGTCACGCACAAGATGGGCATCAGTCGCCAGTCGATTTTGGAGAGAAGCTTTTTCTCTTCTTCTTCTGTCCATATGTCATCGCCGCTGTAGTTGGCGAGAACTTTGAGTGCCTCGTCATTGTGTAGTGTGTCGATGGCTGAGAGCTTTTTCAAGTCTTGAAGATCGAAACTCGAGCTCTTCGATCTTACGGAGAGGCCGTCATTGTCTGGTCTATTGGAGCCTACCATTTTCGAAGAGCTTTAGCTCACGGAATCAGCTGTATAGTGCGTAGTTGGTTTGTGGAGTGGAGGCCCATAAACAGATCAATGCATTGCCATAGGAATAGAGCTATCTACATCATTATCTGGGGTATCCATTTTACCCCAGAAAAAGGGGCCATGGACCTGGTGGGGGAAACAAAAAAAAAAAGTCCGAGCAATAGCGCCTAGAACCTCTCGTCTTTTGGAGTATGGACCTAGATCCGCTATCGGACTTCCAAGATTGGAAGCCGATGTCAGCCGCGAGGTGAGACCGAAACTCAATCTGGTAAGCCGGTATTGATACCCCACGGGGAAACCGGGGAGAACGGAAGCTCAACATTTCTAAGACCCAACATTTCCACCCTAGAATAGTAAGACCTGAATTTAAAGCATTTTTAATAGTGGGAAATCCAGACTCTCTATCCCAATCCGCATGTAAGTCCGACCCGACTAGCTCTCGGCAACTTCTGCCATTTAGGGGGGTATCCTCCGACCCCCAAAATACCCCGTGTCGGATCTCATCCGTCCCCACCCATGTTCCGGAAAGCGACGAAGCGAGATTTCTATCCCGGCGGCGGTGCGTATCTGACCCGCTTGTGCCCACTTTTGGTGAAATCCCGCAAAAAAAGACGGTTGGGAAGTTGTAGGCGCATTGGACTCCGTAGGGATAATGTGCTTGTTATTATTGCTCACTCACTTACTCACTTACGAAGTAAGGTACAGTGGATCATTCTTCGATTTAAATTCGAAGGAGAATAGGTTGTGAGTGTATTTACAGCTAGAAATCTTTCTTACACCTCCATGTATTTAAACTGTTTAGAGCATAATTCCCGAGAAACATTCTGCATGCATATGCAAAATGCATGTTAGCCTTTCGGATCAAAAATATAGTAGTCGACCGTGTATGCAGCCTCTGTCCTCTATGATAGAAGGCACGTTATATGCAAGATAACACTGCAATGTCTTTATAAATGTCTTTGAACTTTTGTTTTCTCGGTATTATAGCTAAACAGGACACTAAGTTGGACCTTCCGGTTTATACCTCTACAATATACTGAACTCTCTATCATAACCAGGGACAATTCAAGCTCTTCTACTCCATATACTATGGAATTATATCGGGATTTTCCCGGCTGCCGCTTTAGGGCATAGGCAGATCTGCGCGTTCCGCCGATGAAAGATCATCTCCACTTTTATTAACGAGATCATTAGCATGTACATACACCCGGGGTTGACCCTGGTGATACTATAACCCTCAACAACCCAACCCCCTCAACATAGAATATCCTTGGGCGGCTCAATGAGCATGAGCACCAAATGGAGGAAGGCCTTATCAAAGCCGGTGTTCCACCCTCCTTTACCACCCTCAAGCTTTGTTGCGAGAGTTTACGCGAACCAAAACAAGATGCCTTGATATGTGTGTACATCCAAATTCCATGGACGTATGCCGAAATGTAGGATCCTTCTGTTCGCGCACAGCAAACAACAACTTTTGTTCCTGAGGAGCTGGGTGCACTCGAAACACTGACTCAGAAGCGCTCACCCTTCATACCCCTCCTCCTTGGTTCGAGCAAGAACCAGCAGGACGAATCTGGATTTGATCCCGGTGGTTTTGTGGTAACCTTTGCTTGGCAAATCTTATTGGCGACTGCCTCGGTGATGAAAATGGTGCAACCAATAGGGTATTCTGAAGGCACCTGGGGGTCATGATGGGGCACAACATGACAAATGTCCGGTGCTCTTGTCGAGCACGCTCAACACGTAGTACCAGCAATTCGTAATGTTTCTGCCTTAGTTGCCGCGGAGAATAAACCAGATGATGCAATGCTGGACCCTGATGAAGAAGCTGGCATGGTATGAGCAGCCGATAAAGAATGTGCGGACGATGAACGGCGAGAGGACGGTGGAAGTGGAGATGGCATTCGGTTGCGATCTGTTACGTGGTCAGTCATAATGGCGCATGGATATATTGGGGTGAAGACTTACATCAACCCAGCAAGGAACCGGGAGCTCCCAGACTGACAGGCTGGAGTTGGGGAAGGTGTGCTTCATGGAGAAGGCATGCAGGGACGAGATACTTTGGATGGACCCATGGTTCACCTGGTCTCCTACTATCACGTAGGAAATTCCAACATGATAATCAATGGAATTCGGGGGTTGAGCAGGGCCAAGGACTTGAGAAAGGTGGCAGGGGTTGCAAAACAGTGTGATGGGACCATGTGATGAAGAAGCAGGGCAACTGTGAAAAAGAAGGGAAAGCAGAGGTGACTATATAACCAAGTAAACAGCGTCATGTGGCTGCCCACGTGGCACATTTGAATATGTCTGTATCCCCTGATTGTACAGCCGAAGGTCGAGGTACGGTCAACATATGGTTGTTTGGTACACTGCGGGTACATTGTCCAACTACGAGGATTGGCACCGAGTAATATTCTCCTATATAAATAATGGTAGTTTAATTTACTATATTACTCATTTATATATAGTATATAAGACAACTTTATATGATGGGTATAGTGGGTATGCCTATTGCGGGTATACCCGTAGGCGATGGGCGTTGTGGACGGGCACTCGAAAATCCAAATTTCCCACCGCCTACTATGGACGGGCGATATCGCAGTCTACAGCCCAAAAATAGATGAAATTCAAAGCTTGCAAACCTTGTTGGTTGATTGAAACCTGAGCAAATCCCTTGGTCGTAGGCCCTTGAGCATAGGTAGTAAAAGGATAACAACGATGCTACTGGTACACAACCAAAAGGCTGAATAGACTGAACGGTAGGGCGGCAAGGGCAGTTTCAGAAATAAAAAAACATACAACAGTGAGGATTCGCTGGTGGTCACCCACCCAACTACTAACTCACCGGCGTGTGGCTTAAGTACGGCTGAGCGGACGGGAAGCCCTGTTTTCCACACCCTATGGTCGTATGTACTATGTTACGTGTATCTGGGGATTATATAATGTATGTAGGCAGTGTGAATAGAGATAAGTGATTGCATTGTAAACAAGTACGAAATGCATTGAATATTGATTCTCGTTCTACTATATCTCTATTCACACACTCTTACCTATTGAAATTGAGTATATGTATACAACATGCTCTTGGTGTTTACCACGAGACAGCTCCCGGTGCCTCGTAGCTGCCCTTGGCAGAGCTTCCCTCACATGTCTCGGCCACCTTGGAACCTGACGCGCCCCAGGTAGGGGGCACTGTTCCAGCCCGACGCTCGGCAGCAGTCAAAAACGCCGCATAGGACCAGGTCAAGTCTTTAGCAGAGGCCGGGGCGCCGTCATCCCGAGTGAATTGCTCGGCCAGGGCTCCTCCTTCGGGCGCGTACTTCTGAACGATGGACATGAATCCATCGGCGTATTTCTTGACCGCGGCAGTGAGGGTGGTGTAAGTGTCCGAATCGCTGGCATAGTCTCCGACGGCGGCAGACGATTCCAGATCCTTGAAGAAAGGAAGACTGAGCTCGGTGATGGACAGCGACTTTTGTTGCTTCCACTGGTAAAGAGCATCATACAACTGCTCGGCGGCCGCCGATGTTGTCAAATACCTGGGAATGTTAGCAAAGTTTGAAGCTAGTTAAATGAAAACAAAGGTTGACATACCATGGGTTGCCGCCCATGTAAGTGTCTTCGGCATAACGTCCAACAGCAGCGGCAGCTCCAGCCTTCTTGTCGCTATTCACGCCATAGATCGAACGGAACGAGTCAACGTATTCCTTGTGGTTGGATAGAGCCCGAGCAGAGCAGGGCTGGAAGGTAGCGTCATCGCACTCAGCCTTGGGGTCGAACAGTACGAGTGAAGCAAGCACGGAGTTTGCATCGAGACCGGTTCGGCCATTGTTAGCCACGTTGGAAACAATAGATTTGCCATTCCAGAATGTCTGAAGGTAGCACAAGATCTGAGGTGCCTGGGAATCACACCCCTCGCAAGTCTCTCCCAGCGCCTTGGCAAATGCGCTGCCCTCGACCAACGCGCGGTGTTGTGCAGCAATGGTGAAGAATGAGGAGCCCTCGACCTCCTCCCACAGGTCGAATCCGGTTTGGTTCCAGTATTGCGCAACGTAGTTGAGATCGTTTTTTACGCTGGGCCAGATGTTCGACTTGGCGAGATCCTCATTTTTATCCGCAATCAACTGGTTACCATAGCCAATCATGGCTGTCGCTCGCAGGCCGGGTCCATCGCGCTGAGGACGTCCCCATTCCTCCGTGAAGGCAGTCGCGTCTGCTTGGTACTTGGGCTCTGCAAGGCCTTCTCCATCGGACAAGTCACCGGATGGGTTAGACACGGCCTGTAGCTTCGCTTGGGCAGTGATGTAGTCCTGGATGGTAGATTCCAGTGAGGTTTCTCCAGCAAGGAAATCATCAACCAACACCTTCAATGTTAAGGCTGCATCACGAGTCCAGGTATAAAAGTCTAACAGCTATTGGTTTCTGCTATTTCAATTTGGGGAGGAGAGAAACTCACAATCGGGGTCCGATTTAGATGGGGATGCTATCACAATTCCGGCACCCGCTCCAGAAACAGCAGACCCATCGGAACCAATGTTGTTCAGGATGGACTTAAGAGCAAGAGTAGACTCCGACTTGATAAATGCATCGAGATCAGCCTCCTGGCGAGGGTGCAAAGCAGCTGATAGCACACCTGGCGCCAACAAGGCGGTCAAAAGCTTGAATGTCAACATGATGTATGGATGATTTGGTGGTTCTTAGGATCTTCTAGGCATCCTAGGCGTCTTTATATATTCTTCAGTAGCCGCATTAGACCCCAGGCTGTGAATTGGAAATCAGGACATCAAACAGATATGCAGACGGACTCCGAGGAAAGTTTCGCGTAGATTATTCTCTAAATGAACGAATGAGCTGTTATTCACCAATATCTTTCAAACATAGAGTTACATTGAGTTATTAACGATCGGCATAGATCGGCGTGACTGGTCCCGAACAGAGTAAGGACTTGTCCGATAAACCGCCGTGCTCCGCATTTCGTCGTCATCTTGGTTGTCCAAATGCCTCGGATTTAAGATCATAGTATATCTCTATCCTTTCATAACCTTCCGACAAGTAGAATATGGTGATCAATAATCCGTACTATGGGCCGAGATGGCGATCGTCGTGGGGGATCAAAACAATTGGTTGTCTCGGGAATCGGACTTAAGAAAAGGAAATTGTTTGATCTATTGGGAATACGTAGCATCCTGCTAAGCACGTTAAAAGGATTAAGATCTTTATTGGATGTTATTGGCACTATCCACTCACAATCACGCGCATCTCCTAATACCTAGGCATCCCCAACTACATAAATCATTTCAGCCCTGCTCGAGTAGCAAAGGTGTCCTGAACAAGCCCGTGCCATGATTTTATACCATATTTCCCGTTGTGTCTATGCAACTTCGTTATGGCGTTCTTAGTCGATCTTATTGAATATGATCTAGTCTATTTCATTGGCCAGCCACGGAGCCAAGGTGCCAAGGTGTCAACGGTTCCTGGCTTGGACCTCCACCAATCCGGGATGATCAGAGATGAGGCACGTCAGTGGCATAGTCTAAATAGACAGCTCAGAGGCTCGGTTTTTTGTTGTGGTATCATATCGATGCCTATATTATCAGGCCTCATCTAGCTATTTAGCCTCCTGTTTGTTTTGTAGAGAATCAACCTTTCTTCTCTCTCTGTCAGATTCTGGGCAAAAAGCGGCAAGGCCTGAGCACTAAAGAGGAAAACCAACAGACCTGGGGAGATATCCCGATGTCGGCTTCATACAAGCGTATACCGGCTGTATTGATGGAGGTCTCCCCCACAAATAGTCCATCGCGGGATACTTCCCGGCAGGTTATCGGCCGAAGGGTTATTCGAACTGATAACCATATATTGGCTGGAACATAATCCTCCAAAGTAAATATTGCATTCTTCGCACTGAATAATTTAATCATGGGTAGCATCGAAGAACCAAACTTCTGCCAGAAGAACAAAGACCTTGACTACGATGTTCTTATCATTGGCGCCGGTCTTTCCGGCATTTACTCTCTATATCGAATGCGACAATTAGGCCTGCGGACGAAAGTCTTAGAGGCTGGCGGAGGTGTAGGCGGAACATGGTACTGGAATCGATACCCCGGCGCACGATTCGACTCGGAAAGCTATTCATACAATTTCTCATTTTCCCAAGAAGTCCTCGATGAGTGGAACTGGTCAGAACATTTCGCCTCGCAACCCGAAACACTACGGTACTGCGAGTTCGTGTGCGATAAATTCGATCTCCGTCGAGACATGCAATTCGATACGCGCGTCACGGCAGCACATTTCCACGACGACACCAAGTCATGGCTCGTCACAGACGAAAAGGGACAACAATACACCTCCCGGTTTGTCGTAACTTGTATTGGCATTTTGAACAACTACACCCTACCCAATATCCCTGGAGTCCTGGACTACAAAGGCGAAGCCTTCCACACAGCCCGCTGGCCCGCAGAACAAGTCGACTTCACAGACAAACGTGTCGCAGTCATCGGCACCGGAGCAACCGCCATCCAAGTAATCCAAGAAGTCTCCAAGACAGTAGGGCATCTAACCGTCTTCCAACGAACCCCGAACTGGAGCTTGCCTCTCCGAAATGCACCCCTCACCCCAGAAGAAATGAACGAAATCCGAACCCGCTACCCAGAGATCTTCCGCAAATGCGCAGAGTCCTGGCACTGCTTCATGCACGTACCCGACAAGCGAAGCACATTTGATTTGAGCCCCGAAGACCGCGAAGCATTCTGGGAGGAACTATATGCGCAACGCGGGTTCGCGAAGTGGATGAGCAACTTCGGCGATATCAATACGAGCAAAGAGGCAAATGCACTGTTTAGCGAGTTCATTGCGAACAAGATTCGTGAGCGCGTGAACGACCCTGTCACGGCGGAAATCCTTATTCCGAAATGTCATGGGTTCGGGACGAAACGGGTGCCTATGGAAACGCGGTATTTCGAGGCGTTTAATCAGCCCAATGTGCGTTTGGTGGATGTTAAATCAAATCCCATTGAATGTGTTACCGAGTCTGGGATCAAAACCAAGGATGAGTCCTTTGAGTTTGATATGATTATTTATGCCACCGGGTTCGATGCAGTGACTGGGTCTTTTACGGCGATTGATTTCCGCGGTGTGGATGGAGTTAAGCTGCAGGATAAGTGGAGTGAGGGTCCACGCACGTTTTTAGGTCTGTTTGTTGAAAGTTTCCCCAATATGATGATGGTTATGGGGCCGCATCAGATGTTTGGGAATATTCCTCGTAGCGTGGAGTATGCTGCGAGCTGGGTGGCGCGGTTTATTGAGTTTTGTCGAGATCGGGGTATTACGTTTGCTGGGGCCACGCAGCAGAGTGTCTTGGATTGGACGGAGCATGTTCATACTTGCGCCGTTGGGTTGCTTGCCAATGATGTCGATTCTTGGATGACTGGTGTCAATAAGAACTTGGCGCACAAGCAGAAGAGAATCATCGCACGATATCAGGGCGCTGCGCCTGGATATCGAAAGCGGGCAGAGGAAGTGGCCACGAGAGAGTATCAAGATTTGATACTTAATAAATAGGTTTATAAAGCATCGTTAGGCAATACTTTTAGTTCTACAGAATATGAGCCACATTAACCATACAAACAAAGCAAATATCTATTATCCCTACGGATAAGAATGAAGCCTGTCATGTCACTCATTTGTATAAAGAGCGCATCGCAGTCTGGGAAAACGTAGAGATCTTCAAATCCAGGGTACTACTCGTCCCTTATGCATTATCTTTACACTTTCAGTACCTTTAACATAATTACATAAAAATATTCATCTCGGTGAGGGTATCACAAGGCTCAAATAGATCCTGAAACTGAAGCATAGCATCCGCAAAGGCATCATCATCAAAGAAAAGCTCCTCGGTATGCGGAACTAGCAGTCTACCAGCGATGCCACTAGTTTCAGTAGTCGCAAACGGGAAGTAGGCAGTCCAATCAATACCATCTGCCATTTCCATATATACCGTTCCATCGCCCATACCGAGCTCTGGACCAGGCGCTCGTTGCGAGTCAGAGTCTGGCGCGGTAGTACTCGGCCGCAGACGACCAAACCCCGAGTGGAATACTGCGGCGGTGGGCCACATGATGCGCAGCTGATCCACGGCTAGAGTCAAGATATCGAGATCTTCATTGGCACTCTTGGCCAGACCTTCAATTCGAAGAGCTTGTAGCAACGCGATGAATGCTGTACCGCAGTACCACCCTGTTATGGCCATGAGGAATCGGGTTCCTCCGCGAGATAGAATATCCCGCATGATGCGAGCCATGCATGACGCAGCGAGTATTGCTGGTGGATATGCTTGTGGGAGAGGCTGGGAAGAGGAGGACCGCTGAAGGTGGATTATGATGATGACGGCCAGATACGGAAGATGAAGTTGATGCACGTCTCTATTGAAATGGGTTGTGCGATCTGATCCAATCGGTAGCTGCAGGTGAGGAGGGAGGGACTGGACCCAGCCGATGAGATCGCGGGCCAGAGATGCTGGGAATGTGGAAGATCCAGCATCGCTGGAACGAGCGAGGTATTTTGCAATTTTGCCAATGATAGCGCATAGACGGACCCAGTAGATGAAGACTTCGGCTTTGGTTTTATCCGTGTCTTGGGAGAAATCTTCCAATGTGGGTTCTGACAAGGTACAGTCTTCGGGGTCAATAACACATGGTTTGCTTTGACACAAAGCAGTCAGTCGCTCACGCGCAAATGCCGTCCACCATATCCGACGTCGGAGACTGAGATTAATCTGCTGACGCAATGGATGGTTTAACCCTGGTTCCCGGTGTACACCTAGTTGTTGGCAATGTCGGATGACCACCGACGTCCACCACCAAGAAGAATGGCGATGGAGAATAGTTGGTGGCCGCGGACTCCACCAATAAAATAGAGAGATAGCTTTCAACGACGTCATCACATCTGTCTCTTCATCGTTGTAGAATCTGGTGCGAGCTCGCTCGTAGTAACCGGCAGGACCGTCATGTGGAATCATGGGCGGTTTGATATGGCTACCAACCACTGCCAGGGCATTGACGAGTAGCGGAGATCGAGCGAGTTCTTCCGAGAGGGTCTCTCGATCTAGAACTGGACACCACGTGTAACAGTACTCCCAGTATGTTTCTGCGAATGTTTGTTGTAGGTCTGGGTCAGGCAGATTGAGTACCTCAGGCATTCTTTCAGCAATAAGCCGCTCCTGAGCTCGAGCATCTGTTTGTAGCTCTGGTAAGAAGACATGACCAATTGGGTAGCTATCATTATGCTCCGAGTGATCTTCTGTTCGCTGAGTGGTGGGAGAATCATTGGTCATTGCTTGTGTCGGCCTGCCCTGGGGATCAGGCGGCACTTGGCCCGGGGATGGATCATCTCTCATCGACCATCCAATATTGTCAAAACCTTGAGTTCTTGCTTGTTCGACATGTGCCGGGGAGATGGAGGATCTCTGAAGCAGATCTCTAGGAAAGTCCAACGACCGGCTATCATTTCTTAAACCGGCAATAGGCGGCCCAGATAGTTGATTGACAGCAAGATGGTCCGGAATAGAGCCATGTCGATTTACTTGGACATAGGAATTGGCCTCGGTTACCGGAGGTGTCAATGGGGCCACACTTGCAGCGGGCCTACCTCGTTTTGATGGTCTCGTTCTGTGACCGGGTCAGGCCATACATCCGAAAAGGCTTGGAAGGGTTACTCACCGGCATTCTTTGCCGCCAGATTCGCACTTGGTGCAGTTATTATACCCCTGAGCCCCTCGCACTTGCAGGTCACATCTAATCTGCAGCCGTTAGTCTCTTTGCCGAGACCGAGAACTAGGTAGATTTACCTTTTTGCTATGACATGCCACACAGGCGAGCTCGGCACGCTTCCGTTTAGTTTGATTACCAGTGAATTGTAACCAAAGCGGTGCAGACATGATTGAAATTATACCTGAAGGTTGCAATTCACCACCATACTCACATTGCGAAAGGCGGGGGACAGCTGTCCCCCCGCAAAATCTCCCGCGATACCCTCGGCTCTTTGGCTTTTATTACCGGTAGTAATTTATCGTTTCCTTGGCCGTTCTAGATCGGTATTTTTCATTCGATCGATTTTGAGTGCTTTCCAAATTCAGGCAGTACTGACATGTCCACGGGTCTTTTTTTCTCGATGAAAACTTAGAAACATGCCGTTTATCAGCGTGTCCCGGCGCTTCATTGCCGCTTCAACTCCTATCAACTGTCAAAATGATTCTGGGCACCGGGAGATGCCAAAGTGTCTGATATTCCTAAAATGGAAGGTGCAAGTAGAATCAACTCCAGAAGAGGGAAGGAACTACTGCAAAACCAGCCACGAATGGCCATGGCACAAATTCATCAAGCACATCCATTTCGCTAAACACAGGCTACGCGTCTAAACCACGCAAGATGCGCGTCATAACTGTCGGAGCAGGCTTCTCGGGTCTCCTGATGGCGCACAAATACCAACATCGATCTCTTGAGCTGCAAAAGTTCATGAATTACATATATGAAGCACGAAATGATTGATACCGCACTAATAAAGCTTTTCGCTTAGCATATCACAGGAAAATACCACGAGAGCCCTGCTAATTGGTATACAGTTCATCAAAGGCGAGAATAATAAAGCAGCTGTTCGATTCGGAGTGTAGGAAATGACTGAAAAGCTTAACTGTGACCCCGATCTCTGTGAGAAGCTGATCCCAAAATGGGAGGTCGGTCGTCGCCGTGTCACTCTAGGGCCAGAATACCTAGAATTCTGTGCAAAGGCACATTGTAATCTCAACAATAGCCCTGTCACCAAGATAGCTGAAAATGCAGTTCACATGGCAGACGGAATGTATTCGAATGTGATGTCGGTATGTTAACCTTATCAGTTTACTTAGCCCAAAGTCGGTTACTAAATCTTGCAGTAATCTGTGCTATGGTTTCGACGTCTCTCGTTGCCCTCGCTATCTAATCGTCGGCCTGGATGGAACGATTTTAGCAGATAAACGGCAAGACGGACAGAATTCCTACCTTTTAGTCGTCACATCACAGCCGATTTCCCCAATTTCTTTATCGTCATGGAACCCAACTGTCTGGGTCGACATCCTTGAAATGGATAAATAAAATGGCAACCCATTGACATCCTGGTGAACATGAGGGGAAGCCAAGCCGGTATCGGCTGTCCTTTCTGGGACATAGTCTCTGTACGCCACTTTTTTGAATTTTCAAGATATGATACATAAGTAGCTAGGTATCTATCCTCACTTATAAATACATTTAGAGTTCTCTTTGATCAATCATCTCTTCCCCAGTTACAATAACCAATTCTGAAACAATGGGCAGCACGGTACTGCCATCCAAAATGCATGCTTGGAGAAAGCATAAAGGAAACCCAAATCCAGTATGTTAGTCGTTATATGTGACACAATACGGGTTTGACTCTATTATAGGTTTGGGAAGAGCTTCCTATACCCTCGACTCCTGCCACGGGTTTTCTGGTCAAGCTACTGGCATCCGGAGGTACCCAGTTCAAATCCTACTTACAATAATTCCAAGTCCTTATTTTCTGATATTTCCTGGTCATGGCAGTGTGTCACAGTGATCAGCCCCTTTTGGATATTGAAGACCGCCCACAGTTCAATGAGAAGTATACACTTGTATGAACATCTCTGCATCAACCCAATATGTTTAAGAGCAAAGTTAACATCTTCTGCCAGGGCCATGAAGGGTGTGGCGAGATCATACAGATAGGAGAAGAAGTCACAGACAAAAGGTTTAAACTGGTAGGAGAAGTATCGCTCTCAAATATTGAAATATCACTAATTCAGAAATCCAGGGAGACCGAGTGGCTCTCCTTTCTGTCCCCGGATGCGGCTTGGACACATGTTCTGAATGCTCAAGGGATCTGGCACAACTATGCCCAGCTGGGATGCACCACGGGATTGGCCAAGACGGCTTCTATGCTGAGTATGTTGCGATCGATGTTCGGTCCGCGATTCCATTGCCTGACGGTAAGTTTCTCGCCATAAAACCGCCAAGTGCCTAAACCTAACTCCGGTTATAGGTGTCGACCCAGCCGTCGCTGCAGTTGCTACTGATGCTGTCACAACAGCTTATCATGGTATTACCCGCCGTGCTGAGGTCAAGAAAGAAGAAACTACTTTCCTTTTTGGACTTGGTGGGCTTGGCTTCAATGCGCTCCAGATTGTGCGCTCTATCGGTGCTAGAGTCATTGTCTCCGATCTGCGGCAGGAAAAGTTGGATGCTGCTCTAAGTTTGGGTGTTCCATCAGAGGATATCGTTCCAGTTGGGAAGTCGGTGCAAGAATTTGTCAAGGAAAATGGGCTGCAGGGGAAGATTGATACCGTACTGGAATTTGTGGGCAGTCATCAGACTTGCCAGGATGCGCAACAAATTGGTTAGTATCCTCGCTGAGTGCTCTTTTGATCCATCTTATGATCCATTCTTTGGGCTGTCTCTTGCTGACACTATATCGTTCTTTGGCAGTGCGTCCCGGGGGTAAGATCCTGTGTGTTGGCACCCTCAATCTCGTCAATGAATTTGACATGAAGATCGGAATTCGGAAGAGATTAAGCATTATTTTCACATATGGTGGGCAATACCGAGATCTAGTAGAGGTACTTGACTTGATTGCAAAGGGAGTCATTCAGCCTCAGGTCGAATTGGGCAAGTTGCAGGATTTCCCGAGGGTTCTCAAAGAATTGGGAGAGGGCAAGATTAAGGATCGGATTGCACTAGTATCAGATATTGTATAAGTGTGTTAAGAAATATTTAGTTCATTTGTATCTTTGAGTTTGTTCAAGGTGGAGGATTTGGATGTATAATGAACAAGAGTGGGCTACGTATGCGGCCTCTGTCCTTGACGACATAAGACATCGAATAAGCTGGTTTATCTGGCTCATGATAGTATAAAGGAAGTTACGTGTAAGAGAATACTCCGATGTTCTTTTCATACGTCCTCTTCTTAGATATTATTTCCTCGCGGTGTGATAGCTAGAATAATAGCACAGAGTGGCCCTAACATGCCGAGATTACCACTCCAGGGAAATAAACGGAAGCGGCAAATAGAATACACCGTACAGAGAACACTTATATGTATAACCAGGGATGGAAAAAGACACGAAAGAAAAAAGAAACTGATAAGATCTATAGAACAGAAGGGCTCAATACTTGAGCAATTTTAGGCATTGACACTTGCGCTCTTCGTCATGCCAATTCCCACAGCAGCTGTTGTCCCCGCGTCAACAGGCAGAATAACACCAGTCATCCACCGAGCATGAGGTCCAGCAAGGAATACAACAGCTCCAGCACAGTCCCATCCATTTCCTTCGGTTCCCAACAAGCTTCGTTTCCGACGGGCCTCACGCGCCTCTTCACTCATGCCCTTCCCATACATCATGGGCGTGTATAGCATCTAGTATCATCAGCTTCGGTTCCATGCAGCGAAAATGGCAAACATACCCCTGGACAGACACAGTTCACACGAATCCCATCAGGAGAGTGATGGGCTGCCATAGCACGAGTCATGTTGACTATGGCACCTTTGGCAGTCGGGTATAGCAGATGAGGTGTCCCGCCCTTCAAACCAGCAACACTTCCCATGTTCACAATGCTTCCTTTGATCTCGTCGTCATTTCGGCTCATCTCTGGGATGGCATATTTGGCCATTTGAACCATACTGGCAACATTGATCTCCATACTCTTAGCCCACTGCACCATATCAACTTCCACGGCAGTGCCCGCTGCACCTCCAATCCCGACGTTGTTGATCAAAATATCCAGTCGTCCAAACTGTTCGACGGCAAAGCGCACCGCCGCTTGGCAGTCTTCTTCGGATGTGACGTCTGCACGAATGGCAAGCGCTCGTCCACGACCGGGTTTCGAGTTCACGATTTCCACAGTCTTGTTGGCCCACTCCAAGTTGAGGTCGACGCAGATTACATCGCAACCATCATTGGCGAGAAGGATTGAAATCGCGCGTCCATTTCCGATCCCATCACTCAGGCAGCCTGCGCCCGTTACGATGGCGACTTTGCCAGTCAAAGAACGTGAAGGGGGATCGGATGGAATGCCGGACTCCATGGTTTTCGATTTGATGGTTTGGTTTCAATTGAAATCGAACTGGTGACTATATCAAAAAAAGAAAAGTACATAAACAGGTGCGCATACTATCTACCCTTATACTTGCGGCATCTTTTCTCGTCCACGGCATACCTAAATAGTCCATCTTCATGCGGGGTTACCGAATGAGATACTCTATTACCGGGAACCGAGCCGAGGTGATGCGTGGGGTAAATCTGATATCTGTCTCTCGGTACCTGACAATGTACTTCATACCTAAGTGGGTTATACACATGTGCATCGAGTGCCCCTCAGTGGCTCGACCTTTTTACTTAGCGGGGTTTATTAAATCCGGAAGACGTTCGTTGTTGTACTTTCTTCTTTTTCTTCTTCTTCTTCTCCTCCTTCTAGCAATAAAATTACCTTTAGCCACTACAATAATGGCTGACTTCACTAGATATGGTACGCCCAGCGCCGAATGGGTCGCCCTTGAGGCAACGCTGCCTGAGCCCCCCAAGGACCTCTCGGTGGGACAGTTGAAGGCATTGATAAACAAGGGCCGCGAGGCATCTGCCGCACAAGATATGATTGACGGCCTCAACGCCGCAGTTCAGCTGCACGACCACACAATCCCCGCCCGTGATGGCACACCCCTCGAAGCACGCACCTACCGCCCCGCCGGCATCCCAATCTCCGAGCGCCTACCTGTTTATATCCATCTTCATGGCGGAGGTTTCCTTTTCGGAACACTTTCTTCTGAAGACGCCATTTGCTCGCGGATTGTCACCTCGCGTGTCCAGAAGGGTACCCCAGTCGTAGTCTTGAATATCAACTACCGACACACCCCCGAATATCCCTATCCCACTGCCTGGAACGATGTTGAAGATGCATTCGTCTGGCTACATGAGAACATTGCCGAGATTGGCAGGCTCAGCGAGCAGGTTGTTGTGGGTGGTATTTCAGCTGGTGCATGGTTGACTGCGTCGTTGGCGCTGGCCCAGCTGCGCGGTGAAGATAAGCGCTTAGCGGCCTGCCCAAAAATTACAGGACAGGTCCTCATGATACCTTGTGTTGTGCAATGGGACCACTATGCGCCGAGACTGGAGATGCTCAAGAGTCCTGATGTGTCGAGCTATGTACAATGTGCCAACGCGCCTGTCTTGCCGGTGACTCGAATGAAATTGTTCACCGAGCTCCTTGGGCTTGCCGATACCAAAGATTCTGCTGAAGATCGACGGATGAGCCCTGGAAATGCCACCGCAGAAGAGGTCAAGGACTTGCCTCCTACTACATTTGGAATCGCGGGGAATGACCCATTGCGAGATGAGGGTCTGTTCTACGGACAGCATCTTGCTGAAAATGGGTGAGTGTGTCATATTCCTCAAAACTGGGATGTTAAAAGGCTAAATATTTCATCAGCATTCCCACCAATGTTCATGTCTTCCCCGGGGTACCTCATGGATTCAGGAGGTACAAGGATTTGTCCGATAGCAAGAGGTGGGATGAGGTGATGAGCGACGGCATTGCCTGGGCACTGACAAGTCCTGCGCCTGGCCAATTTGAGATCAAATCCAAATAGGAGACTAGGTTGTAGGCTGACGATGCATACATCATTTTGGGATCTGTGTGTGAATATCAGGATCCAATTCCTGGATTTCAACTAGAACATAGTCGTAATTGCCCTGTTATCAAGGCTGAATAAGAAATATTTTGGTGCCAGACGAGGAGAAGAGTAGACGTATAAGGAAGTCAGATTACTTTAATAAAGGAGAGGCAATCAACTAGAAGGCGATTCAGCCGATTCACCGCTCGGACCCACAATGCCGATTGTCCGATCTGGCCGTCAATGCGAGTCTTCTTATTCATCTACTCTCCTATTTCATATTTTCTATTCTTCAATTGTCTGGTCATTATGCATGTTTATTGTTCACTACATGCAATGTAATTCTAATCCGCTTTGGACCCCGCATTGAAATAAAGGGCGGGCCCTCTCCGACCATCGGTTTTGCGCAAAGCGTTACCTCTTTTCTTGTGCGCGAGAACTAGAGCTTTTGTCAAAGCTCATATCGTGCCTTTATATCTTGCTCAAGCGTTGTGTGAAACCCGAACCCTACCTCCGCAATGCCCCCCTCCGCCTCCGCCTCCACCAACGGGGCTTCCTCCACCCCCGATGCCCTCGAATCCGACCTCCTCGTCAAGCTATCCGCCAGCTGCGCACTTGAAGATCTGCAGGAAAACCTCCTCGGCTCCCTCCACCGCCTGGGTTGGACCGACAAAGTCACCACCCTCGCCACAGAGCTCCTCCGCGCCGGCCGCTGTGAGACCTTCGACGATGTGATGGCGGCAGTGCTCGCTTCGGCAGAGGGCCGAACCCACCCCGCACTGGGGGCCAAGATTGCGAATGGTGAAAATACAAATGGGACAAAAGAGACCAACGGTATCAAGAAAGGCAAAGCCAAAGATCATCCTTACGACCCTCTGAAGTACATTGAAGAAATCGATATCCGCATTCCGGAGACGGTGGTCGATGAGGGCGTTCGCGGATTGAAGGATATTATACGAGAAGTGGCCGATTTGGAAGGCGAGAGTGCACCCAACGGCGACAAGAAATAATAACAGACACCGGGCGCAAACAGCATTTCAAAATGCGATCATGCATGGCGGGTTCTTTCTATGGAGTACAGATTGTTTCGGCCTGGCATCAAATTTCATGGGTTCATACGAAGTCTACGGGCGCTCTTGCATTTGAATAGACTACCAATTCACACTGGGGCTCTGACCCTTTTTCGAAATACTGCATTCCCCGTACCTCGATCTCCGACTCTTCCATAGCTCGATGACGCAGTAGGTATTCTAGGCCCCACAAGGTCTATAAGATTTAGTCTCCACAGATCGGATGCTTTCGTGAGCAAGCATCTGGCATGGATTATTTCTCGTCGGTTTACTTTTTTCGGATAGCCGAATCAAGCCCTTCGCTTGAAACGCGGGGGGGTGCCAGGCAAACCCCACGGACATTAGCCCGAGACTGGAGGTAAAGGACGTAAAATTGGTAATATTGTGTAGAAATTTAATATATGAAATCTTTCATTCTGCGCATCTGGCGAAAAACACATCTTTAGAGGTGAAATATCAATATGCCCCAACTACCTCGATATGAGTACACCGGCCCCGTGGACTGCACCATTCCACCAAATCGGGCAGTATTGAAGGGTAAAAGTGTCATTATTACCGGTGGTATGTGTACTGCGTCCTCAAATATTCAATAGTTTGTCTAACCTCAGTCATAGGTGCCAATGGCATGGGCGAGGCGACAGTGCGCGCCTTTGCGGCAGAAGGGTGTGTAGTGTGGGAGAAGATTCAAGATTATTCCCGCTGATACTGTCTGTTCATTATAGCGCATTTGTTACTATTGCGGATCTAGACGAAATACGAGGCCAGGAGTTAGCCAAGGAGCTGAGTCCGTACGTACACCAAGTCTTGGGAACCATTTCTTTGTCCGGATATTGATATTTCCATCCGACGCAGCAACGCCCAGTTCGTGAAATGCAATATCACTTCCTGGGATGACCAAGTACAAGTGTATGAGGCGGCGATTGCCAACTCTCCTCACAAGAGTTGTGATATTGTCATAGCCAACGCTGGCATCAGTCGTGCCTCTGGTGACGACCTGTGGCCTTTGGATGGTGAGATATCAATTATATGCCATGTGTCCAAGAATAATAACTCATTCCTGATATATTTTGATAGATGTCAACGAGCCTCCTGTCAAACCGGAACTCAACATTGTCAATGTCAACTTGATTGGCACAATGTATACATGGAAATTGGCCATCCACTATTTCCGCAAGCAACCCGATACCGAAGACCGGGACCGTTGTTTTATTATCACTGGCAGTATGGTTTCATGGATTGATTCGCCAGTGAGTTTCATCTTGGAGAACCATGTCTGGAGCATAGAAAGCTAATACTGACTGACACAAGGCAAACTGGCAATACACCAGCAGTAAATATGGGTTGAGAGGTCTAATGCGAACAGCCCGTCGGAACTCCCACGAGCAAGGCATTCGAATTAACTATGTTGCCCCATGGTACGTTATTATCTGTTATTTATTTGGGGTCCATCACTAACAGCAGATAGCTATATCAAAAGTGCCATTCGATCTGCCGCTTATGAGGCCGAGCTCATGGCCAAAGGCGTCGAGTTTGCGCCCCCAGAAGATGTTGCAATGTGCATGATGAAGCTTGCAACGGATAGAACAATCAACGGTAAATACTCCCCGTCATTTTTATTATAAATTCATACTAACTGATGTACCCAATCACAGGTCACTCACTGATGATCACGCCCAAATCTGTTTCCAAGGAGGGTTTCAAAGATGTTGGCATGGAGGACCACATCGAAGATGGGTATTTCAAGCGCACCCAAAAAGCTCAGCTTAGCATTATTGAAGATCAATGGGTGCCTGGCTGGAGTAAAGGGAGGACTGCAGAGGGAGCTGCTAAGCCATAATAGTTCGCTCAAAGGTTGTAGATGCTTGGCATCATTTGAATGAAGGCGGGATGGGTACCAAGTTCATTTCGATCATCCCAAAGATATTGAGTCTATAGAAATATATCCTACTTTGACAAAATTCTCAGACTCGAATAGAGAGGGAAAATATATAGATATTTGGAGAGAAAGAGGAAGAGACGTAGGTGATGTAGTTGTATACTTCTTAAGGTTCCACCGTTATGAGTCCAGGCCCAGTCACGTGAATACCATTCTCATCAGAACAGCGTCCTCTTCACCTAATCTCCATCTTTGCTTTAAGCTTGCTCCCAGACGTCAGCTTACGTTTGGCTTCGGGAACAGATACATATCACTCGCTTTGACCGGCCTTACTTTCCTCCAACGCCCCTATCCCGCCGTGGCCCTGAACCGCCAACCTTCCCCGCTTTGCTCAGCTTGTTGATTGTTGCGTATTCGCACTCAACGACAACACCCCTCCTCGGAAAAGACTATCGAGAGCCTATTTCGTCCCAAATACAATAGACGCAGTACAACCCCCTATCTGCTGGAAGATATCGCGAATCCGCCCATGTTCGCCTTGAAACCTTCGAGTCTTGACGTCCCCTCGTTCTGCCCGCGCTTTATAAAATAGAGCATCCGGCGCATTACCTCCGATATTCGTTTCGTTTATCTTTGCTGGACCTAGTACCTCCAATCTGGCGGTGGCGCCTGTGAACCCCTCACACCATTCATCTCTACTTTCGGTGAACATTATTTTGCCGCCAAAGATCCTCCGCCATGTCTCTCCACACCTCCTACCACGCCGATTCAGATGCGGACGATGAATACGAGCGCAGTGTGATAACTTCACCGCACCTTCACATCGATTCAGAATCTTCTCCTACGGACTCGGACATTCATTCATCAGAACACACCCCGACCAAATTCGGACATCCGATCGATGGTCCTCGCTCACCGCGAACACTCATCACGGAATGGGGAGTTGATGAATGCAAGGAATTTTTGACATCGCTTGGATTACTTCAATATCACGGCACATTCCGAGGTAAGCCGAGGTGTTCGGGCATATTTAGTCGCGCTCTTTACTAACCATAGATATTACCCAGAAAATGCAATTGTTGGTGAAGCTCTGATTGCCCTAAAGCATGAGGAGTTGAAGGAAATGGGCATCAACAGTGTGGGACATCGATTGACGATTTTGAAAAGCGTGTATGAAATCAAAGTCAAGCAAGATGTTCCCCTCGATGCAGACCATTATATTCCACTTTGTATGTTCTCAGACCTCCGATTTAACCTCGCTTCTAACCCATGCTTGCAGCGGCGGACCAGAGTATGAATGAAACTGCGACACAAGAAGATCTTGCACGATTAATCAAATCGATTCAAGTTCGAGACGAAAAGCTCATGTTGGTTGAAACGGAGCTGCGCCGAATCACAGACGATTACCGGCGATTGCGCGAAGAAATCCTACCAGTGATCAAAATAGTAAAAGATCGGTCACACCCATTACCTCCGCCCTCTTCTGGTGGGCAATCTTCAGAAAACTGGCAGGACAGCACGGCCACTCTCACATCAAATCCTCAACCCACAGTCGAACTTTCTTCTGGGTCGAAAATTGCGCGGGCTTTCTCCAAGCGCATTCATCCTAATGGCAACACACCCAAAAACAATTCGCCAACCCACCCTCCACCTACGAGCTATGATGCACGCTCTCATCACGACAACCTTAATCCGTCAGCCGCTTCCTTGGCTGCCTCGTCCCATTTGACAACCTCAATGAATGGAGGATCACAACTATCACCTGGAATTCCTTCACCAACATCCCCTCACCACCACCACGGTCATCCCCAGACACTCAATCCACGATCATATACCCAACCACTCTCTAGCGCGAACCGCAACACAGCCTATGACTATACTGAACAGACCCCGACAATACATTCTAGAGGAGACCGACTCACCCCGAGTCAGCTTCCAACATCCCGCGCCGAAACACCATCCACTGCATCACGTCTTGACCCACGACTCGATAGATCTGACTCACGGGGCGGCGGGGGCGGCGGCGGCGGCGGCGGCGGCGGCGGCGAGAATCCAAATAGCGTGGAGATCTTCAAGTCATTCCGAGTCTCTTGGGAAGATCCCTGCTACAAGGTTCTACCGGCTGCTCTTAAGAAATACAACATCAACTCTGACTGGAAGAACTACGCGCTTTATATCGTTTATGGAGATCAAGAGCGTTGCCTGGAATTGCAGGAAAAGCCCCTTCTCTTGTTCAAGCAGCTAGAAAAGGAAGGACGGAAGCCAATGTTCATGTTGCGGAAGATCCACATGGATAACCCTTCAGGCACTCCAGGGCCTGGTGCATCAGCACCTAACAGTGCTGGCTTCGAGGGTGGCCGACAAGGACAAATCAATCTTCCAGGCGGTGTGCTCTGATTTTTTCTCGATGCAATCCTTCCTCTTTCGATGCACGCGTGTCTGTGGCTTGAGATACCCGGTGACTATCGACTACGTGTTAGGATTATTTCTTCCATTGCATTCGATTTTATAGGCCATGGGATCATGTCGTGTTGGTTTTGTCGGTGTTTGGTGTGCTATGGGAGTGCCGGTATACCGTATTCGGGATATGGATTTATGGGTGACATTGGCGTTTTCTGCTTCTCATGACGCTTCTATACCAGATTTGTCGATGTCCCATGCAGCATTGTGCATCATCAGCCTTTTTTTTTACTTCTTTCAAGATATCCTTGACTGGCATAGGACTTTGGTCCGGTGTTTTTTTTATTATAGCATAGTACATACTGAGCTTGTACATGAGATTCCCATTTTTTATTCCCATTGTCTACGGGCTTCAATTTATTCATTGTTTTCAAATGAGACAGATTACAAGAAATGGCCACTTGTACAAAAGAGACTTCAATGTCTATGTTGCTTGCTTCTTAAATTAAACCATCCACGAATTTGAACTGTTCATCAATCATTGCGCTTTGATGCCCGCGCAATGGATTTTGGGTATGGCCAGTTGTAATTCCTAGTATTCATACTGCCTACAGTTAATATTTATATTACTAACATCTGAGAGATTCCGATTATGGTATGAAGCGATATTGTATTCAAATCTATGGTAAATCACATAATGTGAAAAAGGTATGTGACGTCCTCCCCACAGCTAGCGCCCATAGGGTACCCCGAAAGATACCCTAGCATAGCTATAAAGTGTTGTATAAAGAGGAACGCCTTTCTATACTCTCCAGGGCCGGGAACGGAAGAAAACCCATGAAGGCCGAAGCCATCGGATAAGCCTCAGCAAGCCACAAAGTGGAGCCCCGTGAAGTTGATAGAAAAGAAAAAGAAAAGGAGTAAAGACGCGGGAGATCCGGCCGTATTTATGTGTCGGTGCCTTTTTCCACGCTAGAGCTGATTGGGCCTCGGTTAATATGTCCCGGATATAAATAAAGAGAAAATCACAAAAAGACAAAAAAGAAGAGGTCGTGCCCGGGATCGAACCGGGATCGGTGGAATCAGAATCCACAGTGATAACCATTACACTACACAACCCAATTTGTTGAAAACGGGCTCCATATTGTATACCATAAACCAGTGCTGAAACAAAGGATATACTCCTGGAAGCCTCCATTTCAAACTTGGTAAATCCTAGGTTTTAGGGTTGAGGTTACCTATACTTTGTGTGGAAGGCTTTTTCACACTTCCAATTGAGCAAGTAATTCGGCTATAGGAGTCGAACTTCCTCCCTTAAGCCTTCTAGTTAACCGATCCACCATATAACTTGCAAAGGCAGCCTTCAGAGTCTCGTCGGTCTTTATGATCACCAAAGGACAGATATCTTGCAGGTAGAGTGAGACTCGGTGGTTTTATTGACGTTTGTGTTGGCTCTTGGCAAGGATTTTATAGAAATTTCAAGGCCTGTTTCAATTGCCTGTCTTTCCCCGTGTTCAATGGCCCTACCACGGGTGGGTGGTGTAGGGATATGAAACGGTCTAGCCAATTACATCAATATGCTTCAGCTCAGGATTTATCAGGAATTCAGGTGCTTTTGCAATTACTTCAGCGGCCTCTATATAACCTGTTGGTCCCACATTTCTTTTGATATTCGTAGATCTGTCTAGTGTTTACTTGGCCGCCGGAATTCACCGGTCTCTTGGTTGTTGGCATTGGGGGGTTCAGTTTGTCGATTAATGACTAGGTTGTAGCAGTTTGCCATATCAGAGATGTTGCGTACTAACCTTTCTAGTATTCGTTATTATTTCTACCCATTATATATATTAGTCACAGCAGCCACGTCTGTAGTGCTATTGTCCCGGAATAGCTAGAATTTCTTCAACACCAGGACCATGAGCGAACAAAAAAGAAGCCCTGGCTACACCGAAACAGTGACACTACAAACTCGACCCATGACAGTTGTAAACGAGTAAAAACGGCATATACCAGAAAGAATAGTGTGAAAGATCTCTGATATTAGGGCCATGGAAGCAGAGGGAGTTATATATGCCTGGGAAACTATCAATTTGACCCCTTTAACGGTGCAATAGCCAAAGTGATACCAGTGAAATCAATCAGTCTTCGAACGATTTATTACTTCTGTTTCAGTAAAGGATGTGAGCCCATCTGGTGGCATTTCATTGGTTGGGACCCAGACCATGCCAATCTTCCATCTAGCCTATAGGGCCAACTTTTTTTTATTCAGAATCTTCTAGTGTCAAAATGACATAGCATCATAGGAATGGCGGCGGATTCCTTCGTCATCAAGTCGACAGTGATGAGCCTAATCACGCCCATAATGCCCATTTTTGATCACCATGGAAATACCATAGTACTTGGGGGTCTAGAAAGAAAAAAAAAAAGGCAAAGCGAGAAAGGAGAGAAGACAGGAATGAGATGAGAGGGAAAAAAGAAATTTATTGTTAGAAGAAGACTACTGCTGATGCTGCAGCTGGTATAGAGGTATATTGTAATTTATTGAATTTGGTTTATGATGCATATCACGGAAGCTGCATTTATCCAATTAGGTTGTGTAGTGTAATGGTTATCACTGTGGATTCTGATTCCACCGATCCCGGTTCGATCCCGGGCACGACCTCTTCTTTTTTGTCTTTTTTTTTCCCCTTCCTAGGGATTTCTTTTGGTCATTCTTAATATGCACTAAATTCTTCTTAACAAGCTTCAATTTCAGCCACAAGGCCAAAATCCGAAACAGAAGCCCTCCACAACGTTGGGAAACCTTCTAACGTTCCAAGGGAATATCCACGTGCTTGCGGGCTTAGCCCCGGGCCCTGGCATCCCGGGCTACCCCGTGGACATTCCGAATGGGTATACCGGGAGGCACCCGAGACCATGTCAAATTTCATCTCTATTAGGGTTCCAATGGTTTGTGTCAATAACAAGATATGCAAGGCTAGTTTGACTGTGCCAATAGCCATTTGCCAGTATATTCCCAGGTTAAATAGCCATAGATGAGAGATAAATTCAAACGCGTGACCAGACCGCAAATTTGGTTCCCGAAATCTTATTTCTGCCGATATCCTTTCACCTTCCATACCTCATAATCATGACTGGGGATTTTAATGATTCTGTCGAGAGCAGTTATGTTCGGTCGCCATTGCCAACCAGAGTCCGGAGTGCCTGCGAAAGATGCCGTCGCCATAAATCTCGGGTAAATCCTCTCTAGTCAGGACCTAGAGACATATACTGAAACCCACTTGCACCTAGTGTGATCCTGTTCGGCCTTGCTCGGTCTGTATCCGAGCCAATGTTGATTGTCGACCACTTCCAACAACGCAACCGCGGAGGGCCACTCTGCCAAAGTAAGCTGCACAGCGGGGTGCTTTAATGTTCTTTTACTTATATGGGATATTAGGCGCCTGGGTTCCAGAAGAAACCCGCGAACTGACCGACATCAATCCAATCGGCCTTCAGTGACTACCCCAGTGACGACTACCGAAAAGTCACCGGATGAAAATGGCCTTGGTCGCGGTGAAAGAAGCCCCGATCAGAGCAGATTGATACATATGCACCCTAGCGGCGATGATGCCGACTTCCCTGCTGGAGATCGGAACATGGCCTCGGCTCTCGACTGCGGTGAAGCCGAATCCGCCATAGGAATTGCTCGCAGAATCTGTCAACTTGGCAGCCATAACATTGATGAACAAACCACATCCGCCATACCTGGCCACCAGGCTAGCAGCGGTGGTTCTTTGGCAAATTCGGCAACTGGTCAGCGCATTCCGATATCTTCCATCTTGAGGCAGCCATTCCCTCCTATGGAACTTGTACACAGTCTGCTGGAAGATTACTTTGATGCCATACACTGGTTTTCTCTCGCCGTTTACGAGCCAAAATTCAGAAAGAGCCTCTGTTCCATCGCTGATGGTTATGCATATCCCTCGCAAAGACCATTCCTCGTGCTATTAGCCATTATGCTTGCAATGGCATCGTGGTACCGATCTCAGAAGAGTTGTGCTGATCCGGCCGACAACACCGATTATATGGAGAAATTGAGCGCAGATTTGTTGGGACTAGTTGAGTCCAATGTAGTGGAATTGATGGATCAACCCTCAATCACCTCCGCCCAGACCTGCATTCTCTTAGGGTCACATCACGTCTATCATGGCCGCCCAAATCTCTCCTTTTCCTTATTAGGAGCGACCATAAAGATGTCTCAGTCTTTAGGAATGCACCGAGGACTTGGACGGGGGGATTTCGAAAATATCGAGGAAAGAAAAAGGGTATGGTGGACGATTTATACATGGGATAGGTTTGCGTCAATTACCTATGGTCGGCCACTGGGCATCAACGACAAGGATTGCAATCTTGACATGCCAGCGGATGTGTTCGAGAACCCCAAATTTGTTGCCCCGGCCACCGGTCAGGCTAGCCCCATATGCTATTCAACCTACCAGCGGGAGTTGAACCAGCTCTACTTGATTGCATCGCCTGCCCTCAAGACCGTTTTCGGCTCACGTACTCTAAGGGCGTCCGAACAGCTAAACGGTGACACATATTTTGCACTGGTCAGGCACGCCACCGAGAACCTCCAGAAATGGCGATCATGTCTACCGAATCATCTGGCATTGGATCTTAATCGGGACTTCGATACCGATGATCGGCCGAGCGCGAGAGCACACGCCCTGCAGTCTCTGTCGCTCCAGCTGACATACGACAATGTTCTCATTGTACTGCATCGACCTTTGCTAGCACGGCAGGTTGATCATCTCTATACCGTGAATACACAATCACCGGAAGGAAGCAGAACAGATAACCTTATGTACCACCCGAACACCACTCCCTCCGTGGCCCAGTCGAACTTACCTTCCAACTCCGCATTTCCCAATACCCAGACCACAAGTCCGGATCTATGGATGAATGCCGCAAAGAGGACATCGAGAGTGACAGAAATGCCGACTCTAGCCCAGCTCGCAACTGACAGCCATCTCGGCGCATTTCTCGCCATCAACCTATTTAACGCCGCAATTGTGTTGGCTGTGATGGCTCTCTCAGAGCCTCTTTCCGATACCGCACAGGAAATGAAGCGCACTATTACTCGCATTCTTCGTCTGCAAGATCTACTCGGAAGACGGTTTGCACTGTCGAAACAAAGCACGGCTGTGCTGAAGAATGTTGCTATCATGCTCCTCCGTCGTGAATCAGCTGCCATGCTTGCTCCAATTACCGGAACAAGCCAGGTAATGGGTCACCAGCCTTTACAGACTCTGGCAGATCCGTCATTGATTTCTGTTGAAGATACACTTCGGATGCCGCTTGATGCGGCATGGGATTCTCGTGATCCCCTTGCTAAAGATCAACGTCTGCCCGACCTCAGTAGAGCTGATCGCCTGAACAATAGCTTAACATCTGTCCAATATGGTAAGTTTTATCACTCATACGAGGTAGCTCAAATGACAGGCCTTGCTAACGCAAACATATTTTCCAGCATTGGGTCCAGGGGATCGCTCCGGCATTCCTACTGGCGGAGAGAACCTTCAATTTCGTGAGTTTGTTGAGCCAGGTATACAGACACATGAAGTGTGGCAGCCAGCAGAATACGATTGGAGTATGCCTGGTCTGGCTCGGGAACCTTTAGAAAACACTCACCAGGATAGCGTTGAAGGCGGGTTGTATTGGTTATGGGACATGACGTGGAATGGAGTCGGAGGGTAATCGGGCATCTTATAAAAACGCCACAAACATAAAAAGATGAAGAGAGTGCAGGTGCCCGGCCATACTGCAATTATTACGCATCGCCCCAATATTATGGTCCTGTTCATCCTTTTTATCGATAATCTAAAGTCACAAACGCAGGAGCTATACTAAAGTTGCTTTTGCCTCTTCCTCGTCGACATCCGGACCATAGATCACACTCTTAATCCCACCTCGACCGGCGACATTCTTGAAAGCGTCCTCGGCCTGACTGAAAGGAAACTCATGAGTAACGAGACTATCCAGCCTGATCCGGCGCGAGTCCAACAATCCAATGGCCAATTTAAAGTCTCCAGGCCCGTACCGGAAGCTTCCTTTGAAAACAATCTCTTTATCACAGATCTGACCAACCGGAACCGACGGGTTCGGTTTCCCCAAGCCAACTTGAATGAACGTGCCGCCCTGCGCGAGAGCAAGGATACCACAGTTCAGACAAGGCTCAGCCCCAGTTGCATCCAGAGCAATATCAGCACCATCCAAACCAGCAGCCGCTAACAAATCCGCCGCATTCTTATCCGCCGCCTCGTCGCTCATTTGATACGTGTGCGTAGCACTATACTTCACCGCAGAAGCAAGTCGAGCAGGGACAACGTCCACAGCAACTACCGTTGACGCACCGAAGGCCCGCGCAACAGCACAGCAGAGCAATCCGACCGGCCCAGCTCCGAATATAATCACTGATTTATCCTGCATGAAACCTGCTAAGCGACAGCTGTGCACAGCTACGCTAAGAGGTTCGATCAGGGTACCGTCGCGCATGGAGATGTGGGGTGGGAGCTTGAAACAGCATTCTGCAGGCAGGCGGTAGTAGGTAGCGAGAGTTCCATCGTAAGGTGGTGTCGCGGCGAACCGCATCGCCTTGCATAGGTTGTAGCGGCCGTTGCGACAATGATTGCAGGTGTTGCAGGCGATACCGGGCTCGAGAGCGACACGGTCTCCAACGGCCAGGCCTTGAACTTTGCTTCCGCTCTCTACAACCACTCCCGTTGACTCGTGGCCCAGGGTTATGGGGCCTTCGACGACATATGGGCCTATTCGGCCGTGTTGCCAGTAGTGGACCTGTGTGGCGAGGATCTTGTTAGTTTCAATTGCATGGAGGGTGTAGATATGGAAAAAGAACGGGGTAGAAGGGTCGAAGGCATTTCACTCACATCTGAACCACAAAGACCTGTTGCAATGACTCGGACTATGACATCTCGGTCTGACAGGAGTGTGGGTGTACTGCGTTCTTCGAATGTAAATGTGCCACCGGGATGTAGTACAAAGGCCTGATTGGCTGTCTGGATAAATTTTCAGAGTAAGCAGATGCAATGTAAACCCATACCTTTGGGTCACGGACTAGGGTCAGGACTACCTGGGGAGCTTCTGTAGCGGTCATTGCGGTTTTCTTTTTGATTTTAATGAGCAAATCTTCCGGGATTCTACTGATCTTTAAATGTTATGGATCTAAGGATTTTACCCACCCAGTTACATATGAAAATTGAGCATGCGGATATCTATTGAGACTTATCCGGCGGATGGCTCCAAGTTCAACCTATATTCCCGTGTACTTCGGTATTCCCTATCCCGAATTCAAATCCCGGCAAGTTCAGGAACCGGGTTGAACGGTTGATATTCGCCACCGGAACCGAGACTAGGGCTCCACCTTATACTCCCGGAACCGTTCCCCCAGCCAAGATCAAACATTTGAAAGAGTCGAAGGTTATGTGCAGGTCTAAATGATAGTACGACTTTACCCGTCGGGACAAATGCCCAGAAACTAAGGCTGCTAGGTACCTCCTTGTCCAATAGCAATCCCGAGCCATGAAAACATATGGTTTCGGTAAACTACCGGGCTGATGACCCCATGATGTATCTTGGGATCCATTTCCCCGTTATCCTGGAGAAAATTTTCACTTCTGCATGTGTCTGGGGTATAAGTGTAAAGCCATTCTCCGGCCAGCTACCGATGCTGTCACAAAATATCTCTTGATCCAATCCACAAGTGATTTTTATCGTCATCGTTGGTCAATTGCTCTTCGGCACTATGACTATCACGAAATCTTCCGAGCTGACACGCGGCGGGACAATCAGGGAGCGTTCCCTCGCTGTCGCCGCGCAAGTCGAGGAACAGCAGACCTGGCTGGAGAGGAAACTTAAACCCAAGAAGGTCTCGGCCAGGTATCCCTGCAAAGGCACACCTTTACTATATGCAACATGTGCCTTTGGCAGCTTGGGAGATGCTCTTTTCGGTTATAACTCTGGTATAATATCCTCGAATATATTGTCAAGATAGCTGCTGATTGGATAGGTATCATGTCCGGCCTGCTGGTCAACGAAATCTTTATAGCTCGCTTCTTCAAAAACTATGGAGGAGCCGACGGGACGACAAGTGGGGTCGATCCCTCGATCACAGGCATATCAGTTGCGTGTTTGCAAGCAGCAGCGGCGGTAGGAGCACTCATAGCAGGTCGCCTCGGAGACATAATTGGCCGAAAGAAATGTGTCCGTCTCGGCGCTTTTATCTACTTCTTCAGCTCGTTTATTCAAATATTTGCGCCAGATTTTGGGACTTTCATTGCAGGCCGTACCATCCAAGGACTGGGCGTGGGCTTCCTCTCCATGACTGTACCTATCATTCAAGCCGAGATTGCTGCCCCTCATCGCCGAGGGTTGATGGTCGGTATAGAGTACACCTGTTTGATCGCTGGATATATGATTTCTTGCTGGGTGGACTACGGCTTTAACTTCTTGCTGCCACATCATGTTTCATGGCAGGGACCCTTTATCATCCAGATTGTGTTCTCTTTTGTCTTGTTTGGCATGTCCTTCTTCCTACCAGAAACCCCTCGATGGTTGGCGTTGAATGGTTTCGTGGACGAAAGCTTGCAAACAATTGCAGATCTACATTCTGATGGTAATACGGAAGCGGAGCATGTTCAGCGGACGTTCCTCGAAATTCAAGAAGCGGTTATCTATGAGAACAACCTCGGGAAGTCCAGTTGGAAGGCAAGGCTCCCCTACTTGTGTGACTTGTTAATATCGTGGATCGCTAACCCTGGATGGCCATTTTGTAGGAAATGTTCACCCGGTATCGTAAACGAACCATCGTTGGAATCACGGTGCAGATGTTTGCGCAGATCAATGGAATCAACATCATCTCCTTCTACCTCCCTAGCACCCTGTCCTCCGCTGGCTACGATAATCGCAAATCCCTGCTCTTCACTGCTGCGAATGCTCTTCCCTACACCGCTGCAACAGTTGTCACATGGTGGTTAGCAGATAGATGGGGCCGAAAGCCTTTGCTCATTCTTGGAGGTCAGTTCAAGGGAACAATCGAGTTGTTGGTTAGTGACTAAAAGCTAACAATCTAAATATAGGTCTCGGCATGGCCGTACTACTAGCCATTGTCTGCGTCTTCACGGAAATAAACGTGGATATCCACATCAAAGCGAACGGCCAGTATGCTTTCGTTATGCTTTACAATATCATCTACGGATTCACCTGGGGTCCGATGCCATGGCTTCTACCTGCAGAGATCTTCCCACTCCGGGGCCGGAGTAAAGGCATGGCCCTAGCCACGACTAGCAATTGGATATTCAACTTCATCATTGGGATGGTCTCTCCTGACGCTTTCTCTGGTATTCACGGTTATTTCTACCTGGTGATTGCAGGATTTTGTCTCAGTTCGGCCATCCTCGTTCACTTTTACTATGTCGAGACGGCACATCATTCTCTAGAGGAGATTGCTGTTGCATTCGGTGACAAGGCGTTTGCGGATTCTGATGAGGTTATGGAAATGACTGATGCGAAGAGTGAGCAGGTGGAATACTCGGCGTGAAGGAGACCTGATGCTCTTGATTGTGGATTATCTCATACATCGGCTTTTTCGTTGGACTCCATGGTGTTCTATATGATAGGAATCAAGGACCCTTACTATTTATTGTTATAATCGGCATTCTGAGACTCCGTAGAATTTATATTAACAATATGCACGTTTCTGCGTAGATGTTGATACTACGATGCCGCCCTTGAACTTGTGAGGTGGACCACGGTGACTAAGTTATTGAAATAAAATTATCCAACTATCAAATAGGTGATAATGGTCCAGGCCGAAAAAAAGGAAGAAAAAAAGAGAGGTCGTGCCCGGGATCGAACCGGGATCGGTGGAATCAGAATCCACAGTGATAACCATTACACTACACAACCTGATTTGTTGCTTCACGAATTTTACATTTGACACTATAGCCTAACTTTCAAGACTAAATTTAATCCTGACATGACTGATTCACAGTAATCTAGTATATGATCCCATCTTACATTTTCCATTACATCTAGGCTGTCTACATCTCCGCATTTCAGTTTTTGCAAAGGTCCCATGCGGCTTCTTAGTGTAGCTTCTACGCGGAGAGGTACCCGAGGCCATGCCGCATCACTAAGAAATGAAACATTTAATTACATATTATACCACTGTATAAGATATCTTAATTTTAGATCCTAGTATGTATCATCGGGTTGTACTTTATTTCATTGGTTGTATTGATTATCTGCGGTCGAACTTGACTAGATAGAAACAGTGATATATATTTCACGGAAGTGAATCATCAAACCATATGGAAGTAGAGTTACATAGACTGCTACCCCACAGGGCCTCACCAAAATACGCCCATAATATGAAGCAAGCCCCGGCCAATGGGATAATCCTGCCTGCGTCAAAGCCCTGCCCAGTAGCCTGCTCGGCCGGGACTAACGGGCAAAAGGCGAAGAATAAGCCAGTCTACATCTGCTAGAACTATACATCTACATTCTCAAATTCCGCGTTGGTGACTCATTGCGCCCTATTAATGACATGTAGTGTCATCTATTAGGGGGGGTAGGATTTTGCATTGCTGACACCGAGACAGTGCTAGTCTCAAGGGTGCCATGGCTCGGAATGCCACACCTGTAAACCAAAGACCCAAAGTGATACACACAGACGTTGCTAATGTAAAAGCCTCGCTCATAGGTGGTAAAAAATAAGTTGCCCTCTCAATCGTGCAGAGTACACGACGAGACATCAACCTATAATTTATTTAATCAGCTGCCAACCTAGCTACAAATCAAGACATTTAATCTTAACCGTAATGGCCCCATGGTAAATATAATTACTCTGCTATATCCACTTAGATATCACTCGATGTGATGTTCTCGATGGATGCCGCTTCTACGAGATTATTTGTTCGAGTGTATATATATTCAACGTCGAAAGAGGCCCAATGCCTATTGAATCAACAAGACATTTCAAAAACAACCAGCTGAATTGAGAAGAATGAAAGGCTAATATGGTCTAGCCTACTCATTGGTAGTTTTCTAAGAGCTCTAGCTATTACCAAGAGATAGTCAAATTATGGCCTTCTTTATTTAGTTTATAATCCACATTATGGAGCCCGCTTTCAACAAATTGGGTTGTGTAGTGTAATGGTTATCACTGTGGATTCTGATTCCACCGATCCCGGTTCGATCCCGGGCACGACCTCTCCTTTTTTGTCTTCTCTTTTTTGAAATTTCTCCCAGCTGTAGTAACATTCGAAATAACCAAAATAACTCCGTTAACGCTAAACCTTAATCCACCTAGTTCAGAACTAGCCTCTCTCCAAACGCCACTATGTGATCGTATTACCATGACGGCGGTCCATCGCCGGTGCGCCAGTCTAGATTTTGCCTCCATTATGGTCCGAGCATATTATAAGATTGGATGCATTAATTTTATATACGTTGATAATCCCAGTCGAATTGTCCAGTGGATTCCTTAATGCTCGATCATATGAATTCTCTATGCCCAAATTCTTTATCGTCTACTTTTCTATCGTTTTTCTATCGTTCATATCATATAAGGGTCGGAATTCGGTATAGAAAAGTATGAAGTGCTGCACTGGCAGCAATAAACTGCTATACCCCATGCAATGATTTGAATGTGCTGTTGGCATGGTACCTTGCTATATGATTAATGCCGCCCATACCCTTGGGAGTATCACTGAAATTAACTCTTCTTTAAACATCTTTTTCTGCTCCTTATAAAGGGCGGAAGTTTCAGGGAATGTCTCTGAGCATTCAAAATCCATCCAGAGAACTCTGTTTTGTTCGCGGAATACCATCATGTTCCTGGGATATATATCCCCGTGATAAACTCCTGCGAGATGTATGTCACTCAGAGTTTGACGGATGTCATCCAAGGATTGTGCTGGAAAATTGGGTAGGTCTATCGTCTCAAGGCTGGGGATGTATTCGATTAGAAGAGCGTTAAGCGGGGAATTGTCTTCGTGAAACATATACTGAATTGAGTATGTATCCTTTGGCCATTGGCTCGGTAACAGAGACAGCTTGATATCGGTAATTGTTCCATAGAAGTCAGGTATGACACCTCGCTCGAAAAGGCCGTTTGCTTTTAGTTGGCGATAAGCAGTGGTTTCGCGGACAAAAGGGCCCTCGAGGTCTTTTGGGAGCCAGTCATGCCACCGAAAGAGAGAAATTAGTAGGACCAACAAAGCAATCTCAAGATTGTCTAGTTATTTACCAGTTTCATCGCACATGTTGTCTCGTGAACAATCACCTTGAACACAGCTGACTCATCCTCATCCCCCTCGTGGAGAATCCCAAGGAAGACAACGTCGGTAAATTTCACATCAGCGAATTCTTTTGTCATGTTTGCTTTGAGGACGTGAAAATGAGCAAAATAGACAGCACGCCTGCAAGCCCCCCTAGCTGTCTTGATGGCGAGGCTGGATGTACACGAGCCAAATAGATGGAACAACATTTGGAAGGGACGGGGACCTCTGGCCTGTCGGTGTAATCCGTACGTAGCTCATACCCAATTTCGGGACCAGTGAAATTCAACAGTTGACGAGGAAGAATTATATAGCTTAATATATATTTCAAGGAACTGCTGCAATCTATGGCTTTCTCTGTCATTCTACTTCAATCATGTCCCTTGAAACCCCCCCCGGGGGGGGGGGGGGGTTAGGATATAATGATAGCATATAACCTTCCATATCCCATTAAATAGTTTTATGAATCCTTGGACGCAGGAGATTATATTCAAAAATGTTAAGACAGTTTAGCTATTGGTTTGACAACAAGAACGCAAGGGAGGAAAATGAGGAGTAAACAGCCCTACAGTACTTATAGCAAATTACTCCTAGTAAGCCGACGGGAAAGTGTGATATGAATGGTTGTCGAAGAAGATCTCAAGGAGCCCAGATACCGTGAACGCGATCACATGGCACGAGCGAATCCCAGGTTATAGAAAAGTTGTTTGCACAGATTATGCTCCTGCTTTTTCTCTGTGTCTACCTTATAGAACCGGAAATATCTTTAAAAAAAGAACATAAAAAGACTACTGAGAAGAGTACCAAAAAGATATCACAAGGCCACATAAGCGGCCGTCTGTTCTTGTAACTACATGTAATTAATCAATAAAACATAGCTGTTTTACTTTATTTAACTACCTGAAAGTTGAATTCTAATTCAGACAGTCAAAATTTACTGATTCATAAAGAAAGAATATTGATTGTGCTTGCATAGGACATCCTCAACATGAGGTTAAATATGAGTTTATCATGCATCCTTATCATCACGTGTTGTCGTGTCAGGGACGCGTTAGACAACTTCTTTTCGCCTAATGAGCAAAGCCACTAGTTCTGACAACACTGATAACTAAACCCCAATGAGTTTGGATCGTGTCATTCAGGATTCCGACGAGGACGAGCCATTCGAGGGGGATGACCTCTCCACTTCTGTCGACCCTGTCCACCCCTCCGAGCTCGCATTGCAGGAATATCAACATTCCCCCGCCAAAGAGAGGACCCACAATGCAGTGTATGAACACGGGCCTGCTCCCGATGAAACCACGTTCTCGCAGCTGAACGTCAACTTTGACGAGTTCATCCAATCGCCAGAAAGGGGCCATTCAATGCTATCGTCGTCGCAGCAGCGGCGGGAGGACAGATGGATTCCCTCGACCAGTGAGGGTGGAAGTGGGTCGGTTGGTACGATGTGACAGCATATTTTGAAGCATAAAAATGAAGATGTGATCTAGATACTGATACCGAAGATCATCTAGGCGCCATGATGACGGAGATCGGAATTGCGCAGAGAAGACTACTGGATGACGACCACTCAAGTGCAAGCCTGCTGCTCCCTTCTACAGCTGCGCTGTACTCGACAGAATCATTTCAGTCTGCACTATTTCCTACCATACCAAGTTACCACTCGTATCTGATGGACCAACCGAATAGTGGCAGCCTCACATATAATCCAGCACCCATTGGCGCCTACGTCGATGCAAATCAGACTTTGTTGCCCATCACACAGGGTACTTACGACATGACTCCACCCGAAACCACTAATTCAATGGCGTCGTCTTCGAAAATTGTTCCTCACCAAGCTACCGAGCCCTTCATGGAACAGGAGAATCCACCCCCAAACCTACCTCAGGAAGCCTCACAGCCCAAATCTCAACAGATGGGTCCCTCTTCCCCCCATGACACCGAGCCTCTCTCCTCCGTTACATCCATGCGATTCAGCGAAACAAAAACCACCACCGCCGGAACCAGTTTCATTTCCCCGCAACAATCCCAGTCAAGCACAAGCACGCACGACGAGCTCGCTCTGCCAGCTGTCCTACCAACTGCGCCAGACGTCGAGACGTCAGGTGTAACGAAGAAGCAAGGACGGCCCAAGAAGAAACCTATGCCAGATAATGACGAAGACGATGAGCTAGCCAACTCTCGGGACCACGAGTTCAAGCACCCTGGCGCAAATGGTGCGATTGACCCCTCCGATAGCGAAGAGACCACGAAGGATAACACCCCGGCCTCGAGTGGAGTCTCCGACGAGACTGACGAAGATAATCTAGGTGCAACATCCAAGCTTGCAAAATCAGGACCCAAGGAGCCGAAAAAGGAGAAAGCCAAAAAAAGCAAGACGACACCCACCCCTGTGCCTGGTGCCGACGACGACGTGATATGGGTGGATACAAAGCCTCTCAGCTCGGAACCTTCTACCAAGAAAGCCACCCCGCTGCCAGAAGCCCCAGAAGCCCCGAGAGAGGATTTAGACTCCAATGTTTTGGACTCAAACCCGCCTGTTGAAACCCAGACACTGACTCCTGCAGTTGAAGAGAAGACGCAAAAACCCGCAAAACCAGCACCCAAGAAACGCGGCCGCAAGCGAAAGCAGACAGCCGACCAAGCGGAAACACCATCAGAGTCTGCAGATACACCTGAACCAAACAAGGCGCCTTCCGGGGCCCAGACTCCTGCATCGAAGTTGGCCGTCGTTGTCGACAATAGTCCCAGACCTATGCTGGAAGCTAATGCCGGTGACAACGATGCATCCACTATTCAAAGCGAGACCCAGAACCCCCATTCACTTCCTGGTCCTGACCCTCTTCCTGAATCTACAATTGATACCTCTCAGCCTCAACCTCAGACTCCTTCGAAATCCGATGCTGCATCTATCAATACACCTCAGAACACAGGCAAAGGCCCGGATAAGCACAGCCCTATCTCGGTTCGGAGTGGGGTGCCTTACCGTGTGGGGTTGAGTAAAAGGGCGAGGATTGCGCCGTTGCTTAAGATGGTACGGAAATAGGGAAGGTTTTGTGCTTTCTTCTTGTCAACATCTTCGTTTCATGTTTTGTACTGTTCTTTTTTTTTCATTGGGTTGGTCTGTTGCTGCTATTATTCTGCTATCATTATACCCCTCGAGAGAATGTTCTCGGCGTGCCTGCCTGCTTTGCTTTTTTGCTTGTTTCTGTTGGTATTGGTATCTGCATATCTCCCATGGTTGCATGTCTATACTTCCTCATTTATATGGAGTGAAGCCTTGAAGAAAGGTTGGCTTACTTCTTAAAATCCTGACCAGGTGTGAGCTGCGGCAATTTATGTTGAGATCTTCTCAGCTACTCTCAATATCGAAAAAAATTACATTCATTTTGATGATCAGAGTAGAAATTTTACGTTTAAAAGGATTATATGAGAACCTGTGATTATCACTCAAGCAGAAGACGAACCTTTATATTGCATTGCAATTCTGCTACTTGTTGATTCCTATTCCATGAGCTAACTAACCCTACCGCGTTTGCCAAGAATTTCAAAGGAATGGATTGGCCACAAAGCCACAGCGTGTAAGTATAACTATAATCTCGACAATGTAAAGCTCAGCCAACCAATCATGGCAATCCAATCCAAAGATCAAGATGATTCATCACACCCACTTCACATCCACATCGCAACGAACAAAGCAAGGAACAACGATGTTGCAGCCGCAGTGCCAATGGTTCGGAAATCAGAATCAGCCTCCGACTTGTGGCCCTTGGCTTCAACCTTGGGGTCCCATGCATCGCCATTGAAAGGAGCCTCGACGGAACAATATCCGGCATCCTTTTGGCAACCGCTTCCACAATGACTGGTGGTATTGCCACAAGAGTTCGTACTGTCACAGCAAAAGCCATAAGCTGACCCAAGGCAAGTGTAATTGGAACCGCAGGAGCCGTCCCAAGAGATCGGCTTGTTGGGATCTGCCGAAGCAGTCTTCTTGGGCTTCTTCTTGTGAGTGGGAATCCGGCTATCCTTGCGGTACCAGAGTGGCCTGGGATCTTGGAGACAGTCACCAACAGTAATGGCGCGATAGCCCTGTCGCCTGATGCCCTTGAGCATATGCTCCGTAAGGTTGTGGACAGTCTGTTCATGGGCGTCATGGGCAATGACAAGCCAAGATTTGGTGCGTGGGTCGCTGTACAAGAGTTGGTGATCAAAGATATCCTTGGACCGCTGAATTAGATCCGGACTATCGTTCTTGTAGTCATCCGTGTCAATGTCATATAAAATGATGTGGTACCCAAGCTTGCCCAGCTCATTTCCGCATTCTGCGTCAGGGTTGCAGCTGGAATAGGGTGGTCGCATGTAAGTGGGGAATTGTCCGAGGATATTGCGCAGAGCAGCTTCGTTCTTTTCAATCTGCTCAGTGCGTTGTGAAGGAGTGATCTTGCTGAGGTCCTCATGTGACCAAGTATGACTGGCGATCTGGTGGCCACTCGAGTACATTCGTTCGATCAATGAGGCCCATGGCAAAGTGAGGTCGTCGATGGCACCCTTTCCATTATTGATGCCAGTGATGAAAAATGTCGCCTTCGCATCATATTTGTCGAGCAAATCGAGCAGATCGCCAGTGTAACGCGTCGGACCATCATCGAAAGTCAATGCAACAGTTCCTGGGATAGCGCATGAACGAATCTCGCGAGGGCCATATGGAACTTGACCGACGTGAGGACGGGGGATTTCCTTGGTTGGGGGTCCAGAAGGCGTTCGGTGAGCGTCACATTTACCGTAGTCAATCTTGCAGTCTGGAGAGCGACAGTGCGCCTTAGACGTGCCACAGAAACCTTTTGCAGAAATGTCATCAGTAAGCTGCTCAATCTAACAGAGTTTCAACACATACCTGCACCAGAGCAGCATGTACCCACTGGACATTTGCCGATCTTGGGGCCACAGCGATAGTCCAAGTTGTTGGGCGCATCACGAGTGTCCAAATGAGACTCTGTTCCTAGTTGGGCTTGTTCAATCGAGACCGTATGCACAGGACTGGCAACATGCACTCTAGCAAACACACAAGTCGCCAAAGTGGCGGCTAAGATGGGAGGAATACGCATCTTGGTATATAGGGCTATGTTATGTTCGACTGGGTATGCAATAGGTAGTAGTTTGAGATGATAAGTGAGTTGGGGCGAGGTAAGAAAAAGAGAAGAGATGAGCAGGACAGGGGAGAAGTCATGGATGAGCTAATTTCTACAAGGAGGACACAGAAGGAAAGAGCGAAACTTCGAGGTATTTGTTTACTTGAAAACACTAAAGGAAGGAGAAACCCTGGAAAAAGCTCCCAACGTTTTAGATATAGATGTAGAAGTAGATGTTGACGCGCTTGTATTCAATATGAACGTGGGTATCGTAAAGTCCATGGCCATCTTGGGCATCGGAGGATTGGCCTAAGAGCCCAGTACATTTTTCCCGATTCAGCAAATCACAGCCTGGTGGGTGCGATCAATATGATCATGACCTGATCACATGTAGCTAATTTAGTTTAGATGCAGCACATCAGGCTCGTGCTGCTGAGCAGACCTCAGCAACATATGTAAGGGTCTAGGCCACAGTGTCGGTCAGACATCCATGAGTTGTAGGCTAAAGAGTATGGCAACTCAGTTTCCCCGGGTGACGTTATCCTCCCCAACTGCCGAGAAGACAAAAGGAGTAAGGGTATCCAGGTGTGGGCCGAATTTCGCAGGTGCAGTTCTTGCAATGACGCCAATTGCAGCGATCAAGTGCCGACGCTGCACCATGGAAATATTGGAAGACAATGTTTTCGTCAAATTGGACACAAAGTCATTAAGCTGATTGTCGGAGAAGTGGAGCACAAGCGCTGAGATGGCTGACAGGGCGCGCTTGGTGACAACAGTTCCAGCCGTGTCGTTTTGAATAATAGCCATGACGGATGCTTGGAGGGCAGCGAGTTCTGACTCTTGGAGCAGAGGCCCAAAGCAGGTCACGACCTTGATGAGCACATCGATCGCATCACTGCTGAAGCCCCGCGATGGATCCTTCTCCATCATGCTCTTCACCATGGAGCCCCGCCTCCCTGTGCTTGAGGGTGTCGGCCCGGTCAAACGGGGGACCAAGACCTTCGAGACTGCTGAGTATGCCGTAATCGTATTTTGAGATGCAGGCTGGCCAGACTGGGGACGAGGGAGGGTATCGACGATGACGCGCAGAGCAGTGTTGGGGACGGATGTGTCTATCGTCTGCGAGGCAGTCAGGGTGGCCAATCGCTCGAGGAGAGGTGTAAGGGATTCAAATGGCAAGCGAACGGCGAGAGGACCGAGACTAGTTCGAGTTAGATATCAGCACGAGAGGTGAATAGAGCCCAGTACGAACCATTTGAGGGCCTGGTTCTGCACGTCACCGTGTTGATCATCCAGAGCCTTGAGCAGACCATCTGCGAGTTTTGTTGATGTGCCACGGTCGTGAGAGAGGAATGAAGAGTTCGGGTTGGTCAGGATCCCATATAGGTCGTTCAGTGACATGTATCTCAAGTCGGCATCGGGGTCATCAAGCTTCGCTAGCAGGCTGACAATTGTCTGCTGGGTAACCTGGCGGTCCGCCATATTGATGGGACTGTGACTGATATCGGTAATGAGATCGAAGGAAAATGCACCCAAGGTGACGGGTAGTGAAGTGTATATGAAGGCAACCGGGGAGAGCTTGCGGTGGGAGCTTTCGATAGACGCCGCAACGTGGGGTGTTGCCGCCTAAGGTATCAATTGTGGCCTGAGGCACTAAATTACAACTGACCTTTCTGAGTTATTAACTAATACAAAATATCTGTTTAAGGCTGATGACCCTAGATTATAATACGGAGTACTTATATCATCATCATACCAATGAAGTTGATATGAAGTATTTGAATGTCCGAGTATTTGATCTGATAATCAGATAGATCGTTGAGATCCACGTGATATCAAAGTCTATGAACATACCAAGAATGCCAGTTCTATTCATACCATACAAGGTATCAAAGTTATACCCCAAAGGTTCCTCCATGAGTATCAGTTACCATTCAATCCCACCAAACCCGATGTGTTCTTGGAGTACCCAGTACCTAACCCAGCCACGCCTATTACATCATGACGCACAGACCTCGGAAACAACTAAGATGCGGTCTTACGACCCCATACTTGCGAAAACCGGGAAGCTGTAAGTCTTAAATTAACATCTGGGCCTGGTGCTCTTCTACTTTATACCTAAACAATTCACTCCTCTAAACTTATCACACTTTCCATATAATCTGTCCCTTCTACTCTACTACTAGTTTATTACTACGCAATGGTCTTTGCGCGCCGTTCAATCTTCCGAGCTGCGACTGCAGCTCAAACTTTCCGTGCCGCTCCTGTGGCCCGCCAGTCTGCCCAGCTTCTTGGTCGCCGATTTAAGTCTACCGGCGGCAGCTATGAGCCAGGACATACATCCAGTGACTTGCCTTGGTGAGCTTATGTTCTTGTTCCGAGCAATTCCACTCGGTCTTCTAATTGCGTCTGTTTGTAGGTTGGCGCTCTCTGCTGGTGTGACCGTTCCAATGGTATTTTATCTCTGGCCCTCCGGTTCGGAGGGACATCACGACGCTCACAAGGACGAACACCAAGACGAGCACGCAAAGGACGGCGAGGTAGAGGAGGCTTCCAAGGAGAAACCCGAGGGTTCCTCTGAGACGGAACCTAAAAATGAGGAGAAGACAGACACGGAGAATAAGGGTGAAGATAAGGCGGACAAGAAGGAAACACCCGAGAAGAAGGAAACTGAAGAGAAGGAAGAGCCCAAGGAAAAGAAAGAAGAGCATAAGGAGGAGGGAGATAACAAGGAAAAGAAGGGAGATACCAAAAAGGAAGATAAAGAGGAGAAGCCCAAGGATGAGACGAAAGAGTCCAAGAAGGAGGATAAAGAGGAAAAGCCCAAGGATGATGACTCTAAGAAGGAAAACCAGGACGACAAGAAAGATGATACCAAGAAGGAAGCGCCTAAGAAGGATGAGTCCAAGAACAATGAGAGAGAGTCAAAGAAGTGAAGATTCCATTGAGGTGGCCGCAGAACTAAGCCTGTTGACGATGTTTCGACATGTTAGTGTTTGGTGTCCTTGCCCCTATATGAATGTACATATAGCTCTACTAGATACGAGATATGAGATACCAGTCATGTTAGCGTGTCGAAATATTTTGAACAATAGTCTATTGATCCATGTTACCGGCTCGGTCTGGTGCGAGCGAGAATCAAAGAGTCTGATGCTTGCTCCATTCAGAGTGTTCGATCTGTCAACGATGAATGCATTTTGCTCAATCAATCAATTAAGGCATATACACTATACGGTTGAGAAACCTTATCAACCTCCATAGTCTAGCACTTAGCTTTCTTGGCTCTTCAATATTCTAATCTCATGTTGCACCATGTATCTTGACGTCTCTATGGACCTTTCCTAATAACGCTCCACACAATGAATCCCTAGATATTAGCCTCGACTCTTCACATCTATTATAAATATTATATAAGTGGTGGATAATTAGATACACTTAATCACAGTATGTGGTGACAACTATTAGGGACTCTAGTTCTACATAGTATTGGCTTTTAGTATTCACCACTGGGATGTCCACCTTAGTTATAGCAATATCTAGCACTATGGAGTAATAAATAATTCTAATTATTAAAACAACCCGATGTGAAGTTTTTATAGAGTTATAGTGAGTTAGTCATTTATACAGAAGCAGAACAGTTTGCCGTTTATACAACTTCTAGAAGTACGTATACTCGACAATACAGAGCTGGATAATCGGAAGACTAGGCTGTTTTAAGTTGATAATGATTTATACCCTAACTCCATTTCGATATATTTATAACGTATTTTGGTCCTTCAGATGTTAAACACAGATCCTCCGCTGTCCTCTTGTCGCTCTTTGAAATTCCCAATGATAAGAGCGTGTCTCGGAAGACAAACAACGAAGAAGAGAGAGTAGTATCAATATATTGATCTGACAAATGAGACTAGAGAGAGAGGAATAGGAGAGATGAATAGGAGAGAGGAAGAGGAGAGAGAGAAAGAGGAGAGGGGAACAGAAGCAAATTATAGCACCACGTGACACACAAAGCCCTTTGTCCGATCCATGACTTGAATCGAGCCTAGACTTGAAGTGTACATAAGAAACGAGGGACAGCGGTAACTAGAGAACGGGAACTAAAGTGAATTAGAGCAGCCAAACGATCGAATAATGCTTGATATGTATGGGCATATTCAATAAAAACCAAGCTCTTGAAATACATTCGACAAATGACGCGCCTCGCGCCCTTGCATAATGTCCACCCAGCTCAAATTAACCTCCCCTATCTCCTGCGTAAGATCCATGATATCCCAAACAATCTGAATAACTTGCCACTGCGCATTAACCCTTGGAAGACCATATTCCTGCATCGCCTCCCACAAGCACACCCAAGGCTCGCGGTCAATGGCATTCAAGGATGCCACAAAAGCCGGAAAGGTGACCGGATCATCTCGGTACATCAAATCGGGTTCAACCTGTGCCTTGATCTCTTCGGCGCGGAGAAGGCACATTAAGATCCCATCGACGGCAAAGGAGACGTCATCAATGAAGGTATTGTTGATTCGATTGTGGAAATAAATGCCGGCTGCGAGATACCAGGCGACTTCAAGGTTGTTGTAGATTATGTCGTGTTTGTCCATGTCGGGATTAACGAAGAGTGGGATTTCATCATCCGGTCGAAAGTTCTGTAGATGGGCGGACAATGAAACCATACCTGCACTGAGGTGCTCCGGCAGTGCAGAATTTTGCAACTCATGTTCTTCGATTGCTTCTGCCAGGTTTTCTGTTTGAATGATGGCAAACAGGGTAAGGGCCGGGGCTCCGTCCAGTGAACCAAATGGCGAGTTGAGCGACATGGCGACTACTTAAAGCAGTCCGCACCATACACAAGAAGATAAAGGGCACATTGAATGGTATGGTCAATGCGGTAGATGGTCGATCGTGACTGTGGTGGTCGGTAGAACAGTGAAGATAAAGATTGGGAGGACAAAGTAGGATTTAAATAACACTTCCAAGATTACTACAAAATGAATTAGAAATGTAAAAACATTGTAGCAGCCATTCATTTATTGAAACATTCGTATGTCAAAGCATTGTCGAAGCATTCATATATTGCAGCGACTACGGCGTCGATGCCTAGACGATGTGATGTTACGCAAATAATCAATACCTATGACCTAGGCATCGAAGTAAGTTGGCAATATGACTCTGTCAAAGATAAAGGTCTACAGAGCAAGCGACGTTGACATACATGGTTGTTGAGAGATTAAATTGTTGGTGACATTTTTCGGGCAAGGATAGCAGGAAATAATAAACTCGTTAACGGCAATAGTCAGGTCACTTTAAGCACCGTGTCATCACAGTATAAGAGGTACAAGGACATTCAAGTTGTAGGTAGCATTTTTTGAGAGTCTGGCTAGGATTACTATACTGTGGACTAAAAGAAAGGCCCACTCCTTTTAGACAGGCAATAATTTCTTTTTAGTCATAGAAAAAAGAAAAGCGACAGAGATTGAAACAAGGTGGGAATACAGTTGCAGGGCCATAAAACGATTTGTAACCGTTTAACAGCTCTCCAGCTGGAGCCCTGGAGTTATTCGGGTAAATACAAGATAGACTAGATATACCTGTTTTAACATCCACGAAGAATCAGGGAAATGGTATAAATCGGTGGAGGAAAGCAATTCTCTATTGCAGGCGAGACTTTGTTAAAACTGCACAGTATCGAAAAGTATGCGAGATCCAAGGAAGGTGGGACTGTCTGAAGCAAGAAACATAGAAGTACTAGCTAGACCTTCCATCTTTTTTCTTTCTCTTCAACTACCTCGAAACTTCAGTTTTGATTCGTTGCCATCGCCCTGGTCATTTTTTTTCTTGGGACCATATCCTCGGTATTGCTTCCAATCTGATCCATCCCACAGGGCACAAGCAGTAATAGTCCCCTCTCTATCTTGAAAGAACTGCCCACTAATAATACTCGAAGTACAGTGAGATCTACGATCCCAACCATGACATTGTCATGCGAATGCCAGTCAGGAGAGGAGAAGATTCAAGTCTCTCCTCACATGCTTAAATGTCATGGCTTATGACAATTTGAGGCTCTCGTACTCTCTCCTAATACAACCAGGAGAAAGAGAGTCATGGAACACTCCATCAAATCCCCTCTAGTACACTGAGAGTTCCACGCCTGTGGCTCTTAGTGAACCTCGGCCAGCAAAAAACCAACAAAACGAAACTGAAGGAAGATACAACCATGGATTCGCCTTGGTTCCTATCACATCCAATCCACTCACTTCATTGGGCGATGAAGCATCCCCGACATCACAATCCTCCGACCCGGCTCCTTTGTTTACTATTACGCGGCCTCGTTTGGTATTGACGATCTCCCCCTGTGTCATGTCTGGCCATACAAACACTGGCTGTCGCGAAAACCCCATTTAAGCTCTTTGAGCTCGTGTGCGAAAAATTTGGCATTTACCATGCCAACATACTGAGAGTACCACAAACAAACACGAAATACTCCATTTCTCGAATGGAAGATATCTGCCGCTTCAAAACAAAAACATATGATCATGCCTAGACAGACATACCTATCCCAGAACATCGATGGGAAACATTTGTCCGCCAGTTGGCTTCTATCCTGGTCGACCAAAATCGGCAGAAGCCAAGTCTAGAGTCGACACTATCAAAGCTTCTCAATTATATGGCTTCCAATAATCCGAGGCCGTCTCCGACTGTACCATCTGAGCCATCTTGTCTTCGACCCGAAGAAGCTTGGCCCGGTCATTTTGCCAGAACCGGCACAACACAGTTCTGGTCGCGAAGAAGATAGTCCAATGTTGTTATGAGTTGCCAGTTCGCTATTTCCATACATACAACATCAACCCCGCATTTTGTTTGGCTATATTCAGAGTAATCTGCTATATTCAGAGTAATCTGCTATATTCAGAGTAATCTGCTATATTCAGAGTAATCTGCTATATTCAGAGTAATCTGACGCGTAAACTCAGTAAGAGATGTACTGTTGAATCTCTCATTATTTATCTTTAAATGATAGATAATGGAGACTAGACAGAACTGGTGATGGCCTTCGGCTTAAGGGTGGGAATGCTAGTATACAGCATCTGCATTCTCTCGGAATGATCCATCACCCTGTCTGGTATCACGTCGCTGGAAGTATCCCCCTAAGCTTAATGGCCTATATATGGTTCCAAACCTGGGAGGTTCTTTTAAGGATTTCATATTTGCATGATAAATGATATGATATACATGAGTTCAAAGAGAGACATCAAAGTAATAGTATGTGAGAAAAAAACACAAATCACATAGAACATTAAACGACTGGCCAGTAAAAATTACTTAATTCGTATGCTCGTCAAAACAAGCGCCGGCGCCCGCTCTTTTAAGGGCTATCTAACAGGCACAATTGCACCGGACTCAGACCCAGCTTCAACAAATACATTAACAGCATATCAACACATCCAGTGGATCACCTGGAAACACGTCCGATCCAAAAGTATAACTATAACACGGTGAAAATCCCCGGCGTGGACGCCTGGGTAATTGATCGAACTCGAACAAAAGCGTTCGACTTACGCCTTTCTGCTGCGAGTCCGGGGACCACGCTGCTCGGCGACGGGCTCGCCGTTGAGAAGAACCTGGGGGGCGTGGTTCTCCTTGCCGGTCTGGTCTGCACCAGTGGCAATTGCCTTTGTCGCGGTGACGGACTCTAGCTCTTCCTCTTCCTCTTCGTCCTCGCTGCGCTCGTCCTTTGCGACATTGGTGAAGATGTAGTTGGACAGGATGCGCAGGATCAGGAACAGCCAAAACAGGTTGACAGCCTGCAAACTGGCAAGAAGCGCAAAGGTGATGTACTGACTGATCCAGCACTTGTACTGCTGAGTCTCCCAGTTCAGCTCGAAGGGTCCAACAGTGCGGAACTCGGTCAGAACAGCCCAGAGGATCTTCAGGTTCAGCACGTGACGCAGGTAAATCCACCACCCAACAAACATGGCAAAGTATGGTGCAGTGATATACGCATCCAGGTAATTGAGCGTCTTCGAGGTAGCCAAGAAGAAGTCAGAGATATCGTGAGTGATATACACCGCCAAGCCCATGTATGTGAAGTGGAAGCGGTAGCTCAGCGCAATAAGCGCAAGTGTGATAATATGGTGACCAACAAGCTCCTTGAAGTCCTTACGAGGCTTCTCCAACTGCAGCATCAACACAATCGCCTGCTGAGCCCAGTAACTCGCCTCGAGCAGGTAATACGCCTTGAACAGACCCTCGTGCTCGCGGTGTGGGAAGCCCTCGAACATCGCAGTTGTGTTGAAGTACCAGATACTCGACCGCTTCATCACGTACAGACCAAAAGGCCCGAATACACCGAAGTAAACCGCCGTATATGCCTGCTCCATGAACCGCGCTGTCTTTCCCTTCCCGCGGATACCGCACCAAACAGCAAATGGCCGAATCATCTGCTGCATGATGAATTCGCGCGTGAACGACAGCACGATAGTGTAGAATGCCACAAATGCAATGTCCTTTTTGCCCTTGCCGTACATGATGGGTCCGCCGGGAGTCTTCGGGGGCTGCGGGTAGGACAGGAAGATGGCACTGTGCATTGGGTTCGAGGTTGTGGGGTTAACAGCGTACAGCGCGACCAGGAACAGCGTTATGAGAAGCGGCAGGAGCCAGGTGTATCGCAGACAGGTATCCGCGAAACGGTGGAGGAGGGAGCGGCTGCGACGCCGTTTGGGCTGGGCCTTGGCCTGTTTCTGTGTATCGAATTGCTGGGATTAGTTAGTATGGGAGGATTGGATGCGATGTTCAAATGCATACCTTCAGATCTGGTGATGTTGGTTCGATGGGACTCACTTCATTCATTGTGGACATTGCCGGTGCGCTGGTGTCACCTCGAATGTCCACGCCCAAGGCTGAGCTTCGCCGCGGGCGAACCATGTTGGAAAGTCAAGCTTTGTACCCTTTGACTCGGACTCCTCACGTGTTCCAATGAATAAAGATGGATGAAAGGAAGAGAAATTTGATCATAACCGGAACGATCGGATAGAAAGGATCGTGAAATGTGATCATCTTTTTTTTCTTTTTCCAGGGGTTAACTCCACCCCCACCCCGTTGACCAGACAGCTTCGCAGCTCCGATCGGAAATTCTTGGCAATTCTTTTCTTTGATGCGCTTTTCGGATTGGACTCGTTCGCAAGATCCTATATACATCCTGACTACGACTGCCAATCAGATTGCCAATACTTACGAGACTCCCGTAGACGAGATGCCTTATTTGACGAGTCGGCCACATTTACGATCCTACAGTTCCGAATACGAAGCAAAACGAAGAGCGGAGAGAAATTGTTGAGACTGAATTCGTGGATATATGCGATTTGTTGAATTGTATTACATGACATCATATCGACATGGACCATGTCTAACCCAAGAGAAAAGAAAACAAAACATTATAAAGGAACCATCTAAGCATTCTATACACGCTTAACACTCCGTGTCGACAACCTCGGCGTGGGCAGCAGCGGCGCGCTTCTCAGCACCAGCCAGCTTCGCACCAAGGATCTCAATATCGCCCGACTCGGCAGCGACGGTGCGCTTGGTATCGTGGGTAGTCTTCCAGGCCGGGGTACCGATGTAAGGGATACCGTTGGGATCCTCGAAAATTTGCTCGGTTTCCTCCAGAGTCTTACCAGCAGTCTCAGGGAACAAGAAGAAGACGTGAAGGGTCATGACAACCAAGAACACACCGAAGATGATGTATGTCTGCCAGCGGATCGTGGCAAAGGCAGTGGGAACGAACAGACCAAGCGCGGTGTTGAACGCCCAGTTGAACGAGGTTGCCAAAGCAACGGCCTTACCGCGCACGCGCAGAGGGTACAGCTCAGGGGGGTACACCCACGAGACGGGTCCCCAAGTCGGGGCGTACGACGCCACGAACAGGTATGTGCAGGCAATCAGTCCCTTGGCAGGGGCACCACTCAGAAGCATGGACGCCTCAGCCACACCGTCGATACCGCCAGGCACAATGATACCATACTTGGCCATGATACCGCCGTTCGCGAACATCCAGATCATCATGAAGACAGAGCCGATCAGGAGAGTAGGACGACGGCCCCAACGGTCAACCCAGACTAGGGCGGGGACGGTCATGACCACGTTGATGATGTACTGAATGGAGGAAGCGAGGAGAGCAGCATCGCCCTTGTATCCGGCCATCTTGAAGACGTAGTTGATGTAGTACATCATGACGTTCATGCCAGTCAGCTGGGACCAGATTTGAGTCCAGATTCCGGTCAGGGTACGGTGGATCATACGGGGCTTGAACAGCTCGAGGTAGGTAACGTCCTTGTTCTCGCGCTCGAACTCGCAAATATCGCGAATCTCCTGCATCTCAGCTACAACGAAAGGACTGTTGATGTCGCCCTTGCCGTGGACTAGGGCCAGCACCGACTGGGCTTCTTCCCAGCGGTCCTTGCGGGCCAACCAACGAGGGGACTCGGGGAGGATCATCATTCCGAAGAAGAGGAGGACGGCGGGAACAGCCTGCACACCCCAGGGGATGCGGAAGACAGATTCGCTGTAGTTGTGGGAGGTGGAATCGTTGCCATGGCCGATGAACGAGCAACCGAAGGAGATGCTGTTGGGGAAAACATTGTTAGTTACCAACTCACTTGTCGAATGTCAAGGTGGGTGCCACTTACTAGTACATGATCAAAATGCCCCAGGTGATGGCCCACTGCTGGGAGCCGACGAGACGACCACGCATGGAGGGAGGAGCAATCTCCGAAATATAGACAGGAACCTGCGCGGACTCAATTCCGACACTGAGACCGTTGATGATACGGCCAGCAATGAGCATGCCCATGTTCTGGGAAGCGCAGACAATAACGGAACCGATAACCCTGACTGAATGTTAGCTATGGTCCAGCGTGAACTCCCATGCAACCTGCAACCACTTACCAAATGATACAACCAACCATAATGGAATACTTGCGACCAAGACGATCCGAAATGAAACCAGAGATCAGAGCACCGAGCCAAGAACCACCGGGCATGGCAGCGGTCACACCACCCTGAGCCAGGGAGCCGAGACCACTGCATATGTCGTCGTCGTTGAATGGAGGGCCCCTAGGCCCCTGATTGAAATAACATCTATAGGCGGGCGTGGTGATAATGGCCGACATGGACGAGATATCGAAACCGAACAGTGCACCGCCAATGACGGCCACCGCCGTGATGGCGTAGAGATTCCCCACGACATACATGGTGACTATTAAACCCAAGCCAGGGGAAAATGATCACAAAAAAAGGAGAGTGAGCTACAATCCACCGAAAAAGGAAGGAAAAACCTCCCTGCTTAAATAGATCGCATGCCGGGAAAATTCTGCTCTGTACAAATGCACGACTAATAAAATCCACCCGCATATATTGAATATGGTTCCCTACATCCCCACTTCCTCGCCCGTGTATGGGATTGTCTGGGGAGAGAAATTAGTGTAAAATATGTGACCATTTGTGTACAATAATAAGGAGATATAATACTGTAGAGTTACAACAGGACCATGCCAAGACTTCTGCTTGCAACCCCGGCTCCCTCTACGTACTCTGATTGATGGAAATCGAGTTATGCTTATCCACCCGTTTACTGGTGATTGGCGGACCCCCCTGGCAATGGACTGGGATCCGGGGGAATCGGCAACAAATTCTAAGCCGAACAAGGCCAAGCGCGGTAATGGGAATTGCCCGAACACGGCATCCGCGTTCGGGAGAAGAGTCGGCTGACTTCCCCTGCAATCGGTTCCCGTGGTCGGCAGTGGCGTTTCTGGGAGATATACAATAGATATAAAGTAGTAATAAGGATTTGAAGATGAGGACATACTGGAGTAAATGTGGTTCTTAAAGTCAAACAAAAAAAAGGGTCGACGTGCATATAATTTTCGGATATCCCCAGACCAACCCACAAAAAAGGTAGCTAGGTAATCAATTCCTCAAGTAACGGGTCTGGGTCGAACCCTACACAGTCAACAGGTAATTTTACTGTATCTATGCAATTACCCGGGGTGTCCACATCTTCTACCTCAAGACGAATGAAAAGAATCCTTTCAACCGGTGGCCCGAGTACATAATAGTCCGGGGCCCCGACTACGGTCATATTCCCAGAACGGGACGGTATTCGGCTTCTCGTGACCTTCAGTGGCTGACACCGAAGTGGACTCGGCTTGAACTCGGCCCCTGCGGGCTTTTTTTTCCTTTTTGGAACGACCGGCGGAATCTTTTCCTCTTTTCTCGGGTCTTTTCTATTTTTTTCTATTTTTTCATAGTAGGTAGTAAGTAATAGTTCGCTTGCGTGTTACGGAAAGTTAAATTGTGTTTCAGGGCCTCGGACATGCCTCTTGTCACCGGCTATTGTGGTGGATCAATAATTCCCACGTTGTAGTTGATCATCTAGACTTGACTTCTGTCTGAGGTGACATCCCCGCGTGGGAAATATGCGGAGGACGGGGAAATGCCAGTTGCGCTCACCGGTACAACATCCCCCGTAGTCCCCCATAGTCCCCCGTAGTTTTTGCTCTCTGTAACCTGATGCTTAGCGTTGATGATCTCTCGGTTTTAGCTTTAGCTTTTATAGTACATATCAAGCCACTGACATCTGTGGTGCAGGTTATTTTCCCTTGCTATTGCACGGACCATAATCGACTTCCAAGTCCAATTCAACATTTCTAAAGACTTGTCGTGTATAAATATCTGTGTATGTACTCCGTACATATACACAGGATAATGTCTGACAAGTCTTGGCTTTCCCGTTCCATTTTAGTGCTCACCTCTTGCCGCTTTTTGCTCACTGAGCAAAACCGAGCACGCCCTGAGTATCACCTGATCGTTATGTAAGCCACATGCCACGCTCAGTGAACAATCCGATCCCGCTCACTGAGCGTGACTTCAACGCTCTGATTTGCTCACTGAGCTGAGTCCCATTCACTAAGCACGACCTGAGCCAAGCGCGGGAGCAGCCAAGTCAGCAGCTCACCTTAATAAAATGCACCACGCTAGCCTCATCTAAACGCAGTTGGTCACCATAACTCTTGACCGTTATCCCCTTAACGAAAGGCTGGCGTCATCACTTTAGTGGTCGATCCTGGTTGTTCCGCCTCCAGCTGGGAGGCGAAACCGACAGTAGAACCACTTTTGTTAGTTTTACTATTCTGCGGCTATGCCACTATTCAACCTGTTAAAGAAAATCGATAACCTGATCGATATCCAATATTTCACATCCGATGAGAGTTATAATGCCGTTTCCTACATATGCCCGAGCTCTGAGTTCGTTATATATGGCTAAGACCTAAATTAGAAGATATACGTGACTTTCACTTTTATACCCGGGGGAGCGTGCGAATTTACAGGGGGCCTATGGCTGACTGAATTTAGGAGCATGGAATCCACTGAGATCCGAGAGAGAACGGATCTTGGCTTGATTCCCTGGTCTGTCTACACGTAGTAAACCCCATTTTACTTGCGCATGCTCATTTTATCAGTTACCAAGACGCAAATAGTAAATCGGGTATAGGCGTGCTTCCCCCGATTAAGCTGGACCAACGATAGCCCCTCCCACGTAAGTCAGCTTAATCCGTGATGCCCACTCTTCTTAATCTCGCCAGATACCGACATGCACCAATGGCTGTGAGACATCTGAACGTTTCACAAAATTAGCTTAAACTGATACTTATTTAGATGAGATTCATACGGCATAATGGTACTACTTCGGAAACTCAGAAGGCCCCTGGAGGAGTATTACACCTAAAAGAGAAAGTTTGAAGATGCCACTAATACGTATGAATATGAGCCCTCGCCCTTTCCGTCACTAATGAGCACGTGTCTAATCTGACTATAGGCCATGCTACATTAATCAGGCTCGCTTACCAGTCTTCAGTCTGTATCATTCCACTCTGATTTATAGGCATCCTTTTGCCTCTGGCCCTTACTTGTTCGACCATGCTATTTTCGGCTGTAGGACTTAAAAGCTTTCAGTCGAGTCATGACATTGGAGAGAACAGGAAGAGCTCATTTATTAGAGCAAAGACGCGGCATACTGGAAAGCTAACATCAACTGAATAGCTCTCTACACTCGATTCTTATGCATACAAAATGATCTTTAACCTCTTCAAGACAATGCGCCCCACAGGGTGTCCGCTTTTGCTGCCATGAAGCGGACCTGGTAGTAACCAACAAAAATTAACATCGAAGTTCTGTGGCAATTTCAACATGTTCAGACTTGATAAGACAATCAAAAAGGCCGTATTCTACCCCATACCCCTTGGTGTTCTAGCTTCATATTACAGATCTGAATTATGGTTTTTATTTATCTTATTATATTGCCTATATTTCCTAGGTCGACGCTGTTAGATTATATATGATAGTTTTAGAATGTTGTGGTTCAAGGCTCGTGCAGACTAGGACTAAGCCATATCATCGAAATTAATTTTTGCACTATCTATAGGAATGAACGAGCTCATTTAAAACAGTTGGACTTTATCTTGTATCCCCTTACGGTGGATATATGGATAAGGCCTAATACAGTAGCTGACAAGTTCGGCTTCTACAAGATTTACACCCTTTCGCTCTTTCTCAGCGCCACAGCCGTACGCTAGTCTATGATGAACGTAGGCTGTTAATTAGTTACATATTTTACCCATTGCATAATACTATACGTATTCTATAAATAGCACGAGTTCCAGAAGATTCGTATCAAACTAGACTAACAGTAAACAGACAGTGCCTGGAGAGTCTGGCAATGTGTTGTCTTCTTCCCTCTCTAGAAGGCCCTTCCAATACATAGCTAGGTGAACTAGCAACATTACTGGTCATCAAAGGGCTCCTTCGCTCCCTTAGATTACAGCTGGCCTTGTCTAATGCGATGGTGGACTTGCATGGCGGATTCCATAAGCCACACATTCCGTGTCACGAGGGAGTCGTAATAAATGGCGGTGTACAGGGGATGTAGATCTTTTTCGCGAATAAGAAAGGATAACTCATCTAAGATCGAAGTCGTAAGCTAATGCAGATAATAGACGAGCTAGGTTAAATGATGATACTGTAGTGGTTCGTTATATGCATAGGTCATATGCATAGGTCATATGCAATGATATCGTAGTACTGATATGGCCGCAAACTAACCCTCTTAGGTGCTAAATGATTTCAAAGTAAGACAAAATCTAGATTAACCGAATTGTCCACCTGCAAAGTGTACGTCAGAATGTAGCTATAAAAGGATGCTATCCCTCTATCTGTTAACTTAGCTTAAACAAGTTCCATCACCTCTTATACATACCAACTCGCATCCCACTTAGGTATACAGTTAAGATGAGCTGGCAAGGTATTAATGTCCTCTACAGCTATGACCATATTACGCGTTTTCTAATGCTATTTCCTTTTCAGGATATGTTGATTCGTCTCTTATAGGGACTAGGAAATTTGATAAAGCCGCTATATTTTCAGCAGCAGGCGACGGTGTATGGGCGACCAGCCCAGGTTTAAAAGTAAGAGGCCCCTTGCTAATTGTTTGAAAGCCAGTTTTGATAACAACTAACAAATATTAACACTGATTTAAAGACTAAGCCCGAAGATATACAGAGCCTTGTACAGGGATATAATGATGCAGGTTCGATATTCGCCTCTGGGTTCTGGTTCGATGGACAGAAGTACATGTCGATCAAGGCAAATGACCGAAGCATTTATGGTAGGAAGGTAAGTTCTGTAATCTGTATCTTTGATATCATTTACTAAAATGGATGTGTTTAGGGCAAGGAGGGCGTGTGTGCGGTCAAAACAAAGCAGACTATTCTTGTCGGGCACTATCCAGAAGGAGTGACACCTGGGGAGGCTGCGAAGGTTATTGAACAGCTAGGGGATTATTTAATTGGGATGGAATACTGACTTAGTTTATCTGATCACTATAAATGGAAGCAGCGACTGGTACACCTGATAAGCAGTATGCTGAGTTATCTATGTTATGAGCTACCGCTCATATACCTAAGTAGTTACATGGCTTTCCCATCACACGCTGTTATCACCAACCCTTTGTCAGCAAGCCTTTGGGCACACGGCCCTCGTAATTCTGACCATTATTGCTTGCATCTGAACTTCATCCCATAGCAAATAGCCATCTCGAGGCACAGACATTGCTTTCCCAGCAGACGGTCATAGAGCGCTTCTAGCTCTCGTGGTGTTATGCTTCGTCTCCGACCGATACGACTTGGGGGCATGGACATGCCTAAACAGTCACAAGTTCTTGCGGATAATTTTGATCCATTTGCTCGCTGCATTATGCTGCCTCAGCCATTTGAGAAGGGGTTAGTTAGCCATTGGCTTTGTATCATATTATAAATTAGATTTAGCTTTGACGGGGGTAGTCTCCGTGCCATATTGCGCAGAGGTTTTAGCAGTTATCAGATGATGATGATGGACGTCACGTATGTGGAGTAGACTTCCGCAGACCACAAATGGGCCGGGTTTTGGGTCCGGTCCTCAGGCCCACCGGTGGGCTATGGGCTTAGGGTAGCCCATTAGGTTTTGATGGCCCAATGGGCTCCAAACTATACAAACATGCCAGTTCTTGGCGGGTACATAAGTAATGCAGATTTTCCTGGTATTTTTGAGTATTTAAACTACTGTCTAAGCCCCGATTTGACCGAGTTCTTATGGTGATTAAGTTGGTTGACTGAATTGACCAAATGATAGATAGATTGATTGATGAGATTGATTGATAAGATATTAAGTGAGCTTAAACTATCATCTAGAGGCCTTAGGCCACCGAGGTTCCTAGTACTTCAACAGAAAGATACACGTACTTCTGTCTATATTAAAATATAAATCTCCGCATGTTGATACTCTATCAAAAGTTAGACCCCCGTATTAGGCTAGATCAGGACCATCGGGCCGAAATATTCCGAGGTCAGCTTACAGACTAGAACATGCGTAAAAAAGAGCATTAATCAGCAGGTTTATGAGCGCCAAGACTGTAATTATGCATAGAAATGGGCTTCAATGGGGGCCTCATATGCCCCCACTAATGGGCTGTGGGTTGGGTTGGGCTTTGCGGAAGTCTAATCAGCACCATTGTCCAATAGGATCTGCGTTATACCAGACCAGCTAGACTCGACTGCCCCATGAGCGGTGTTCTGTCACGAGTATCAGACCGATTTATGAGGATATCGAGATCATCTCGTTTTAATGAGTGAAGATTGTCCTCCAGGGACACTTTCTGGTTTATACGCAGTAGAACTTGGTGAAGTTCTGTAAACACCTGAGTATTTAAATACTGCGTCCCACTTTCGCTAAGGGTCAAATTGAAGAGAACCCTAATATCCTCACAAAATTTACCAAATTCTAGCGTGGAACCACCTGATATTGCGGTGCATATCAAGGCAGAACCAAGCATTGATTCCATCGGGGTACTATAGAAAACACGGTCAGATTAGTCGCGCTAGAATCGCCGGGAGGAATGAAAATTACTTTCTAATGTCGTCAATCCACTGAGTATTTACCCTAATGGAAACCAACCAAGAGCAAACCTGCATGGCTCTGCCAGCGCCGTGGGCTTTCCAGCAGTAGTATGACGCATACTGATTATCTTGTTAGCAACAAATTAAAGATTTAAATGTAAGGAATAAAAAGTCTCACGTAGAGCAGGCCAAGACCACAGGGGGCTACATCATGAATCGATGCGTCCCCGTTTCTTAGGAGAGTCATGAGTGCCGGTATATCTCCGTCTTGTACTACGGTAAATATTGCCGATTCTTATTGCCTCTCGTAAATCAACGTGGAATTTCGTTTAAAGGTATCCTCGATCGAGATACCTTTAGAGAATGTGGCTGCTAAATCGGGCTTTATTAAATACGCGTGATACGAAGTGATAGTGGCGTACTGACCACATGGGAAAGCGAAAATTGGGGATCTCGCTGATTCCGAGATGTAGATCGGTGAAGGGGTTAGTGGAGCTGGTAGCTGTCTTTGCCGACTTGGAGAGTTTTGGGCTGCAGTATGGCGGACGTCGTATCACATGCTGCAGCAACCACTATGCCCTTCTGAGGCTCGAACGCCCCATGAATATTCGACTCTTATGAGCAGGTCAGACCTAGGTGATTGATTTCTTCCAAGCCATTCTCGTCCTCTACCGTTGGACTTCCATGCACTTCATTTTCTGTGTGCCTAGGGGGAAAGCTTCGTCTCTCTTCATGAGAGCTATTTATATGCTGTTTAAATGGCACTATTGTTGGAGTTTGACACGGGTTTTTAGCTTCAACTTCAATGGAATTAAGCTACCCACAAGTCAACTGTTGTGCTTACCATCGAATTCACTGTGGAGCTTCTTAAATGACAGTATTAGCGACCGTAAAACAAGATTAGTACCGGCTAATGTGGGCATGGTGTGATTCATTTGCACATGTAAGCTACGTTGGAGTCGGCTCTTCGCTTTTTCCGACATCGATCAAGCTCTGCTATACTTAGCATATTTATCGAAGACAATAATTAGAAGTCTTACCAGACGAAAGGTCGCGAAATTGCTCTTCAAGAGGCGCGCAAAATAGCTGGTTTCGATTCTGTACCATGTGCTGAATAATTCTCGCAGCTGCATGAACGTTAATCTTTCGAAATTGGCGTTGAGAGATACTATGGAGAAGCAGGAGCATAGGGGAAGGCCCGGCACACTTTAGTACTATCCATAGCATGGCACTATGCGTATTCGAACCCCAATTATCATAGCCTGGGATGACAGCGTTCTCCATCCCGTCGCGGAGAGTCATGATGAACAGCTGCGCTCTTTGGGATACATTAGTTACTGAGGTTTTTATCCCAGTCAGATCGCAGACCAGACTACGGGAAATGTTCGTTGATGAGCCCAAGATTTGGCATAGTAAGACTGAATCCCGGCTATTATTTATAGCAGTTCGATGCCAAAATCAGGAGTATTCCAACACCCCAAGTATATTCCCGACGTGTATGCTTTGCTAGTCTATACGGGGTACTCCGTATACTTTGTTTTACTTTGATTCCCCGGGGCCGCACAACGTTTTATACACCAGATTTAGATATCGACCTAATGTCTCTGTGCGTAAAAATTCCTCTATAAAGTAGAAGCTGTTGATGATATTACCTTCAAGCATACGAATTGAATTAAATAGAGCAGTATTCTTTGACAGCAATATGTCTAGGTCCGGTAATATCCCACAAGCCTCCTGTCCATTCATTTCATCACCGTCCACCAAGCATTGCTCTCGCCTCAAAACCATGCACAGCAGCCCAAGCAAAACCACTCACGGTGCACCAAATCACGTCCCAGCTCACGCTACTGTAAGCAGGATGAACATATACCGTATTCAGTAGCCGCTGAGCCACCTTGCCGTACGATACATCTGGACCTATATCCAGCAACATCAAAACAGTGGAATAGGCCTGCAGAACAACGGAAGCCGCCGCAATCCAATAGATGAATAAAGCATATCGCTTGGTCGTTTGTTCTCCCTGTACCTTGGTGGCAGCGCCCTTCGAGGCGGAACTTCTCGGGCGCAGCACGCAAGGAATAAAAACTAGAGCATGGGGCGCGAGGTGAACGAGTATGAATTTCTTCTGGTACGCGAAGATCGGCACAGCTACCGTGTCGAGGAGTAATAGTGCGATTGGGACGAGCTCGTATACTAGCGATGGAGACCATGCGAAGGTATCATGTTTCTCGTTGGGTCGTTGCGAGACAGTGATAGCGGCAAAGAAAAGATTCGCGGCAACAGATACACCGACAGCTTGAGCAACGAGCATGTACACCCAAAGATAGGGAATACGGTATCTCCGACCTGTGAGCAAGAGTTAGTATTGCACGAACGTGAATTGATATCCCCCGGATCATCTCTTTTAATGCTGTTAGAGGGATGTTAACGAGACCAAACCTAACTCACCAAGAAGACAAGAGGATTTCTGGCCAAGGGACCCTACAACCAAGTCGCAACAGCACGGATATACGAGTCGACTAATCAAGGAGTTACTCAATATTGAGATCTACGCTAATCGGAAAGATCACACAGGAAAGCAAATGAATTCCGAAAGTCACAACAAGTTCATATTTACATTGACAAGCATAAATACAATTAGGGAATGGGTAAAGCATAAATACAGTTAAGAAATGGGTGAGTACCCGTGGACAGCCTAGCAGCTGACACTGCGATCAGAGAGGCTCCGTGATTCACATCCGCCCAACATGACTTCAGGCGTCGTTTTTGGGGTTCTTAGGATCGAATTTCCAGCGGCGATGGTTATCCTTAACCCACCAGTGGGCGGCGTGGGCAGCCTCGGCGAGCCACTCCACGGCCTCGGGACCATTATTTTTCCGCACGACATCGCTCAGGAACATGAGCTGGTGGTTTTCCACAGGGTTGAGCTCGAATGGATCAGAGTTGACATCGGTGAATCGCCACCTGCCGTCGGACTTGAGAGGCACGACCAATCGGTATGGGTGTGAGGCCGAGCGCACAGTGAACCATGTTCCTCCGGGGTTCATAGTGGAGAACTGCCATTCCTTCTTGCCGTCCTTCTCGGGGATAAGTTGGCGGATCATCGACTGGCCCTCGTACATGGGGAGTAGATCGCCGATGATCTTGGCTCCCTGCTCATCGATGGATTTGGTTTCGAGGAGGAGGTCGAGGATGGTGGGGAGAATTTGGGTAGAGAGAATAGCAGCATTTCCGAGGTCCATCTGGGGCAGTTTAGGGTGGGCGAAGTATAGCGGCACGTGGAAATTGCCGGCGTGAGAGGAATGCCAGGCCGTGATGCCACCGTCATTTGGAAGTGATAGAGCACTAGTAAAATGTTAGAGGATAGAATGGTTATAGGGTATAGATAAAACTTACTGGTCACCAGTCATCACAAGAAGAGTTTCATCGGCAATACCGGTATCTTCGAGAAGTTCCAGGAGCTCGGCTATCCACTCATCCTGGTAGTGAATGGTATTTAGGTATCGGTTCAACCTTTCCCTCTGTTCAGTCGACACATCCCCCAGCATCTCCTTATACTTGCCAGGCATATAATAAGGAGTGTGTGTTTGATGTGTTAGGGTGCTAAGGAAGAGACGAGTGTTGTTCTTCTTCGAATCCTCGATGACATCGCGAAGATAATTTTTCATTAGCTTATCCTCGTGACCATGTTCCTCCTCCTCTTTTGACTCATTAGGGATATATTTGAGACCGTCCGCATCGATTGTTCTCTTTGCCATGACATTCTGGTATCCCAGATGAGGAGAAAGCAAAAAGTGGTTATCCCAGGCGTCGGAGTGTGTCTGCATCCACGCAGTGTACCACGGCCAGGAAGCCCATTCATCTGTCTGATTGGTATTTGTCTCGCCGGTGGTTTTTGGCTGAGCGTTTAATGCGTCGAGGATATGCGGCAAGCAGGGCTGGTAAATATCGTGCAGGTACTCGAGGTTAGCCTCGACAGCCATAGGATTCACACCGCATATAGTGGCCGTGAGACTCTTCAGGGTGTAGGTTCCGGAGGTGTAAGCGTTTCTCGCACTGAAACCACCATAGGGCTTCGGCTTATTCTCACTGAATCCGGTCTCAAATCCGGTCAAACGTTCGGCCGTAGGGGTGAGCTTAGTGAGCCTCTCCTGGACATCACTGGGGATACCATTGGGGTAGGAGTCATGGATATGCTTCATGATGTAGGAGCTGTTGCGGAAGGGCCACACGTCCTGCCGAGTGCTCTCCAACTTGACGAGAATGACATGCTTAATCTTCACACTTCCGTTGTGGAGAACTTCACGCATAGGCTCCAAAATGTCATTCTGGAGGTTTGGGAAGTGCAGGGGATCGTTCAGTGGATTATAGTGTTCATACACATAGTCATCCTTCTTGTGCTTATTGACACGGAAAGGAGACCAATCTGGAAGGCCCTCTGACGAATTGTACGCGGGCAACCAATCGAATGTGGGGAAGTAGTCTAGAGCGGTGCGGTCTTCCAACCAGCTGAAGTCGGCCGGTAACGAGGTGGCACTTGATGGAGCACCTGACGAGGCAGTTGTTGGGGCGTTTTGAGGAGGAGTTTGAGGAGTTTGAGGAGGAGTTTGAGGAGGATTTTGAGGAGGATTTTGAGGAGCAGTGTCAGGAGCGGTATCTCCATTCGACGACGTGGGACGTTCATGAGCAGGCGAATACTCGAGGTTGCTGAACGGGGCGAGAGGCAGGGATTCGGAGAGATAACTGAAATCCGTATTGCGTGGACGAACGAAACTGAGCAAAATTATGATCAAGCCACACCCCAGGACGGCAATACGCTTCAGCAACGACCGCTTCTTCTTCTCCTCGGGTGGACCTTGGGGTGTCTCGAGTTGCGATACAGAGTCGCTGTCGTTGTTATTCTCGTCGTAGTCTTCGATTTCAATCTGCTGATAGGTCTCTGGATCTAACGGGGTCTTTCTGCGTCGAAGATATCGGCGGAGAGGGGAGAACAAAAACGAAACCCAAATCTCCAGGAAAGATTCGGTAGCTTGAAATAGACATGGCGTAGCGAAGTATGCACCGATCATGATGAAGGCGTCGACGAAGAAAGCGACAGCGAACGCGGACAGCATAGTCTGGGCAGCGGTGGGATTGTCCTGAGAGGTTTCCGAGCTTGACCAGGGGATCTCCGCGCCTGTATGGACGTAATAGGAGATGTTGGCGGAGGCCATCGTCGAGAGAATTAGACTGGGGCGGGATTAGCGATTTGCCGTTTCTTTACGAGTCTGAACGATAGCTCACCTGGACAAAAGAGCGACAACGGCGGCTACATTCCGCAAAATCCGCGATTCGAATGAACGGGTCAGGCAGCACGCGACCAGAATGAGGAGGATGTCCACCAAAAAGAACGTGGGACCCCAGGGGAAGAGAGATGGAACCTCTAGGGCCGTGAGGTGAACGCTAATATGGAAGCATTTTGACAGAATGAGTGAAATGAAAATGACGGAGAAGAAATATGTGCGGACACGGTCCAGATAGAGGTCGAGGTAGAGCTGAGGGGTTCTGGCGACATTCAGGACGAAGAGGGCAGAATCCTCGAGTCTCCTCCGAAAGGAGACATCTTGATCCAATGAAGACTTCATGATGCCAACATCCCCTGAAAGAAAGACAAAGGTGAGAGGGAAAGAGAAATATAACTTAAAGTGGAAAATAGAAAAATCCAGGGGTCTAATAAGCGGGGCATAATCACCACACGTGCGGGATTCCCCTGAAGGGCATAGTGCTGAGATGGCGGTAAGGAATCCCCACGAACCAAATCAATCAAATCAATTGACTAAGCAAGGCAAACCGAACAAACCCGTCGCCACAAGCTGTCAGCTAAATGGGGTAATTAAAAACGTGCCTTTGAAATTACCCTGAATGGCTACAGAGTATGTATTTATGGGCCTTCACTGCTCCGTAATATCCTCTGTACCAACTCCCAATTTCACCTCTTGCCAACTACTCCGTAGGCTTCATCCTTAATCCTTGGCACGCATTGGCTGTAACCGTTTCAGGGACTCTGCTATCCGGGACCCACCAACACCGGATCTTGGCACCATTATAGGAGATTATCAAGTCTGCAAATCTCAATTTTTTCTACATTTAGTAGTCTAGGTAGGATACATGTATTAATGGACACGTATACTTTGCTGTGCACCCAGGTGAAAGCAAATAGCATGCGTGCTGTCTCTAGCTAATTAAGGGGCGAGGTGAGCACTAGAACGAAAAGGGAAAGCCAAGGTTTGCTATGTGGGAGGCGTTCGTGTGAGGCGTTCCTCTTGAATGTCGCCCGAGAGCGCGACTGCTCGACTCGGCTATATTATAGGCGCAATTTCCTGACTCCAAGGGGGTTGGACCAGTCACTTTTCGGACAATACCCTACATGGTAAGGAGTACTCCGTTCTCCATAAATATGTTTCAGTTATTTCTTTCCAAATAAATCGAAATGGTATTCCTTTTTTTCAGCCTTGTTGGCAAATTGCAAATATATTATTGATCGACATGGGACTAACTGCAGTTGGCACATATGAATACGGGGTATCTACTATTTCAGCCTCATTGAAAATCACCGGGGACATACAGAGTGATATGTCTTCGATAAAGGCAGCTCACAAGATGTGGATCGGACGATTGTTCCCAGTTGGCTAGATCTGTTGCATGATGTATTCAGAGGATGTTGCAGGAAGGGATACATCCATAGCAAATCAACCTTGAGTGACCTATATCATCAAAGGTTATACATAGAAAAGTCCCTTACACAAAGTATGCTTTTTGCGCCTGTTTTGCCCTCTACCTATAAAGCCGAGAAAGCAATAGACCTCTAAAAATACCACTAAAAAGACTACTAAAAATACATCACAAGGCCGCTGCACGGCCGTCTACTCTTGTTTCATATAATGGGAGTGTCCAAGCCCACTTGATGGAGGCAGTCTAAACCACCATGGCATCGCACAAAACTCCTCTAGGATATGGATCAGTTGGTTCCAGGATGACTTGTACATAGTCGTTATGCTCGTGGTATACGCAGGACCTGAGCACGCCTCATCTCGCCAAGCAAGGTCAAGAGACCATGGTAGAGCCCAATAAACAGGTTCAATCGAGCCAACTTGCTCCTCTTTGAAACTCCGCCAAAGAAAGACTTTGAGACGTTCCGAGGTGGAGCTGGGACGTCTTCCTTCCGAGATTTACCAACGTTAATCTCAACCAAACCGCGACCCGACCACCGTCTTGATGTGGACTGATGCCGGAACCTATCCGGGTAGCGCAAAAGAGCAGCCAGTAATCAGATTGAAAAAGGTCCTCTTCTGTCTGCTGTAGATATGTCTAGTACTTGCCAAATGATCTATTTTATCGTCGGTGCCCGCTGAGATTTTTTGACCACATGGATCGCCACGATCAGTTTAGATTCCAGAATGAAGTCCGCATCTGCACGCAGAAATGACAGGACATTTCCCAAGAGATAGCCTGCGCGGTAGAACCAAGAGGCCACCGATTTTTCCCTTTGTCGTGTCCGCTGATTCCACCCACATGGCCGACGGATTGTCGGAATGACAGCTGGATGGGGTTCACATATTTTGGCATTTGGCCGTCATTGGTAAGGATGGATTGTAAGGGAAGATTGCACGAGGGGATGGTTTAGCCTCCTGTAGGGGGGTTTTGCCCCCCGAGGCGGAGGAAATGAATTATTTGGATCGAGGCAGACATGCTAATTGATGAGGAGAAGAGGGATGTGGACGAGTTGTTTAATGGACTACTAGGTCAGGTGGGCCCTTCCTACTTTTCTCGACCTTGGAAGTTGCTATGTCAGTGATGTTAATTCCCAATGCCACGGAATGAAAGAATATCAGTTGCAAACTACATAATACGTACGTGAAGAGACACCTGTCATTGATGTTATTCTCATCTATCAAACCCAGAACCAACTAATCACTCCCTTTCTATGTCCTGTGGCCACACAACAGGGAATCCAAGAACCTCCCTTTTCAGCAGTGTCGCTTTCTTCCACTTCAAAAAACTCAGCCAATCGAGTCTCCGATGCCAGATGCCCCATTGTATCAGCTGGTCTATCAAAGTGCAACCTGGCCAGTTGATCCGCAGGATTCATGGTAACCCGTAGCTGTCCATCCACCAACAAGGAGATGGCACCGATTTCCTCATAGATAAATGCCCCATAACTCGCAGCGTGATAGCTCATATTAGTGATATATCTCAACCAGTGTTCCAAAAAGCGCATAAGCCACCCCGGACGTGTTTTGTACGACAAAGCCTGGTCCACCTCTCCATCGGTATCCCAGGCTAAGCCATGGTGTTTACCCACCCACGCGCTGTATGCCACCTTACCAGGGGGGTATATTTGCTCCCTCTCAGCCGAGTGAAAGTCGAGGATGAGATTTCCAACAGAGATATGACGGTTCTTGTAGGAGGGATTTCCGTAGTCGCTTTCGCGGCCTTTCTTCGCGCCAACTGGTCCATACCGTAGGAATCGTTCCAGCAGGGCGTAAAAAGACCAATGAAATCCGTAGCGACCACCACAGCCCATTTGATCACGCGCTTCTTTGGTGGTGATGATATGTCCGAAAAGACGTATGTCTACATGGAGTGCCGATAGACGGGTTGTAAGCCGTGGGACTGAGATCCAAGTCGAAAACAGATCCTGGTCATTCAGGACTGAGATATCAAGGACGTAGGTAGTTTTCCTCATTCGACTGAGAACCGACTGAGTTTCCATCGACACTTGACGGCTTGTCAAGAAGAGAGGGAGACTGTTGGAAGGGCTATGTGTATCACGCTGTTCGTGATATGGCCTAAGAGCTTCTATATTGGCTTTGTAGTGCATGTCCGGAAAATCCACCATGTTCAATTTGGATGGATACATGGGTGGGGTGCGATGGCTATGGAGTACATCTTCAAAGATCATGGCACGGATCTCCTGGGGAAGATCCATCAAGGTAGGCATTGTTGATTTCTAGACCTGACCGTTGAAGAAGTTGGCATATGCAGGGAGATCAGGTCTGACGGCTGATTTTGGGGGTTAAAGGTCGCTAATGTATCAATTTATCAGCCTCGGAAGGTAGTCAATCTAGCAGCCTATAGATGCAGTTTTACCATCACTCTTACAATAATTAATTACCTTTCTGAACCTTGATTAAATTCACATCGGACATAGTGATATAACATCTTTTCTTCTAGTGCTTTGCTTCTGTTGTGTAATTAGTGACAATTCTCATTATTACAGCTATATCAAGCAGACATTACCCCATTCGGCAAAAACATCAAAGGGCATACGTGTACTCCGTACTGATAGCAATAAATAGTTGCCTACATATATATGTACATGTTATGTACATGTATATACTGGATTTTAGGCTGTGACCGCGACTTGCCCGATCAGGGTGCCGCCGCTTTATGAGGGCTCTCAGGGTCATGCTCACTGAGCATTTCTCAGCACAGGGTGACTAGTTACTCAGTGACTAATTTTTTGCTTAAGAAGCAGCCAGCCTTCAATCTATGTGCTCACCTATACAGTGTCCTTGTTACAGTGTCCTTGCTTACTATTATGGCGCATTATTATTTGACACTGCGAGCTAGACAAATGCGTGTAGCTAGTAGTTAGAACCTGATCATCGGCCCCGAAGGCTATGTTGAGTATGCTTATTGCAATATTAATGTAAAAATTACCCTATTAGGCCATTTTATGTACATAACTACATGCGGAGTAGCTCTGATCGGTATCCACTTTGCCAAGAGTGCCCAGGGAAGCCTTGGCGACGCTAAAAATGTCCCCACTAGGCATTGTTGCAGTCTGCTCGGTAGTGAAATACGTTACTATATTAATAAAGAGATAGGTGGTTAGATACGTTAATAAAAGTCAAAAAGATAAAATAATAACAAATATTATATATTCAAAGGGGCTACAGGTCACCGTAGCTAGGTTTAATATGGGTACCATACCTAAGCACTAGCGTGACCTCCCTCATGTGCCCGTACTAGCATATAGAGACATAGTGGCCTTTTGACGCCCTTTATCATTGGGAACAAGAAAATGTGCCGTGCGGAACTAATACATATGCATGGACAAAGGCAAATTTATGTACAGAAGACCAGAAATCAGTATACACATAATACTCTCATAGCTAGACTACGTATAATACTCGGGGAGGTGAAACTTTCATAAGACTATAGAACATTAATTTAAAACTAAATCTCCATTACATTGATCGACGGAAAGAGGGGGAACTAGCCAGTACTTCGTTGATTTTACAGAGACCAAACATCAGAGCATGTACCCACAGGCACCAGCGGCTGACATTATGCTTTGCATACTTCGAGGCCCGGCTTTATAATAGTATGTATCCCACTAAGCGGATCCCCCACGCTCCGATTCTAGCTGCCTTTAGAGTCAGAATGATTGGCACATCAATGCCCATTCTAACATATACTTTTTATTGACTCTTACTCTCTGTGCGTAGCATCGTGAATGTCTCCGGTGTACCTTGGCGCTATCTACTTAGAGAAGGACATACATTCTTGACTTTAAGCTGCACTGCCATTAATGCCATATAGCGGTGTTGACTTGGAGACTTCTGACTGTCGCGACTTAAGTAAATAATGTTACTTCCACGAGAGCAGAGATTAACAGAGTTATTATCCAAGGTACAAGCGTTCGTCAACATCAGGTAATGACACCCGCAGGAAAATTCAAGGACTGTGTGTAAACAAGCATTTTCAGACACTCATTCATTCCCAGATTATGTGTTTAATAGCAGGGAACAAAACGGCTCTCTCGCGTTAAAGTGAAGCCCACTTGGTCTCTACGTCGTCCATCCAATTGCCCATTAAGTCAATCACCGTAGTTGGGCCTATATACGGCTCTAGTCTACTTCGAAAGGAGCAAAAATTGTGGTGCTTCACCTGAGTCTACAAACTAGTATATGATCTATCGCGTTGTGAGATGGACAGAGATGGACCGATAGGGTGATATGAGGTTGTGTGGCGCGATTAGGACCAAGAGAAGTAAGTGTATTGCTAGGTCGACATGGATTGCGCTGCCACTTTGGGGCTTATGATGCGGTGCTGGAGCACGCGTTTTCGGAGAATCGGTCTGGTATGATCTAAAAGTAACCGACTACGTTGTTGCCCAACTGGTTCACATAAATTCCAACAGCTCCACTTTTGACGTCCCATGCGTGACTCAGAGAACGCATTAGCGCCCAGACATCATTGGCATGGAGAATTCTGACAGGATACAAGTAGGGGAGTTAAATCAGTCTTCCCCCAGTCTAGCTAAAACTCCACCTTTTAGACTCAGAACAATCTATCTCTCAGTGGTGCCGATCGTTTGCTGCCCTTTCTGTTCGTCTTCGCGAGCTTTTGAACTTCACATGATATGTCTGATAGTGTGTCCCATTATTCACGACAAGGATTTCGATCTTAGCAGTAACATAGGCTTCGGTAATGATGTACAGCATCCTCCTCAATGCAGCTATACCGATCAGCTGCAGGCCTTGGTCGAAAACAATAGGATGGATAGCGTATTAGGTGTCTTTCTGCAGTGGAGGCTGGTACATAGTCACGGCTGCGACAGGCATACCCTCAATAACTAGCATGATAGTGATAGGTCCTCAACCGTGAAATTCCGGTTTACGACTTCCTCTTGCCCAAATTCTCCACCCCGGTGGTCCTAGTATCCTGCGCATCGACCTCACTGAGAACTAAGTAATGGATGCATCGCCATCGAAGCCCTCACCCTAAAGCTCAAGTAGCGAACCCCTACTCTCTGGTGAGATGAGGGGCTTGTCAACGAGGGCCAGTGCCAGACAGCAAGCGACGTTACTTTCTAACCAGATAAGACACAAGGAACCGTTCATAGATGCATCAAGGAATAAATAGCTAGGATACGCAGAAACTGCAAGAATTCAGACCCTCGCACATTTACTTAATGTCATTAGTAAGCTTATTATTAAGTTATTATGTAGGTCAACCAAAGAGATAACGGGAAAATGGTATTATTATTGAGTAACATATACCCGAGTATACACCTTGCAAACAAGGGCAAACCACCAAAACAACAAACTCTACATTATATTAACGCATCTGCTGCTCATCTAAATACCAAAGTACCTGCCGCAGATGAGCATCAAGCTGAGCCAGTGGAACCTACCTTACTAGCTCCCACTCAGCAATATAAGCCCAAGCCATTCCAACCCGGCCAAGCTTTTCCTGGAACTCCTGCGCCGTGACGCTACTAGCATCCTCCCGATCCCCAAATCTAGTCAACACAGCCACCTGCAGCTTCTGACCAGGCGCACCGAGCGTACGTGCACTGGGGACATCCACATACCAAAACTCGCCACCGCCTGCAGGTCCGGAGCCCGATACGTGCGTGAAAGGGAGCCTGTCGTCCTCGCGTCCGTCCACGCCATGGATCATAAGCAGGAACAAGCCCGCATGCTGAATGTGGCTGTGGCGAGACAGTGTCCAGTGCGGACAGAGGAGACCGAACTGGAAGCGCATTGCGCCCGGCGTGCTGATGGAGATGCGCAGGCCTTGTGGGTGGAAGGTCTTGCCGCCGATGGTGCGCTTGTCGGCATCGCTGTAGACCTTTAGGCCTTCGACGCCGTTTGGTCGTTCCGGGTCCGTGAGGATGTATTCTTCCCAGGTTAGATCGGGACGTCCGTCCTCGCGGAAGAACTGGCGTTTGTTTTCTGGGAAGTGCTTTAGGCCGAACTCTTCGTTCGGGATCGAGAACATCGCCGGTTCGAATCGCTGCTTATATGACTGCCCATCGCCTTCTATTGCTCCTGCGCCCCAGCAGGAGTCGATTAGCTTCCATCGACCTCCGTCGATCTTGACGGCATTCCAGGCGTGGTTTCCTGCGTATGGGGGTGCCGGGGCGCCTGGAGCAAGAGCGTAGTGTCCGAATCCTTTGCCGTGGCCGCCGACTACTATCGCCTCTAGACCGGCGTGGGTGGCTAATGCTGCAAATAGTCCTGCGTAGCCTTCGCAGACTGCCATTCCAGATGCCAAAGTACCGGCTGGCGTGGAGGGTTTCACGCAGTTATTAAAGAAGGCATAGGTATCGTATAAGATGTTATGATGTAACCACGTAAATATCGCGCGTGCCTTGTCTGTCATGGATGGGAACGGTGCTGTCAACTCATTGGCCAGCCACGCCATATCCTGTGTCGGAAGCGATGCGCGAGGGTACCGGGCGGCATGGTTATCAGGGCCTGAGAAGTCCCGACACACCAAGCATTCCGTGTCTGACGTGGGAGGCGGAGGGCCTGGAGACACAGCTGACCCATTAAAACGTGGCTTTGTAGCCATAATTTTGGATAGATCCGGACGAGAACCATGTGGAATCGGTGGTGGTGTCCCATTGGGTTTGGGTGGACTTGGATTACCAAACCCAAGCTGCCTAGCATCCTTGATTTGCGCAGCTGTTGGTGGAGGAGGCAACGTCTTCCGAATCGGTAGATTAACACCCAAGCCATCACTGGTTCCATTTGTGTCCGCATGTACTGCCGATGGCCGGCGTGGTGGTAGTTGAGGCATCGGGGGTTCCTCTTCGGCCTCATAGCGTGGGGGTGGTTGGCTAGAATGCGGAGACGAAGTAGGTCGTGGAGGCTGCGTAGGGCGAGGAGGTTGGCTCGGCCGTGCAGGCTGACTTGGAACAGGGGGGACGGGCGGTTTGGATCCCGGTAGCGATATTTTGGAGGTCAATCTGGCAGAGAGGCTCCCAAAACTCCTCTTACTACTAATTGTAGGCCGTGGAGGCGGTTCCAAGCTAGCTTGCTCCTTCGGTCGGCGGGGAGGTAGCGTAGGCAGTTCTACCTCCCCCCATCCAGGCGCTTTGATGCGATTGTTTCCAGTGGAGTTCACCGAGGTTGTCGATGCGCCTTGCCCCGCTGTTTTAGTTGTCGACGTTGTCGAATTTGACGCATCGGACGTGACCGA